GAGCCAGTTCACGTTGTAATTCTGCTTGGCGATTGGAACATTTGTGACAACCAAACCAACGTGAAAAAAGTGTGAATATCAGTTGTTGCTATATTTTTTACAGCGATATGGGCTGAAAATATCCAGTCACGAACCAACTCATGGAAAAAATTGCCTCGATTATATTTGTAGTTCATACAATTTGTCGACACAAAAACCGTTGCTAGATCCAGATGACCAACTATCAAACAATTCAGACCATAGCCCAGTAGTATGTGATTACCGGCTGCGACGATTATCTGGTAGATATATTTTTCTTCGCAAGATTATCGAAAGGGAACACTATTTGTGCGAACCATTGGGGATATGAACATGAGCTTTGAAAAAAAGGACAGGAGCTGCAACTGTTGTACTACAGAAAAATTACAACGATATTGTTAAAATCGTTAAAGGAGAGTTTACTTGGCCTGAATGATTTAGACTCATTTATTAATTAATTGAAGATATTTGTCAGACCCTTGATTGTGAGAGTAAAATTTCTCACAATTCAATATCATTAGAATACAATAACAATTAAAATAATTTAATTTGTTTCTCATACCATTTGTGACAATTAACTGATATTATTTTTCTGATCCATCAACAATCAACTAGAATTAAACACTAGTTTTAAATTTGATTTTATATTCGCTCTTTTTTGTCTTTTTGGTCTTTTTTGAATCAATCCACTTAATCAAATTACAAAAGCAAACCAAGATAAGTTCATGGTCTTGGTTTCTTTTTTGTATTGTGATAAGATGATTATTTATCTCTAATGGCTTTCCTTTTTAAATGCATCATATCGGTAATAATTTAGCGGATTATATCCGATGATCTATTTTCTCACGGGTTTCTTTTCCTCTTACATCTCTCTCAAACGAGAGATTTTCTTAAACTTACTTACTTATCGTGTCATAAACTATTGTTGATCTTAGATTATTTCAAATTTGTTTGTTTTTATAATTCGTGATTTTCACCCGATAATGATTAAATCTCAGGTATCAAAACTTGATTTTTCGAAAGATGAAATACTAGTTGACAGTAAAAAAAGAAGCTGTATTCTTGGTAAACTTATTGGCTCTGGGGGGTTTGGTGTAATTTATCAATGTGAATCAGCTTCATCTCCTCGTCCATTTGTTTGCTGTGTTGAAAAAGGTAAGTTATCATGTTCAATGTTGCCAAGAAATTTTCTTGGTTTTTAGAAACAATTCATTTATTTTTTATCATCTTTAGATGGAAACGCCAAGGATCTGCCATCAACCCAATCGCCTGAATCTGTTTCATCTTTATCATTAACTCAAGAAGCTCTAACTACTTCTGTTGTCTCATTATCAGCATCAATTCCATCTACCGAAGCTGTTTCCGATTTATGCGATGAAATTGTTTCCTCTCAACCACCAACTGAAGAAGCTTCATCAACTCAACAGACTGAACAAGTTTCAATTGTGTTGGATGAAACAGCATCATTCACTGTAGAATCTTCAACGGCTAATAAAACCGTCAAAACATCAAAAACTAGGAATCAAACTAAAAAAGGTAATTTCAATATTTTCATTAAATAATCTTGTTGATGACAACCAACAGATACTAATTTGAGTTTAATTGTGAAAAAGAACAAAAGAGAATGGTAATGAAACCTTCTTCTACTTTTTCTTTAAAGATTTTAAATAGAAATAAGTTTTTTTTCTCTAATCTCAAGAGCTTGATTAAGCTGCTTTAGCTTGATTTCACAGTGAATAGGGTGCAGTCAATCAATTTAAACTGTTACGTATGTTTGATTATTTACGCTAAGAACTGGCAGGAAATTCATTGACCCTCAATCTTTCAACAACAATAGTTAATATACGTGAATAAATTAATTCAATTGTTCAATTTGGTTCTCACAACAATGTCGATGAAAGTTGTTGAAGAACATCTAATGGCCAGTGAAATGAATGAAGCTTCATACATAAAGCCTTATGATAGTGAAGTTCATTTCGAAGCCAATAAGAAACTTTTTGCTGATTTTGTAAATGTTAATCCTTCTCGATTTAATTACCGAAGATTATACGGTTTCAACAAGAAAAAAAATTTTGCATGTGTTCAAGGAGATTGTTACTTTTGAAAACAAAATATTCGAAGGAATTGGAGTTGGTTTTCATAAATCTACTGCACTAAACATTTCATCTTCAATGGTTTACAACTCTCTCAAAGATCAACATCCTGAGCTTTTGATGGTAAGTAAAAACATTTTTCTTACTCTTCATTAACTATACCAGCGACTATTTCAATCATGGTGAACTAATAATAATTTTTTCTACTTAGCCCGAGTGTGTAATTGGTTTACCGAATTATCGTGCTCATTGTTTTTTCGTTCCTGTTTTTATACCTCTTTTCACATCGAGGCCTTTTGTTATGGCACTTTTCAAAGGATTCGAGATTTATAACAAATGGTTTTCTGAATCTGCATCTGATCCTACCCTTATCGAGCCTGATAGTCCCTTTTTATGGATAAAAGTAACCAAAAAGTTTTTTTTGACTTACAGAAAAGCATCGATCAAACAAGAACTGAGAATAAAAAATTTTCCATTAAATATTGACAAAAAATATCCTGATCTCTATTCATGTATGATCAAACAATACATCAGTGAAAGATAAGGTTTCAAACCTGATTTAGAAATCGATAGAAATATGATGAGGATGCTGATGGATTTGCGAAAACATGATGCTAACTATGCCCGTCTCGGTGAGTTAAGAATAAATCGGTATTTTATGTTGTTACTAATATATTTTATTTCATATTCAGATGGAGCATTTGTTGCTGATTTATACAATATGTTTATGGACAAAATCGATAAAGAATATATTTTGATACCAACAAAATCACCATTTTATAAAAAGTGCTATTTCCATGTGGAATTTCGCTACAAATGTACCAAGTGTAAGCCTAGATTGGGTAAAAAATTCGCCAACCTACCCTCAAAATACCAGCTCATTCATCGATCCATTCAGATTTACAAAGCTTGATTTCAGGGAATGAAATTTTGAGGATTCAAGAGCATTGTAAATATTGTCATGAAGGTGAGTTGATAACTTGAAAATTAAACCTAAATTAAATCAATTCTCAAATTTTCAGGTACTTTTTGTGACGGCAAAATGTTTGTAATTTGCGATACCACATTTATAAATTTACCGTCAATTCTTGTATTCGAGGTGATGACGATGAACCATAAAGCTGATCTTCTTATTCCATCGGAGATAAATTGGGCCAATAGAAAATATTGCAAAGTAGCACACAGTCTTACGTTTCCGACTTGGAAAGTTACCGGTGGTGCAGATCCAATCACTGAAAGACCGATTGAGCAACCAAAATATACTGAAGAAGGAGGTTGGCACTGTTGTTTATTGATAAATACAGACAAAGGATGGAAGGAGATTAATAATGACAAAATTTACGAGCCAAAAAAAGAATATAATGTTGCTTCCGAAAACGATTTGTATTTCTTCATCGACGAAGAAGAATATAATGTTCCAAGATGTGGGAACTATTTCGATGAGCATGGAAATTACAAAAAAAATCAATAAATAATCACTAACTTTCTCCTTTTCTCTTATATATTAAAATGAAATTATTTCGATTTATTATAAAGGGTGTAGCACTTAACAGGTTAAAAAATGGGAGGTGCTAATGTACCTTAGTCTTAACTAAAAATGAAGATAAGGTTGACAAAAATGTAAAGATTAAGCTACATTAGCACCTCCCATTTTTTAACTTGTTAAGTGCTACACCCTTTATTTTCATTATTATTAAGCACAAATTACGATGATTGACTGATTCGAGGGTTTTGTTTATTACAAAATTACCAATCTCTCAATTAGTGATCAAGATGATATCACTACACCACTCAAGTCTCGTGTCTCTTTGATTCTTAGTTGCAGAGAGAAAACATCGGTAAAAATAGCCGAAAAGCCTTATAATATAAGGCTTATATTAATAAAGATAATCACTGATTATCATCATTGGTTATACACTTGAATCAGAATTAAGTGAAGAGTTTAGTTTATTGTCCAGTAATTGTAGTTGAAGGTCCAGAACTAGAAAATAGACAGTACAACCAATCATTAAAAATAATATTAATAGATGATAATGGATCTGGATGTTGACAATGATTATTTAAAGTGACCAATGAAAATGTTCAATAGAAGATGAAATATTATCGTAATCAAGTTAATTCAGTTACATGAAAAAAGAGAGAGAAGGTTAATTCTCATTATCGGTTCACTCGAAATGTATTATTTTACTAACCTTGATAATGCATATTCCTCTTAAGTGATGGACATTCAGTTCCCTTTATGAGTATATTTGGTAGGTGGACATCGTCCGAAAATGGTTGAGAGATAATTGATATTCAGTGTGAGAGAAGGAAAAAAAATATTATCAATGAAAACATGGAATTAGAGTGAATTCTGATTAAAGGATCGAAATGAATTTCTAAGTGTAACAATTAATAGTTTTCTATGGTTCGAATCATCAGTTTATCGTTTTATCTTGAGAATATCATTAATATTAGATTATTGGAGTGGTTTTTTGGTTTCTTTATTAGGTTATCCTTGCAAAGGTGAAAATCAGGTCCGAAGATTTTCTCATTAGGTTTTTTATGAAAAAAAGGAGAAAATAAGATTCGAATTTCAATCTATTCAAAGAATAAGTCTGAGATAGAGAAAAGAAAATCTTATCAAATTACCCAACAAAACTTACCAAGAAAACAAAATGGTCGAAGTTATTACGACGCAATAATAAATTAGCATCAGTTTTAAGAGTAACAAATACAACTAAATTAACTGTTCAACTATCATAATTTCGGTGTCAATTTCATCCTTGTGATAAGATGAACAATAATAACACAAAATTTAATTTCTGATTCACAGATAAAGTTAATTAAATTAAAAATTTATCAAGAGCGAAAAAAGTTTAACTTTCCCCAGAAAAGAGTTAATAATTTGTGAACGGAAACAGAGGCAATAGATGGCAGTCCAAAACATGGATTTTGATTAGTACAAAGATATAAATTTGAATTTTAAATTTTTTAATCAGAATAGTTATTACATAGTTAATCTATTGAGTTCTATTGTTAGTCAGATAAATCTCCTGAATTAGTCGTCGTTTCCAGTGGGTAACCATATTCCTCTGTTATTTGGGTGATCCAATCTCGATACATGAAAACATTTGTATAGATTCCTATTGATTAGAGTAAAAAATGAATATAAATCAATAGATGCCATCTGTTAGTTGGTACTAAAAGAAATTTTCTGAAAAGGTATTGGAAGCAAACGAACAAGTTACCTGGTAGGTTTGGTTGAGCACAATTAATACCCCAAGAAACGATACCAGCAACATACCAGGAATCATCTTGATTACGACAGAGTAGTGGTCCACCTGAATCACCTTGACAAGCGTCTTTCTTACCTTCAGGATAACCTGCACATAGCATTTTATCACCAATCGTTATATCTTGTAGTTGATACCATTGAGCACAAACCGAATGATTAACTAGGGGAACATTAACTTCATGGATAACATTTAAATAATCTGCTTCATCGTCATGATTAGGTTTACCCCAACCAATTACGGTACATTTTTTATCTGGAATTAAGTTTTCCGCTCCGACGGGTAAGCAAACTGGCCTTAAAAACTCATCAAAATCAACCGATTCTTCCAATAATAAAAGTGCAATATCATTTCCATAAGTATTTGCCAGATTGAAACCTGGATGTTTGATTACGGCTGAAACTTTTTGCCTTCGAACCAGAAAAGGAGATGATGTCCGTCGAGTTAGACCTTTAAATTAGATGGATTGATTAGCATTTTAAATGTTCAAAAGATTTTCGTCAACAAAATACTAACCCAATTTAACCGTTAATCCAGTTACATCAGTTTGATTTCCAATGCAATGGGCTGCTGAAAGTATCCATCTTTGGGAGATTAAAATCCCGCCACAAAAAAATATCTCAGCGGGTCCACCATGAAGACCTGCTAACCATGGCCACTGTCCGGGTCTTGATTCAGTTCCACCAACAATACGAAAATTAACACCATAAGAAACAGCTGATTTACCACATTCGAAATTGGTACATTTTAAATAAACCGAGATTTTACTCGAATTGGTACAACCCTTTTCTCTTCCTTTGTAAAACATTGTTTTGGTCAATTGTTGGCCCATTCGATCTTTAGGACCTTCAAAAGTTTCATCTTTTAATCGCGTCTCTTGAGCTACTCGATAGCCTAGCATTTTACATGCTTTCGCTGACATAAACTGGGAATCCCAATTCTCACCACAAACAGTATTCCAATTATTATCTGAAGCTGACCAAGCCTCTAATCGACCTCGTCCCATTCTGCCCATTGACTGTCTTAATCGTAAACATTGACGCTCGTCTCGACCATCGTGACAATCACGAACTCCATCACAAATATCTTTCTTATCAATACAACGACCTTTACCACAATGGAATTGATCATTTGTACAAGAGCTGCAATTTCGTTCATCAGAACCATCGACACAATCGAGGAAACCGTCGCACAACCAACTTCGAGGTAAACAACGATTTCCATCACAACGAAAACCATCCGTGTTACATGCTAAGGACAAAAAATTAATCGATTAACAATAATAATCAATTATGATTAACTTTTTTTACTCTTCATGGAATCTGAGTTCTAATATTAGGATGATCAGAAAGTTTTGCACGAAAAATCAATCGAAAATTAAACAAGTAATACATCTCGAACTATTTAATTACAAAGATTTAATTTTTGAAATACGATTTAGAGTTTTTATTTCAATCATTATCACTGAATTTCAGGCATTAATACCTTTCTGATTTTGAACAACAGTGGTTTAAATATTTTTCAATATTTTTTGATCATTGGACTAAAATTCAGTAATTTATCTTTATCTGTTGAAAATTTCAACAATTAAATAATCATAATTAAAGAGAAAATTAAATTCGAATATCGAGCTTTTTTCTCAAGAAAATTCAAAGTTCACCATGAAAATTAAAAAATGTCCATTGACTCAATGGTAAAAACGATTTCATTATCATGAACTTTGAATTTTCTTGAGAAAAAAGCTCGATATTCGAATTTAATTTTCTCTTTAATTATGATTATTTAATTGTTGAAATTTTCAACAGATAAAGATAAATTACTGAATTTTAGTCCAATGATCAAAAAATATTGAAAAAATTATTTTAAGGCCACTTTAAGCCCGTTCAAAAGAGTCGACGAGAAAAAAAAATTTTTAGGTAATTTTTGCCGTTAATTTTGGCCTGGAAGGAAATTTTCAAATTTTGATTAACTTAATGATTAAGAAATAAAAAACTCTCATTTTATAAAATTAAAAACATTTAATTCTCTCAAATCAGTGAATTTTGCGTAATTCAATGTTTAATATGGAAGTAATTTTTCGTGCAAAACTTTCTGATCATCCTAATAATTTAAACTTTGATGTACTATTTGTATTACTTGGGTAAGAGTCAAGATTGTCAATAATTCAATCAGAATTCTTGCTTTTTAAAACTGAAATGGTCAATTCGTTCATGGAAAACATGAAAAAGTTACTCCATGAAGTTTTCACGATTGACCCCAAGAGATTTGAATAAATTGAATTGAAATAATGTGTTGATTACAAGTTGTTCAAAAGGTTCTTGATAAATGTCATCAGTAATTAGGAGATGATGAAGAAGAAAAAAACATCAATTGATGTTAAACTTAATTAACTTTATCTCTTTGAACAGTTTCAATTGACCAAAGTAAATTGGACCAATTAAATATTCCCTTTTGGCAAATTTACCTCGATTTTTGCGAATCAATCGTTGATTATCTCGAAAACCAATACATACATCAGGATCTGGATTATCTGTATATTGATCGCAATCAATTTCTGAAGGCCATTCCAATGAGAATACACTGAGAAAAAAATCACATCGACGAAGAGCCTCTGTTGATAAATAAGAAGAGAAAATATCATTTTAGTTAATCAAACAGTTCCAATTGATAATATCTCAGAATCTCCATGAAATTGGATAGTTCAATATACATAAAGTTGAACATTATTTTCACTGGTATGATTTTTGATCATCTCTAAACCAGAATAAACAAAAGATTCTTGAATTGCTTTTTGTTTTAACCTCAACTCGATTAGACGATTACCATTATCATTCAATATAAATGAAATCCTCCTTTACTTTTAGCATTAGAATATGATATTATATGATTTCTGTTGGGAGGTTATAAATAAAAGTTCCTGGGAAAAAAAAGTTAGCCTCAAGTAAGGAAATTACAAGAAAAATGGAGGAAATATCAAATTTACTATTTGAAATGAATGAATCTAACAAAGAGGAACCACAATAATATATATATATTATCATTATACAACAGAATCCAATGCCTCAGGTAATTTATTATTATCATGACTCTCTCACGATTCTTTTTCCTATTCTCCCTCCTATCATCAGAATCTGTCTGTATATTTCTCACTCGATAACTTTTCTTTATCAAACTGAAAATAACCTCAACTTGGATCATTAATATTCCCAGTTTTCCTCCATCATTATCATCATTATATTCATTGAAAAGAAAAGAAGAAAAAAAAAGTTTGATATATACAGAAAATCCTATTAGAGTCCAAATGAAATGTCAAAAATGATTCTCATCTGATTATCCTTTCAAGGTGAGTAGTTATCAGAATTTAATGAAATGTTTCATAGTTTCAGCACTTGAATAATCTGAGCTTTATCAATTATATATTCCAATAGATATCAACCAGCACTAAGATTTATTCATGATTGGTCAACACTTCACCTCTTCCTTGTTCCCACCTTAACCTGTCCTCCTTATCCTCTTATTTTTATCATGTATATTTGTCAACAATGATAATATTATTTTCCTTACCATGGGTTATCAATGTACATTGATAACTATCATATGTATATGTGAATAAATTGTTAATAACTTCGTGATAATGATATTTCATCTTACTCGCAATTCTGAATACTGAATCTCTTCAAATGTTCAATATTTTCTCTTGAATCCTTGTTAGATCAACATTGCATGACACATTTTCCTCTTCCATCTTTCATGTTAACCTCACTTATCATCCTCATCCTTATTTCTTATTCCTCATCATCATTTCTCACACCAAATCTCACCATTATTAACCAATCATCTTTAATATATTAATATAATGTTCAGATATTTTATTTTTCCTGGTTACAATCAACACTTGAACTTTCCATGGGTTCAGTTGATAGGCAGATGGTTGAGAACTTTTTTTTGAAGCTTCAATTCATCTTATCATCATCATGAGTGTATCTAATTTATCATCATCATCATCATCATCATCATCTCTCTCTCTCTCTCTCTCTTCTGTCTTATAAAACATTCATTCATTTTTCAGTATCATCCTTTTACCTTTATCATGTAATACCTTTTATCAAACAATGAGCATAGTAAATTACGATTGTTTAGATTAGCAAATTCTTTTACTCATATTACTGGGAATTCATGAAAAACTCATATTAGCATCGTCTCTCTCATTAGTTGATTCATTTTTCAATTATATCGACACTTTTCATTCATAAATTTACATAACATCAAAGGTATTACGTTGTTTACAAAAGTAAAATATTTTTACTATCTAATTGCAGATTATTAATAATAATAATGGAATTAGTTTTATATTCATTTGTAAATATTATCATTATCATCAAGATTATATTATTCTTGTATTTGTATTTATACATGTTCTTGTAATAATATTAATCGTAAGGTTAATTGAAAAGAGTCTCAAATGCTAATGAGATGAGGATAATATTGTGATTATGATTTTCCATCCAGAAAACTGTGATAGAAATAGAGGAAAGGAAAGGAATAAGGAAAATAGTAGATAATGATAACAATAAATAAACCAAATGAGAGATAAACTCATGCTGATTCAATTGAATTTCATGAGGGATGAATAATATAATTGAGGAAGAAAAAAATTCGGTAAAGGGTTTCAACGAATAGACAAATTTCTTTGATGGTATTAAGGAGGTCTCTCTCTCTCTCTCTCTCTCTCTCTCTCTTTCATTCATAATCGATCAGATTCATTTCATGAGGGTTAACATGATAAGAAGATGAATTTGATCTGAGTGAGAAAGGTAGAAGAAGATGATAAGGAATGATGATAATACCAAACTGTGGGGAAAGTGGAAGAGAAGGTGAAAAGAAAAGAAAAGGTAACTAAGAATCTGAAGAAGCTGAATAAGGTGGAAAAAAGAAATACATATAAGAAAAGTGGTTGAAGAAAAAAAAGTAAAGTTCTTTTGCTGAATAAGATTTCAAGGTGAAGCTGAATTTGGGTGGAAAGGAAGGAGGAAAGAGAAAGATAGAAGAAACAAAGAAACAAACAGTAAGAGAAGAAGCAAATTAAATACATGATGTTTTCCACCATTAAGGATGAGAGGGTGTGGATTGTTTCTGATGATAATGCTAATTTCTTGTGATAACTTTGTGAAGTGTCTTGGGTGATAATACTCAATCATTTGCGATCCTTATCATGCTCAGCATTCACCGAGACACTGAGCTCGTGAATCTTACGTAAATAAGGTTTGGTACTACAAAGAGAGAAGAGACTAATGATCTAGAATTGAAAATATTCGAGGGATGAATTGTTTTTGTTATTCTTTGAGGAGGAAGGAAAAAGGTTAAAACAAACTAACATGAATTGAGAGAGAAAACCAGAAAAGTACAATGGAGAAGAAAAAAATCCACAAGAGAAAAGATTTCAACTGAATGATGAAGATGAAGATGAAGATGAAGATGAAGATGAAGATGAAGATTCATTTGGTGATCCAGATTCGGAAATTCAGTTTACTCCTTTTTTCCCTGGTTAATGCAATTGGCAACTTTGATTTGCAATTAGAGTTACTTGATGGGAGAGATTGGAAAACAAGGTGAAACATGATGATGATGATGATGGAACTGATAAAGAATAACATTCAATGTAATTCGTGATTTTCAGGGAAGATCAATGGGAGTACTTTACAATTGAGAATTGAGGCTTAACATTGGAAGATGAAGGAAAACTGAAAGAGATTGAAGATCGACCATTACCGTGATTGGAAAGAAGTGTCCAATCAAAGCAAATCATCAAGAGAGAAAAAAAATTTGATAAAACTTGATTACTGTTCATCCAATTTTCGATACTCTTTTTTTTACCTCGTTAATTTTTTTCTCTTTTGAATTTGAAACTGAATAATCTGTTTGATTATCATGGCGATTTTCTGGTCAACATGAAATCATCTGGGATGATACGATTATATTGATATCGCAAATAGACTTGGAGTCAGTTACTCATCTTATAAAAGTTTTTGGTAAGATTTCGGGCTCGGACCTTTGAGAATAGTCGTCAGGTCAAACCGGGTCAAGATGACCGATCCTATGTTATTTAGATAACACATCAATATTTTGATGTTTATCTTCAACTTGGAAGGATTAGTAAGCTCAATTGAACTAATCGTTCGAGTTGAGCATGACCTTGAACCTTTGAAATTCCTGAATAATTCTTGTTCGATGTTGAGTGGATTTTCCCTCGAAAGATGAAATATTGTTTTCATCTATTCATCTTTTGGATAAAGTAAAATCCTTCTCAGAACTAAACTAATTCGGTTATCGTTTGAAAAATAAAACGTTAACCTAATTTGTGATATTGTCATGATTTATTCAGAGAAACAGGAAAACTTTGGTTAATAAAAATTCATGTGATAATTGTTTAAGTTTTTTCCCTCAAATAAAAGCAATTCAAGTTAATTAAAATTTTCAATTTCCTTCTATCCCTTATTATAAACTCGATAATAAAAGTAAAGATAATTTCAATTTCTACTGGCAAAAATTGACTAGATTTTTATGCAAATTTTAGTGAATTTATATCAAATTCATCTAAATGGTTCATAGAGATAATTGATGAGAGATATTATCTTATTATTATATTTACCTTTACAGAAGCTTCGACAAGGTTTAATTGGTTGGGATGTTGAGTTACAGAAGGAAGTTGATAATGAGCAAAGAAACAAAGGAAGAAGCGAATAACATTTAACGCTTAGAATTGGATCATATTCAGTTAATTGTATGTTAATTGTTTCCTGGTTTATTTCACCATCAATTGATTTCGGTAAGGTAACATGTGAATAACGTACGTTGTGCTTTATACAAAAAGCCACTTTCATTGGGACGCAATCATGTCGATCATGAGTAATCACCATGGGATCCAAAAGTTTTCCTACTATTTTGGTTAATTATGGTTAAGAATAGTAAAAGAGAGAGAGAGAATGAGAGAAACACAATTAACTAAATAGTATTAGATTATTGATTTGGAATTTCGTTCATTGGATCAGACGAATTAATAATAAGAACCAGTTAAATTGTTACTTCTTGTTTGTGTCTATGTAATTTTCCTATTTACTCAATATTCTTGACGGTTAATGAGAGATTATTCAATTTAAGTTACCATGAAATCATCATGAATAAATAAAAACCACTTGAGTTTCATTTACCATTAGTAAAGAAAAATATTAAGAAAGTGGTTGAGGAAAAGTTTTGCTCTTCCTGTAGTTGATTGTACAGTTGTAATGAATTCAATTGTTAATAAATTGCCAACACCACCATTGGAATCGTGTAATAGAAACCATGATAACAGTTGAATATAAACAAAAAGAATCAATTGATTTACTGATTTTACGGAACTTCCATCATGTACTTGGAGTTTTTTTCTTCTTCTTCTACTTTTTTGTTGAGTATATCAAATTTCATTCCAAGAATAACATGATTTGAATCATTAGGAATACATTTTTGTTTTCTCAAGTATCAGTGAGATATCAGATTCTCAACTGAACTTTTTATTTATTTTATCCTCTTCTTGTTTGATTGTATTACAATTGTGATCCTTTTGTGTTATATGTTGCTTTCCAATTACACTCATGTCAACAACAATTCTTGTTCTTGGTGAAAAAGTTTCAATATTATGGGAAACACAACATGTTTTTATGAATAATAATGAACAAACCATGATAGATCATGATGAAGATGATGATAACATTGTATCTGAGCTTTTAGAGATAATTTTTATAGGTAGAATACAAGAAGAAAAAAACTCAAGTACAAAAAGTAATTTAAATGCTTAAGGTGATTCTGGAAATTTTTGCATGCAGAGAGTTGAAATTTTTCATGATCTTATTATTGATCAGTGAAATTGAATTCAAAAGATATATATATCAACTTTCGTGTGGTAATATTCAATCCTTAGCTCAATTTATACATGAATAGACATATTCAAATACAGGGTGTTGGTTGTGACTTAGCGGGAAAAGTTCATTAATTATCTGTACATTTTTTTTTCCAGCTCAATCTGAACATTTCCATGGACATTGTATTAGTTTCTGAAGTAAAAATGTATTTTTTTCACTTATTTATGTAATGAATTTAAATTTTTCGATTAAAATTAGAATAAATTTCCAATATAATCTAATCAATAACTTGAATTCTAAATTATTTTTATCATGTAAATACAAATGGTAAAAAATACGTAACTGAATTGATCTGAAGTTAATATCATGAGCTGAATTTATATATTTGCGCTCATGTTATTTTCCAGACAAATGAACAAATTGAACAAATATTTCTGCCCCTCAATTAATTGTAACAGTAAATTTAATTTCCAATTTGTGGGAAATTATATCAATCAAATCGATACCTTTTTGATTAATTCAATTTAATCAAAGGGTAAGAATTATGATCAATTAAACGTCATGTTTTTAATCAATTTAATCTTATAATTGATGTAACATTAACTGACATTGTGTCCTCATTAATTATCACTTGATCTTAATGTTTAAGTTGATTAATTATCTCACCTTGATGATAAGCAACAATTGAGAGAAGTGTAAAACTTATGAATACTAAAAAAAGTGTAACCAAGCGCCAATAACATGGTTGCCTTTCAGAAGACGAGCAACTTTTAGTCCAATTAAAATTGAACCTCGAAACTCGGGGTGTTGATGAGGCGATCGATGAATGTTTATTAGGTAATACCAATGAACTTTTACCTGAATTTTGAACAGCAAGTTCCGGATCAGTGTTACCCTGTAATTCAGTTTTCAATTTCTTAGCTTGTCCTGAATCACTAATAGATGGATGATCGATTTGAGGTAAAGTTCGAGATCCAATGTTTCGACTTTTACTTTCTTCGATTGGTCCCTCAGAATTTGATGACGGCGATGATGATGATGATGATGATGGTGGTGGTGGTGGTGAAGATTCACCTCGAACTTTTTTAACCATGTTAATACCCTTTGCCCCTCACAACCTTTTACAGTGGTATCAAAGTGTTTACCCGATCCACTTTTTAGTAAATTGTACTTAGGCCAAAAGCCGTTACCATGATGTTCCGTCCATTAAGACGATGATTACATGATAAGATTTACTTTTTAATCGTCTCTGGTAATCCAATTAGAACTCACGAGAAAATAAAACTCGAACAAGATGATTAATTGAAGAAATTAACAAATGTAAATCAACACTGATAAAGTATCTTAATTAACGATGATTAATTACTTAACCATTTAAACAAAAGGCAGTGATTGAAATCAAATTACTGATTAATGTTGATGACGATTTTTACTTTTGATTACTTTTTCTTTGAGTTGTGTTCATGATAAACTTTTCATTCTCAACATTTTTCGTTTCTTCATCAATTATGATCAACAATTAATAGAAGACAAAAAAACAATGATGAAGATAATAGTTGATTAAATTGTTGTTGATAAAAAGGTAACCAGGAAGAGAATGAAGATTAGAGTGAGTGAGAGAGAGAGAGAGAGATTGAGAGTGAGAAAGGTATCAAAAGAAGGAGATAAAATGATGTTGAGTTTTTCTCCTGACAGAATCAACAGAATTCAGTGTAACTGGAATAGTGAAAAACCTGAAGTATCTTCATTAGAGTTACATGTATATTCTCACCTTGTTAACCATGGAGTGGATTCGGCGTGTTTTTAGTCTTCCCCCATCTCTGATCATCTCTGATCATCTTTTATCTTCTCCATGTTATTGGTCTGAATGATAAAAGATAAAAATCAATGAAAACTTTTGGAAAAGATGCTTTTTCGAGATTCTCTCAATGAATTGGTCTTTTTATACATCTTCTTCAATACTTACCGATATGTAATCATATTTAGTTTCCATCATGGTCAACATGGTTAATATCATGGAGTTCATGTAATATTTACTTGAGATTTTTAAATTTACTGGTAAACCTAACAAACTATTATCACTGATTGTATAACAATCAACAGATCATTAATATTAATGATGAATCCTAATCAATGTTGAATGAAAGCAATTCAATCAACACAATTATCCATTATTCAAGTTTACCTGGTAATTGGAGCTACTTTTCAACCAATTAATTCAATCTCATAGTTAATCAATCATTCAGAGTTAAATGTTAATTTATTAATAGTTGTTGTGAAAAATAGTTTAATTTAATCATCTAAAATTAGATTACAATAATCAATTTAAAAGTTGTCAGTGTGAAAACTAATCAATGGACTTTTTTTTCATCCAATTTAATGTTCTTGTTAATTGATGGATGTGATTCCATATGATTTGTATTTTGATTGATTGTCAATTTTGATTATATAAAAAGTGATTTTTTTACTTAATTGTTGATCTAAAGTTTATCTTCAGCTCGAGTTTCACTTAATCCTTGAATGTTAACTGATTCTTTGCCATCACCAATTTCAAATCTCACTTTGGTTGATTTATTGGCATCTTCTTCCAGTGAATTATTGGTCAAACTGACCCATAGATGAATAATTAACGGGACTATCACGGAAACTGCTAGAAAGTGATAAGTTGTCCCTGGTGCGGTGTCAATTGTGGCCTTGAAAATTGCCGTGGTCTGCATACTGGCAAAAGTGGTCCCAATGCTTGCATACATGAAATCATTGCTAAAATTTGACCGATCTCATTGAAATCAATGATTCGAGTGAGACATGATCGAGTCGCGGGAATTGCGATACCAGATAAACAAAATGCTAACGAGCCAATGATATAACATTCAACTGTTGGTATACCTTTGATTAGATTACCAATGAGATGAGATAATATCCCAATTGCTGCGACTTCGGCATCGTCCAATTTAAAAGTATTCTTGAATAACATGGATCCACTAATGGTTCCAAATGATTGGATTAGTTGAATGTAGCCATAAGTATTTGAGTATTTCTGGTAATCCCAGAGAAATGCTTTCTCCGTATATTGGAAACCAAACATTGACTCGCTAATTAAACTTATGAAAACGAGTAAAACACTCGAGGCTAATAAAGTGACCTTTTTACGTCCATTATCGGGACGATCACGTAGGAAAGTTTTCATTGTAGTTTTAACGTTATTGAAGTCAAATATATCGGCAGCAATTGCCCAAGCTCCTATTTTGTCATTCGATTGAACGTTATCGACCTTATTTTCACCATCGGCAAGATCAATTTCTGTCATCGATGTTTCCCCTGTTGCAGATGATGATGTTGGTACAGCGATGGTTTTATCTGATTTAGAAACAGAATCATCGATGAAATATATCGCCCAAATTATGGCGATTATCATGGTAATCGCACTCGTTGCAAATACGCCGGTAAAATTACGTTTTCCTGGGCCAAACCACGTTTGTGCGGCCAATATTTTCCCACCAAACATCACGGCGATCGGATAAGCTGCATGAATGGATAAAATGATTACAAGAAACAGATTAACGAGATTACCCAGATTAGAATTAGTTTACATCATATTGCACTCTCTAATCAGCATTGAATTGCTCTAGCAATTTAATCTAGCAATTTTGTAAGAGCAATTAATGTATATCTTTCATGTGATATATTTGAATTGGAAAAAAATAGTTTGTTACCCAATGATTATCATTAAGTGATAAATTTTAAATTCCTAATGCTCCCAATCTTAAATCTAATTAAGTTTAATTCTGGTACAAAGTTGATTATCTTTGGCTAATTGTCAATTCATTGATGTTCACGTGTTAAGGTTGACAGAAATTTTAATAAGTGATTGATTTTCGTGTTTCTACTTCAGATTCGAGCTCTGAGAGTTTGGAAAATATTCAATTGTCATATTTTTATATTCAGGTCATTCCGATCATTCTGTTAAGATAAAATTTCAAGTTCATGTAAAGACGAGAATCAATAATGAAGCAAAGGGTGAAGGTAGCAACTTTTTAGCACATTTAGTTACAGGAATACATGAAGATTTATCTTCGGTCGATCCCGTAGTCCCAATCTAATAGCATTACGATAATCAACTGGAGTGTTTTGTCCTTTCGATGAGGGCATTGCATTTCCTAAACTTCTTGAAAAGTTCAATTGCTTGGAGAGGTTGTTACAAAGTTACCACCACGTTTTCTGCTTCATTTTTTATTTTAAATTTGATTCAGATCATCAAATGAACCCTTATATTAACAGAACAGCCTAAATGACCTTGATATTAAAATATCACACCTGATTATTATCCTCATAAGCCTCATAGCTTTGTGGATTTGATTGCAGCAAAAACTAACTAAACAATTAGTAAATTAGTCTACTGGACCAAATCTTAATAATATTCTGAACTCAAATTAGAGCAACCTAAGAGGTGATCTTGACTTGAATTGTAGCTCCATTGGTTAGTGAATTAATTACTTGGAGAATCAAATTAATTACCTGTAAATATGAATAAATCAACGATGGCAAATCTTACTGATCTAAATTTTTGAGGCGTTTTTTTAGCTGCATAGGTAAAGGAAGCAGCAAGAACCAAAGACTGACCACCACCGAGACCAAGTGAGAGGTAAGCCCAAAGTGAATAGATGACCGCTTTAAAACAAAATAGAAAACAATTGAGATGTTTAATTGTTGTATTCTCAAGCAGTTAAAGTGCATTAATTACTCACCTACATCAAAGTAGATACACTGGTAAATCATGATAAGCGATTGAATTAAAACACCGACACATGGAAGAATCAAAAGTGACCTTATATGAGATGGATATTTATCTATCCAATAGCCAAAGAAAAACGACTGAATTACTCCTGGAATTGTGGCCACCAAAGTCTGATAATTGTGAATCGATGTGGCACCGATCAGAACCTGAGACTGAATCTCAGCTGTTGAAGTTTCACCGGAAGATAAATTGTCACATAGACTTTCATCTTGACCAAGTTCATTGAGACAAATTTTGGACTGAGTAAGTTCAACATTGGGAACTTGATAAACACCATAGCCGAACATGAATAAAGCCATGTAAACATCAATACGAAGCAATTTAATCAATTCAATCATCTCCTTAGGCTTAACCATGATGATAATTTTTATCGATGATTAACCAATTTGACCAAAATTCAAATGGATTATGAGACAATTTAAACTCAATCAAGAAAAATAAACTCAAACTTTTACCACTCTAATCAAAAGCACCATGATAATTATGATCAATTTAACTTTGGTTAATGAGGTGATTAAATGTAATTTAATTGATAGTGATTTTTTTTCCACAAACTAATCATAACAATTAACAACCCTGGTAATTTGATTAATCTTATCTTATTGAGCAGCTACCGAGAAGATTTTGATAGTATTGTTAATTGTTAATAATCTTTGTAATTGTTGTGATAATTGACAATTATAAATGATCAAAATGAAAGGAGTTTCCAAAATTAATCAATTGGCTTCGTACTAACTTAATGTGTCAATTAATTAACTTTTTTTTGAGTGTAATTAATTAAAACATCGGACTTTAGTATGTGATTGTTTCAATTGTTGATTAATATTAATTGTTGATCAGATAATTTCATTTGCATTTTATTATATTTCCAATTAAATCATAACAAAATTTTCAAGTATTTTCATTAATATCATAATCCAGTTAATTGTGATTAGTTGCAAATGAAAATAAATCCAATTAGTTAATCAAAAATTAAACTAAACCCAATTGGCAACAATCCAGAGACGACCAATTGATTAATAAGAAATTAATCTTACCTATCAGCGATGATTAGCTGATTATGAATATTGTTTTCTTGTTGATTGTATTAAAAAATTGGGTTAATTACAAAGAGTTTTAATTGTGAAAATTAGTTGAATTTAGGTAACAATTTAATTGCGCATGCGCAGTAGAAACTTTGAGTCACATGTTTACTTTTGAATTTAGGTTTTCATTTTTGTCTCTTGATTGTTTTGGTTTAGGTGTTTAATTGTAATTCTTAATGATGGTGGACAACTTTTGGTCTAAAAGTTTAAATTCACCAAAATTCATTGTCGGTCCAATGGTCGATCAAAGTGAACTTCCGTTTCGTTTACTGTGCCGTTCATATGAAGCTCAGTTATGTTATACTCCAATGTTTCATGCCGGTATTTTTGTTAAGGATCCAAAATATCGTAAAGAAAATTTTGTCAATTGTGAAAATGATCGACCTTTAATTGTACAATTTTGTGCCAATGATCCGGATACCTTTCTGGAAGCAGCTAAATTAGTTGAACCTTATTGTGATGCTGTTGATCTTAATTTAGGTTGTCCACAAACGATTGCAAAGAGAGGTCATTATGGTGCATTTCTTGAAGATGAATGGGATCTCCTTAAATCTATGAGTAAATCACTTGTCAATTATATTCCAACAAATGACTAATTAAGTTCATCTTTTTCTTTCTTCTCCCCTTATAAAGTCTCTAAGGTTTCAAAAGAATTGACTATTCCGGTTACTTGTAAAATCAGAATATTTCAAGATATTGACAAGACAATTCGATATGCTCAAATGTTGGAACAAGCTGGTTGCTCCATGATCGCTGTCCATGGTCGGGTCAAGGAGCAGAAAGGAGTTCTAACTGGAGTAGCTAATTGGAAATATATCAAAGCAATTAAGTATGTTTACTTAAGAGAGTTATAGAAATTGGTTACTTTGGACCTGATACATTTGGGAATAATATTGTTTTCTTTGACTTTTTATTTTCATTGTTTCAGGGAAAGTGTAAAGATTCCCGTTATCGCTAATGGTAACATTCAAAGTCTCGATGATGTTAATAGGTGTTTAAAAGAGACTGGAGTTGAAGGTATCATGTCGGCCGAAGGTGTACTTCATAATCCCGCTCTATTCAGTGCAATACATCCTCCCGTTTGGAAAGTGGCCGAAGAATATTTAAAATTAGTTGAACAATATCCAGTGGTTTTGTCAATCGTCCGAGGACATTTATTCAAATTTTTTCACATCTCCTTGTCGATTGAGGAAAACGCTGATTTGAGACACTTATTGGCTAAAGCAAGTGCTCGCCCTCAGCTTCATGAGTTTGTCCGATTAATGAAAGAGCGATATCAAGAGAAACTTGAATTGGATGATTTAGATTTTCATGTTCCAATGACAACCTTACCTTTACCACCTTATCTGTGTCAACCTCATTTCCGTCCATCACCGCCATTGAATAAACCAACGGGATCTGAAGAGACGAGTAAGAAACGTCCCATTGAGAATGACTCGGAAACCTCTAAGACTAAAAGATTAGCCAATGAAGCTCGTCTTCAGGCCAAAAAAGCCGCTAAGGAAGCCTCTGGACGGAAATTACCTCTTTGTACCTCTTGTCCTAATCCAAGAGGAGTAAAATGTGATTATAATCTCTGTAAAACTTGCTGTCGAAACAAAGTTTTCAAATTAGTTCTTGATTGTGTCGGTAAGATTTCACCTTAAACCTTAAATTACTATCAAATTGTATCAACTAATTTGTTGGTATTCTGTTTTTTTTTTCGTTGCAGGTCACAAACTAATGTTCAAAACAAGGAAACGACTGGCCGAGGAAAAAGAAGCAATTAAAACAAAAGAACGTTCAACAAACTTAAATCAACAATCAACAATCAACAATTCGTCAACTGTTTTAACCTGTGAATAGAAAGTTAAACTTAATTTATCAATCCAATCAACTAATTGATCAACAAAAAAAGAAGCTACTACAATTAAGTTTTGTAATAATATCTTAACTCTATGTAAATATTTTTACTTAATATTTATCTGAAAGTTTAATGATTCAAAGTGATATTCATATTTTAATTAATCAACTGAGTTAATTCATCACAATTTGTTATTGTTTAAATTGTCAAAATTTTCCCGACAAAATCAACATGCAATTAGTCAGTGAACTAAAATGAGACGAACGATAAAATTTTATCATTTTCTTTGTTAACTTGTTTTCAATAAATCTCTCTAATTATCCTAATAATTAATTAGAATATCAATTAAGAGTTGAATCAAAACGAAACTAGAAAGAAAGAGACTTTAATAGTGACATCTATTGGTCTTCTGATTCTTATTCTGTTATTCAATCATGAATGAATTCATTTCAACATTGAAACCTTGAAGATGGTGAAATAACCAGTTATTAATTGCGAATGTTAATTTGATTGTTTTCATTGTCAAACGAATCAATTTTCACTTTAAGATTGTTGAAAATGTTTCCACTGGAAAATCATCAATTGATAGTTGGTTTGTTTTCCATTTTTCTTGTGAATTACTTGATTAAATTTCTAATTAGATTGTGGCGATTTCCTCCTGGACCTTTGGGTTTTCCTATTGTTGGTTATCTTCCTTTCATTAAGAAAGATACTCACAAACAATTTACCGAATTGGCCCAAAAGTATGGACCAGTTTTCAGTCTTCGAATTGGTAGTTTCAATGTTGTCGTGATTAATGGTTGGACAGCAATTAAGGAAGCATTTGCTGATGATAATCTATTAGCTCGTCCAAATGAAGATTATTTCACTATTGTTGGTGATCAATCAATTGCTGAAATGTCTGGTGATAAATGGAGAGAACAACGAAGAGTGACCTTGACTACTTTACGAAATGTTGGACTTGGTAAAACGAAAATGGAGGAAACAATTAGAGAAGAAATTAATTGTTTCATTGAGAAGATTAAAAAAGAAACAGGTAAACCTCTTGATGCTGGCGAATTACTGTCAACTAGTGTACCGAACAATATATCGACTCTTTTGTTTGGACATAAATTCGATTACGATGATCCTCGAAACATTGAACTCGAAAGTAATTTCCGTAAACTTCAGGTCTCTGGTAGTTTTATCAATGGAGTTGTGTACATGCCTTGGCTTGCGAAGTTAATTTTACGATTCAAATTTCTGTTCTTCAAAAAGATTCTTGATGCTTTGGCCGCTATCGAAAAGTGTATCTCCGATGAGATCGATCAGCATCAACAGAGTGATGAGGAAATTGTTGATTATGTTGACGGATTTTTACAAGAGATGAAGAAACGTTCAGACGATAACGAAACGACCTTTACGATAAAGACGTTGAAACGAAACGCATTGACCTTTTACTCTGCTGGTTCAGATACGATTCGTTTCACCCTTGAATGGATGATGCAAATTCTTGTTGCTCAGCCAGAGTTTCAGGACAAAATTCGAGAGGAAATTTATCAAGTTCTGGGAAGGGAAAGGTCACCCGACAATATTGATCGTCAACTGATGCCCTACACAATGGCCTTTATTTATGAGGCTCAAAGGTACTCGTCAATAGTACCGATCAATTTACCTCGAAGGACAACTAAAGAAACGATTATCACTGGAATGACAATTCCTGAAGACGCTGTTGTTTTGTTCAATTTTTGGTCAGTTCATCGAGATGAAAATCTTTACCCCGACCCCGAGAAATTTGACCCAAAACGATTTCTTAATGAAGATCAATCCAAAGCAATTAAACCTCCATATTTGCTAACTTTCAGTGGAGGTAAACGCGTTTGTCCAGGGGAAAGTTTTGCGAATCTTCAACTGTTTCTCTATTTGGTTAACATTGTTCAGAATTTCAATATTAAATCAGCATCTGAAGGTGAAATTTCATTGAAAGGTAACTATATGTTCACCCGGTTCATCAAAGATCCCGTTAAATTGATCTTTACAGAAATTAACGCCGATTGTTAAACTTCAATACTCGATCAATCAACAAGCTAACAAGAGACCAGAATTTTTTTATCGATATTTACAACAATTAAATAGTTCGCTAAGCAATTAAATGACATTTAAATTGTAAAAATATTTGATGATTTTACAAATAAATCAATTGATTCACAACAATTAGAATTTACTTTGAATCATTTTCAAGTTTGATTTTGTGAACAAAAATTTTATCAATGGTCATGTTTTCATTCAGTCGGTCATCTGTTAATTCAATTAGTTTTTAATTTTTCTGGCTAATTAATTGTTCACTGGGACAAGATTTCAACGCGTACATTTTAACGGGATATAAACCTTTTGGAAATTGATATTGACGCTTTTCACACACCAATTTAAGTCCACTTTTGATGAAAAGGTCCAAATATAACCAATGTGGCCTGGTAACTGAACTATCATTCATATCATCATCAATTTGATCGGAAGATGTATGATTATCCTTGATTATAATTAACCCATCAGGTTTTAAAATTTGTTGACATTTATGAAGAAAGTCAACTAAATGGTCATCAGTTAAATGTCCAGTTACCCATTGGCACCAAATGAGATCATACTTTAAATCATCTGAAGGATTAAATTGATGTAGCGATGAACAAAACGCTTGACCGATTCTTTGATCGTAAATATCTGGACCAATATGTTGACGAGCCTCATTGAGAAACGATTGATTAACATCAAGAAGATCAACTTTGTGAAAATAATCGAGCAATAAATTTTTGGTAACCCTTCCAATCCCAGCACCACAATCCAAAGCCCGTCTCTCATTTTCAACGGGCACTTGATAATCGTTCTTGATTACTAAAAGTTAGAAAAGAAAATACAATTTGATTAACTGTCCAATCAGGTAGACTAATTGTTACCTTTCTTTTTCTTATTCGGTGATTGTAAAGGCTCAATGAATTGACTCAAAAATCTCTTGGAACCCTTTATATCAATCGATGAGATGTGAGCGAAACCACCGAGCATCCCGTCCACGGTGGGATCCACATTCTTCCAATACTTGGCACCATTTTGATAGAAATCTTTATCCACTTTACAACCATTAATGAACATTTTCGGACTTGGATTGGTCCAAAATAGATAATTAATTAGAACAATTAGTTTATCAATGAGAAACAATATGACAACAATAGATTGTGGATTCTATCCAATGGACAAGAAACAATCAACAGTAAATCTGATTAGATTAACAAACTGTCACAATTTACATTTACAAGAGCAAATCAATTGATACAATTGACGATTAATTAGTGGTAACAATTTACTTTAATTGGAATTAACTGATTGGTAAACAAGTGAAAACAATGTAAACAAAAGTAAACAACAAATAGGAAGAAAAAACCATAAACAAGAATTGATGTTAATCGAAATTTATTAAAAGTCCCTCGGCTTTAATACTTTTTTTTTTTGGAAAGTTAGTTGTTCAACTTTGATTTGTTTTCCATGCTAATTGTTGTTTATGGAAACAGTGAATTTATTAAACTCTCAATTGGTTAACTTTTGATTATTCTAATTGTCATTTACAGTTTTGGTTTTTCTTTCGTGTAAAAATTGATCGCGTTCATTTTTATACAAAAAGTTTGGTTTGTTTCATGTATTCACAGATTCGAGATTAATTATGGTTGAGATGATCAATATTTGAGAATAGAATTAAGAATCATTAGAAGAAGATGTATTTTCTTCATTTAGATTTTTAATTTCTCCACTGTGGAAATTGTTAATTTCGTTGCTTGATTGACGGTGAACTTTAATTGTATCTTTGATACATGAGAATACCATTGGTAAGGGTTGACCGTTTAAACTTTTCCATGAATTTGAATACCATGAATGAACCATTGTCGGTGAATCAGCTGATGGATTGTTATTAATTTTAAACTGTTCGGATGGTGGTTCAATCTCATGTAAAAGTTTACCAGATCGAAGTGACCAGAATCGTATTTTATAATCTTGACCAGAAGAGCAAACAACATCAACTGATTCATCAACACTAATTGGAATCTTTTTACAATCATTTACGTGATTGGAAAATGAGAAAATTGGTTCCTTTGAGTTTCGTCGATCGGTAAGGAAAAGTTTACTATCATGACAGGAGACAATCAGTTGATTGTCATTCTTAAGTGGATAAAGATAGGCGATTGTTTTAGATTTCAGGTCACAATCATCGATTTGCTTTTTACTTGTTACATCGAATGAGATTAAATGTCCATAATTGGTTCCAGAATATAAACGTTTACCATCTAACGAGAAGACGAGAGAAGTGGCCTTTCCTTTGAGAACTAATTGATTATGATCGTTACATGGTTGATTTGGTGTAAATAAACGGATATGATTCTCACTTCCAATCGCTAAAGTATTATGAGTATAGGGACAACAGCTAAATGATGGTTCTCGTATTTCATAGTTACGACTCCAATCTTGAACTTGTCGACGGGCACCAGTAAGGTCACTATTATCGATATATTGTATATTACATGATGAGAATGTTGAAAGATCTCGTTTACAATGGTTAGTTAAACACATGACAGCTGAATATGGGGAATCGGTTATTTGTACCATACACAAATCTTCAACCTTTGTACCTCTTGGAAACGCATTGATTATGGTACATTTAGGATTATCTTTGAAATTTGATACTTTGATGTGATGGATAACGGAACCATTTCCGTCAGTTGAATTCCAAACACCGAAAAGTGAATCGGTTGACGCTTCACCAATAAGATAATGACAATTGGCACCTTTCATTTGGACTCCTTTGTAATCATAGATTTCCAATTGTTTTGATTGTTCACATTTCATTTGAGCAAAACGTCCGGAGAGAAGACACTCTTGGACATTTAGACCAGAAGAATCCAACATATTTAAACGAGTTAATTGTGAACAAACGTTCCTAGGTGAAGGAATTGATGGTGTTGACGAACAATTATTTAGATGAGGATGATATTTATCTCCTTCCAAGATTCGAAAATGGCGTTTTTTAACTGGATCATAATAGAATCCATCTATTTGCATACTATTGTTTTTCGACATGTTCATTTGGTGAACAATTTAAATTCTGAAAACAAAAAAAAAAGAGAGCGAGAAAAATGTATCAGAATCAAAGAAACACTCAAGTGATTTTGTCATAATATCGATAAACAAAATGATCTCATTTCAATCGGAAATATGAAAATGGAAAAGAGGTTAACATGAAACAAATATTCAATCAATTGATCAACCAAATGGTAATCAAATCACTTACTTAACTGGGTCAGTGAGTAAATGAGTTGGTTTCCCAAATTAATAAAGCTAATTGATTCAATTGGGTAGTTAAAGAGTGATAATAAAAACTTGAATGATGGACACTCATAAGATTAGTATCAGGGTAGTAATTGACTATCGGACTATAAGACATAGTAGCTCTTTAAGTGGTCATAATCAGATACAACTGGACACTAGGAATGAGTCACCAATTCGGACAATCCAAACAAAAAAAAAACTGATTCTCTAAAAGTGAAACAATGTGATATTGAACAATACAAAAAGCGCGTTGAATGGACTCTCCATTAAAACGATAACAAAAAGATCAACTTAGATCGCAATGATTGTGACCAATTAAGATTAGCAGATTTATGTATAAGCTGATTAACAAGTTGGTGATAATTGTGATTAAAAAAATAGATTCAAACAATAAACACTATCCAACAACAAACCTATGTAAAAATGGAAATGAGAAAATGTTTTGGTTAGAAAATAGTAAACAAAAGGGATTAGAATTTGTAATTAATTAACTTACCTGATTTAGGCCAATTTAGGTGAATCGGTTGAAAACCAAATGGGTAATAAATTAATGGAAAAAATGGTTATGTAAATCAATTGAGAATAGAATCAAATTGATTTACTTAATTAATTAATTTGTTAAAAAGAGAAGAGTAAACAAAAAAGTAAACAAAAGCTTTTAGACCAAAATTTTGGTTCTCTTTCTCTTTTCTCTGTCTTTTTTTGTTTCGCTTAAATATCGATATTGCTGTGGATTATTGCGTCATCATCGATAATCGGAAAATCGGTTTTTAATCACAATCATTAATTGTTAATTGTGAACAATTAATTGAATCGTTTTCCTGTTTTTCTATCAATCCAACTGAAAAAGAAAATGATTTTGATTTTGAAAAGAGAAAAGTGAAAAGTGAAAATCCTTTTAATCTTGATGATTGTAGCTCTTTGTTAGTTAATTAACTATTAATACATTCATGTTGATTGTGATTCTTTCATGAGCAATTAATTTGCTTTAGGAATATAATAAACTTGGAGCTGTTAAGTATTTGCTTTGAGCAATCAAATTATTCCAAAGTGGACTTGGATAGGTTCGTCCGAGTAATTTGGTTGTATTGTGAACGGGCAATTTTAACAAAGCACAAGGAGTTTGGGTAATTGTTAGAATCTCAAGTAAATGTGATTCAATGAAATCGGTAATCATATCGGGTGATATAACTTTCTTTTGAAATAATCTTTCCAATACACTATCAGGTGATCCAATCTTGTTCTCAATGAATTGAATGTAATCAGTTCTATTTGCTTCTCGAGCAATTATGACAAAGTAAACATCCTTTGGTAATAAGGTTCCAAATTGGTTGATACATTTGGTCATCAAATGGGTTACAAGCCAAGAATTAACTGATAAAACTCTTTGGTTGATTTGGAAACAAACAATTGATTCATTGATCTTATACAATCGTCCGATCACCTCCTGTAACTCTGAATCGGGTGTTTTTCTAAGTACCAATGATCCGAATAGTCCATCAGTGATTACTTGAGATTTAGATGGATGACCAAAAGTGATGAAGATCATTTTAATCTCTTCAGTTTTAATCTCCGGTTTTGGATTAAACTCTTCAAACGTCAAGGTAAAAGATGAAAGGGTTTTACAAGAAGATTCATAAGTATCATCGTCTTCTTCATCATCTAAATCGACGGCTCGAGATGTTGGCTCCTTAATATCACCGAAGAAAAAATTCATTTTGACAATTGAAAAAATTTTCCTTGGACAATCAACTAAACCAAATTAAAGATTCTATTTACTTTTTAAATGGAAACAAAATTTTCTGCTTAGCAATGTTACCAATTGGGGACCGTTGAGAAATTTAATCGAATTTTCCTTGCAATTAAATTGGAATCAGAGAATTAACTTAATTGTTTGAGTTTTACTATCGATCGAAAAAGAGAGCGAGATTGGATTTGGATGGTTAAAAGTTTTCTAAGTTAGTTGATTTAAATAGATTTGTTGACATTTTGGTAAGGGTTAAATTAAGAATGAATTTTTGTTTATTCATTTTAACGATTCACCATCATGACTTTGTTAATTTGCTGTTTGCTGGTTTGTACAATTAAATCTAAATTATGGACTTTCAAGATTCAACAATCTTAGAACCTCCAGAATGACATCCATCCTCTGTAAAGTGTATTATCAACTAGACTTTCGACAGGTCCAATAGCGACTACTGAAGGATCTTGATCATAAACGTAGGTTTGCATTGCCTTTTTTACGTCCGATGCGGTGATTGAATTGATTCGCTCTTCCATTTCAGCGATTGGTATTCTTCGGCCATAACATAACATTTGTCGACCAATATCTTCACAAATGGGAGTAGTACCATCCAATTGAAGTAACATGTTTGTCTTTAACATATTCTTAGCCCGAGTAACATCTGATTCTTTGACTGCTGATGATAAAAGATCAAAACTTTTACACATCTCTTCAATGAACTCGTTTATAACAAGTCGATCACAAACAAAGTAAACACCCCATAGACCTGTATCTTTGTAACAAGTATTAAATGATTGATAAGATGCACACAAATTTTTTTCAGCTGAAAGTTGAGCTAAACGAGATGTAACTGAATTTCCGCCACCTTGAGATCGATCATAAGAACCAAGAATCTAAAATAAAGTAAATGAAAATTTAAAAATTTATAGAGAAAAAGATGAAATCAAGATGTAAAAGAATATGATTAATGAGAGATAATACTTACGGTGTTTGCAACCATAAGAGGGATGTTATCAGGATTATCCCAACCAGCACCTTCAACGGCGAAAGCTCCATAAACGAATGGCATATCATCATCTCTTATTCTGAAATCACTTCCAGTGAATCGGCAATTGTTTATTTCTGGTATTTTAACACCATCATAAGTCACCTTGACATTGGCGAAATATTTCTCAGCCAATTTGACTAATTCATCGTGATCAACTCCACCAGCTCCAGCGATAACCATTCGAGGACCTTTGTAATTTCCTTCGATGTAATTTAACAAGTCTTGTCGGTTGATTTTCTTAATGTTTTCAGTGGGTCCAAGAATAGTCATACCAAGAGGAGTTCCTTGGTAAGCATTGGCATGTAAATGGTCAAATACAACTTCTTGCATATTTGACTCAACCTCTTGCATCTCACGAAGGATTACTGATCTTTCCCGTTCAATTTCAGCTTCTCCCAATTTGGAATTTTGAAGAATATCTGAAATAATTTCAAGAGCATGAGGAGCATCTTTAGATAAACATTTGGCATAATAGACAGTCTGCTCCCTAGATGTGTAAGCATTAAGATGAGCTCCCATATTTTCAACTTCCAATTCTAATCATGGTAACACAGGTAAGTAAGAGAGTGAGAAAGAACAAAAAAAAAAGAACCAAATTAATGAGAATCGATTAGAATTAAGTGTAGAATATAGTTAAACAAGTAAAAGAGATTAACTAACCTAAATCGGTTTGACTACGTTTATTTGTGCCCTTAAAGGCCATATGTTCAAGGTAATGGGCAACTCCATTAGTCTCCGGTGTTTCATATCTTGATCCAGCATCAATCCAAACACCAATGGTGGCAGTTTTGAGGCCAGAATTTTCCGTTGCTACCCTAATACCATTAGACAATTCGGTGACTCTGGTTTCTGGATAGTTAACCAAAATCTCACGAGTCGGAACAGCAGAAATTTTACGGTTTTTCAATCCAAACCGTTGAATTTGATTATTTTTACTCAAAGTTTGGATTAACCTTGGAGCATTTCGTAAAATGGTAGACGACATAATTAAATATTAACAATTAATTAATCACCGGAAGAAAAAAACAAAACAATCACAATAAGAGGATGAAAATCAGAACCCAAAAGTAACAAGGACAATTTAATGTGAACAAAAATTCATCCAATCGATGGATCGATTCACTTTGAACCGCGAATTTTGAACTGGAGAGAAAAATTAATTTTCTCAAATAATTTAGTTAATTATTTTTCTTTTTTTATTTACAAATTGAATTAAATGAAAAACTAAGAAAAATTAATCAAACTAATTAATCGACCAATGCTAATTCCATTAATAATTAAATTCTCTCAAGAATCGAAAAGAATTGAAGTTAATTGGTCGAAAGTAGAAAAATTCAAACGTAACAGAAATTAACAATTAAGACAATTAAGGCTGAGATGGAATCCAAATAATCTTGAGTTAATTATGTTTCTTTTGAAATTTTAATTGCAATGATTAATTGGTGATAATGAATCAATTCGATATCATTGTTGTTTAACCTTTAGAAAGAGATTTAGATTTCATGGTAATTTGTTGATTGTTCAAGTTAATGTTTGAGGGAAAAGGTTAACGATTAACGATTTTAATTTAGAAAAGAAAAGAGAAAAAGTTAATTACAATTAAATTACGTTAATTTGTTTACTGATTTTGTATTAATCTATTATCACAAGAGGGAGAAAGAAAAGAAAGTAAAATAATTGAGACTGTCTGTTGATTGAGTTTTGATTATCTTACTTGAAGACAACAAGTCAACAACAATCAGTTAAATTGTTGTTTCTATTTCTTTAAATTGGTTAATTATTCATTCAATTAAACAATTTCAATACTATTTCATTGAATTAACTGTTCCCTTTTTCCGGTTTTCGAGTTTAATTGTTGTCGAAATTGAAAACGGTAAATATCAAATTCGTTTACGTGATTTTTGCTTATTACTCAATGAATATTTCAGTAACTATGTTGTGATTTATTTGCCTTTTATTGTTGATTCATTTTTCTTATTGATTAATTTGATTAATCGTTAATTCAATTTACATAATTATGTTCGAAGCTTTTACCAGGAAAATATCGTCACGAACTAAATCACTCGAAACAATGGTCTCTATTGAGGAAGCCAAGAAAATCGTTGGTTCGTTTGTTGTTGATGATCTGCTAAAGGTTTGATTTCAAGATGATTTAATTTATCGGAGAATTGATTGTTTATTTTCTAATCACAATTAAAGGATAATATGATTCTCGGGATAGGAAGTGGATCAACAATAATTCCTGCAGTAGCCAAAATTGCCGAGAAAGTATCACAATCTAATTTAAAGGTTAAATGTGTCCCGACATCTTTTCAGGTAAGAAACATAATCAATTTTAATTGTTCACCTTTCTAATTATTTCAATGGTTCCTTTTATATTTTCATCTACTATTAAATGAATTAAATCAAATGTTCACTTATCATGTTATCCTTAAATCTATAGTTTAAATCCCAAAACTCAACGTTGGTGTTTTTTTTGATTGTGTTCAAATCAAATTACATCAAAGAGGAAACTCTTGAGTTTTTATCATCAGAATATTATTGACAATTAATGATCAATTTCCTCAATCTTTTTGCTAATTACATCGGTTTTTTCTTCTTCATGTATCATGTATCTAATCAATTTAGTCTCTTTTAATTTCTTAGGCTCGTCAATTGATTCTATCAAATAATTTACCTCTTTATGATCTCGAAACTTGTCCAAAAATTGATCTGACAATCGACGGAGCGGATGAAGTGGAGACGAAAACTAAATTCTGTATCAAAGGAGGTGGTGGCTGCTTATTGCAGGAGAAAATTGTTGCTTCAGCTTCAACACAATTAGCGATTATTTGTGATTACACGAAAATGAGTAAACAATTAGGTGAAAATTGGAAAAAAGGTATTCCTATTGAAGTGATTCCAATGAGCTATGTTGTGGTCAAGAATAAGATTGAATCAAAGTTTGGTGGTCAAGCCAATTTGAGAATGGCCAAAGCAAAAGCAGGTCCATTGGTCACTGATAATGGTAATTTCATTCTCGATTGGGTTGCTCCTTATAATCAAGATTCTGCTACTCAATGGGATCAAATTAATCAATCGTTGATGATGATTCCTGGTTTAGTTGAGACTGGATTGTTCATAGAAATGGTTGATTTCGTTTACTATGCTGATCGACTTGGTGCTGTTCACAAGATTTAGAATTACAATTTTTAGATTGATTGATTTTTCTTAAACTCATCTTTTTTCATCTCTCTTTTAACCAACACTCTGTTTCCATTGTACAGTCAATGAATATTCAATCTTTTGATTGGGATGTTAATCTTAATTGTATCGATTAAAATCAATGATGAAAGGCAATTATTATTATTATTTGATAAAATGGAAGCGAAAAAAATTGATTTGAATTCCTAATGATAACCAAGAAAATTGTGATTTTGATACAATAGATTTTGTTTTTAAATAAGTATTCAGTTTATAACATTTTCCAATCATAACCATTGAGAAAAATTCATCTCGATACTTTCGTCACCATTGTTTCCTTGAAGTTTTCATTTTGAAACAAATCGTAACACAATTTTTTTACTGATTTTCGAGAAGCCAATTAACTCGATTTGTTTTTTTTTCACAACTAAAATTACATTTAACAGCTCTTATTGTGATTGTGGCAGCTAATGCTTGAAGAAGCTCGGCCGCTTGACGGACTTCTAAATGGGTTCTTGTGTCCGAAATCCAATCTTTTGCTACTTTACGAGGAGCTCCTCGCAATTGATTAGCGTATTTCAAGGCTTGTTCAATATTACGTTGATTGAGACTATGTTTAACTCGAGCAAGAATTTCAAATGTGTCCCATTTAGAAGGGTCAACTTGCATGGTTCCAGATAATTCTTGTTCAGGAATTTTAACAGAATCGATAATCAATACAGATTGTAGGTAGGACAAAACGTATTGACCAAGAGATCCTCCGTTATCTCCTATCAAAGCGACGCGTTTACAAAGTTTGTCCACTTTTTTGAATCTTTCGATGAGACTGTCCTCATTGTGAACTCCTTCTACGATGGCATCATTAGGTATACTGTTTAGAATTGACGAAGTCATTGGACTTTGAATCGATAAACCATCAACCGTTTTCTTCATTGTGGTTATTTCATCTTTTAGTGGTTTAGGTTCGTTCAGTCCATTGAATTTGAGAGAATCTTTCAATGATTGACAGAGAAGCCATAATTTTCTTGCTCTAATTTCTTCTTCGTCCAACTTTTCCCGTGCTAAAAGAATTGAAATAGAAATGTTTAGTTAATTTACTGGCACAATCAATTGAGATTCAAATACCTTTTAAAACGCCTTCAATGTCGTGTAATTTGTTTAATGCTCCGCTAAGTTCTGAAAAATATTTATCTTTAATTGCTAAAATTTTATCCTCTTGGTCTAATATTTGCATTCTTTCCAGTTCTAATTTTTGGACTTCTAATTGGTCATTGAGATGGTCAAGGTAAACAGCAACTTGACGTTTCAGTTGTTTTATCAATTCTTTTTCATATTCATCGCGAATCAAATCAATCTGAAAATAATATTATGAGTGAGAATTTTTGTTTAAACATCGATAATTTATAAATAGAACTAACCTTTTTCTCAAAATCTGCTTCAAGTTCATCTATTTTTTTATATTGTTGAACCATCTCATGTTCAACAGCGGTTTCGGATCTTTGTTCACTTAATTGTGAGACTGGACTAATATCACTTTTATGAGCCTGGAAGGGAAAGAAAATTGAATTTAGAACAAGTTCATTGTAAAACACTGATGATTTAAATACCTCGATAGTAGATTTAGTTTCATCTTTTGATTCTTGAACAATTGGGACTGGTTTAACAATACCAACTGGTTTCTCATCTTTTACAGATTCTTTACTTTTACTAGCCGGGGTAACCTTAATTTCACTAGATTTTTCCACTACCGGTGATTTGGGTTGAGAAGATGTAGGGATTTCCAATGGCGGTGGTGGAACCGATGTGGGCTGGGGTGGTAGAGAAGAAGAAGAAGACATAATCGGACTCGAAGAAACAGTCTTACTAGACTCTTGTTCAGCTTGAGCTTTACTTCTTTCCAATTTCTTTTTCATCAAACTTTCATTTTGACTAATAGATTGAATTGAAGGTGAAGATTTAGCAGATTCATTAGCACCACTTTCAGATGGTCCAATTAAAAAATTCAAAATATCCTCAGCATAGGGAACATTTTGATTGATTTTCTTTCTAAAACTCGGATCATAGCTGTCATAGGCAATAGAACCACCAATACCAAGAACAGTTGCTCCTACAAGACTGACCAAAAACTTTCGGCCTCCACCCCTGGAAGAAACAAAATTAAGAATGAGAAACAAAGTAAATCAATTGGAAAATAAGTAAAATACTCATAAAAGAAAACAGAAAAAAACCAAATTACCTTGGACCGGTGCTTGAGAGCCTTTTCTCAAAGGGATTACATGATCGTTTAGGCCTCTGTAAAGACAAACATTTCGTTAAAAAAGGTCAACTAATGAGATCACAATCAACTTACCAGTAAACGCTTTACATTAATCACAGGGAATGGCCGACGAAGCATGAGGCAATTAACGATTTAATTAGTCAAACAATTGGAAGGTCAAAAAAACGTTTGACTTTAACATCAAATCAAAAAATCCAAACAGTTACTCTGAGGGATCTTATTGATATTACGACTTGAAAATGTTACGATTTCAAATGATAAAAGTTAATCAAGAATAAAAATTAATCAAATTAGTTAATTGTTATTAAATTCTATTTCCATATCCATAACTAAATTCTCACTTAAACATTAACTATTACGACTTAATTAATTTACTGTTTCCATTCTCGCCTCCAATAGAATTGAATTTCCAATGATTAATTTTCATCTTATTAACAATTGGAGACAATTAATTAATATCTCACAATTGATATTTTTATTCAATCAGTGTTAACTATTATTATTATTGTTACAATTAAATAAATAGTTTGCTTAAAGTAATTTAAGTCTATCCTTATGATTTTGAAAAATGTACTTGAAGCAATTAAGTTTTTGTTTTGTTGTGTTGAAAAAGCAAATGATGAAATCGTTAAACGTGATTAGTTAACACGATTTTGATTAATAAATTACTTGACTGTTAAAAAATTAACAATCTGTTGATTGTAACACGATTGTTAATGACAAAAAAAAATGAAATAAAATAAATTACTTAATGATTTTTGATTTGACTTCTATGAAACAATGAGTATAACATTCAAATACAATTGAGCGATATGAGGAAAGGTCATTTAAATGATTAAAAGCGATAATTAAACTCATCAGATGATTTTAACTTGATTAGTAACAATTAAAAGCTTTTATTGAAAAGTATTGAGCAAACAATTAGGCTAATTGTTGATAGAGAAAAAGAAAATATATTCAAATATATTTAGGTTTATATTACAATTGCTTTAATATAATCAATTGAACAAATAAAACAAATCGTATTGATTGAATTGTGAAGTTAAATTGTCTGATTAATTGAAACTGTTAGTTAGTGAGAATGATTAAATTGTTATAACAATTAAAAAGTGAACAATGAAATAACAAATAAAACCCCAAGGTAATGATTTATTTTTGTTCCCTCGTTAACTTGATTTGATTGTTGTCGACACACACAATCAATCAGCATAGAACCGGCTTTTGATTGTGAAAAAAAAGGCAAAATTTAACTTGTTGGACAAGAAGAAAGGATAACAATTAACTTAAATTGCTATCGATCCAGAGATAATCAACATGAGACAGCGAATTAATTGTTGATTAACAAAATGAAGACAATGAAGGTTAATCTGATTTAGTCGAACAGGAAAACTTTCTCTCATTATTTTGGGTTCGATAAGTTTTTTTCCGTTCGGTAGGAAAGAAAAAACTTTCTCCGAATTCAGAATTTACAATTTGTTCATTCTAATGATTAATTCGAGTGCGAGTGAGTGTGTGGTGTGTGGTGTGTGTATGTGTGTGTGTTTGTGATCAACAGCACGATGGTGATCAATGTAAGAGGCGATTTAACCGAAAAGAAAGAGAAAAAGAAAGAGAGATATATTGTACCAACACGAAAATCGAAACAGGAAAAAAGTTCAATATTGAATCTCGGTTGACTGTCTTTCGTTGATTGCTGAGAAAACAGGAAAATTAATTTATATCAATTTCAATTATTCGAAACAATTAATTTCGTATGATCAGTGAAACTCAGTGATTAGTAACATTATCAACTTGGCCCTTTAATTGTTGCCTTGGTTTCATTTAAATTGTTATGATATGTGTTGATTATTATGTTATGATTACTATTATTCCAATGGGATCAACAATTAACTGATACCTGGAAATATCAACTTGTTTAATTGCCAATTACTTGATCATAATATTGACATTTTGGTTGATTGTTTGGGTGATTTTTTGTGTTGCTCTGTATGAGGAGTTACAATTAAACAGCTTTGATTAGTTTTATTTGATAGGTTAAAGTGTTATCAATGTGAAAATTAGTATTTGAAACAAATTAACCAAAACAACAATCAAATTTAACAACAATCAACATGAAAATTAAAATATCAAGCGATTATTTAACTAATAAATCAACTAGAAACTTTTGAAAAGGGTAAGAGTTTGTAATTAAATTTGATTGACATTCATTTGAAAATCAATAAATTACCATTTGAATTGGAAAAGTGTTAATTTGATTGTAATCAGTGTTAATTTACCGTTTTAAATGTTAATTACAGAATCAATGAAAAAAGACAAAACAAAAAACGGTAAACATTTAATCATTATAATTAGTATAATGAAATTTTAATCAATGGTAATTAAGCACTAAAAGTTTTTTTAATTTAGTTAAAAAAGAAAAGGTAATCTACCAAAATATTAAAGTAACAGAATTAAATTGTAATAATTAAGTATCATCATAATCATTGGGATTTCTAATTGTAACCTTGTCAAAAAATGTCCTTGTCTTTTTGTTAATTTTGTTAAATTAGAAAATGAATTTAGATTCAACTTGATAAGATTAACTGTTGAGTATTAATAGTTTTGATTGATTCTTTCAATTGATTACCTGTATTATCAACAATTAACAATCAGGGATTTTAATGTTTTCCTTTTGGTTATGGTTATGATGATCACTGTCAATTCGCGTTGATAAACAAGAACCATAACTAACGATGATGATGACGATTAAACCAACGAAATTACCGTAATCATGATGATACCGAAAAGGTTCAAGTTCTGTCGCCCTTGAAAAGATTCTGTTCTGATAATGAAGATAACAAACCCTGAGAATTATAATAAACCCTAATTAGCTTAATTCTTTTTTCTCTTCTTCTTCTTCTCTTTCAATCATTTCTTTTCATTAGAACGTATTTGTTTTCGCAATTGTGATTATTTCGAAATAATGATAATATTAATAATAATAATGATAGAGATTAAATAATTCCAGTTATTTATCTGAATCCATTTCGATTTAATCGTAACCCACTCGTTATATGATCACAGCTCTCGCTCTCTCTTCGTGGTTTCAATATAAAAGAGGGAGAACGGAAGTTATTTCTGATAAAGATGAAAGAAAATAAATAATAATAGTAATTATAATAATTGAATATCAATAATTGAATAGAAAAAAAAAGAATTGAATGTTTGGTGAATTGTGACAATGTGAACATTTGATTGACAGAATATTTTTGTCATGAATTGACCTTAAACAGATGAGGCTTCAGGCTGTTTGTTTGGGATAAGTTTCGTGTAAAATTGAAAATTAAAAGATTTAAAATGAAAAAGAAGAAGAAAAAAGACGAGAGAGAGAGAGAGAGAGAGAGAGAGAGAGAAGAAGAAGAAGAAGAAAAATGACGACAATGAGGAGGATGATGAGAGAAAGTAAGACAGGTAAGAAGAGAGAGAGAGAGATAGAAAGAGAGATGGCAATTCCAGCCTTGAAGATGGTGGAGCTCAGGTAAATGTAGGAGGATGAAAGTGAACGTGATTGAGAGAGAAAGAGAGAGATAGAGATAGAGAGAAGTTACTGAGCTTGAAAAGTTGAGCTGAACGAACATTGTTTTATCAGCAAACCGGGAAAGAATTTTACAAAAGAAAAGAAAGACAGAAAGAGAGAGAGAAAGAGAGGGAGAAGGGAAGTGACAAGGAAGCTGTATAAAGGTATAAGAGTATGAGAGAGGGCGGTGATGTGTATTGAGAGAGTGGTGGGTATGTTGATGGTGATGGTGGTGATAGTTTAAGTGTAAACTCGAAAGTGAAAGTGGTTCTCTTGTTGATTGGGGAAAAATTGAGATAAATTTTCTCGATAAACTTGGAAGCCGCGTTTCGAAATCTTAGTTTTCGTTTTTTCTCTCTCTCTCTCTTCTTTCAGGTAAGTGAATCGTTGCTGAAGGAGAAAAGATGAAGATGAAGATGATGATAACAATGAGGATGATAACGTCCAAAAGTTGATTGTGTGTCGTTAAAATCAGTTTAACTTACCTTGTGAACAGTTTACAAATTAATTAATCAACAAAAAAAAGTGTTTGTGATAAGTTTTAAAGTGAAGAAAAAAAATTAAACTTTAATGTTCATTATGATGGCGATGAGGATGATGATGATGATGGTAATGATGAGGATGTTGATGAATTTAGTGATTGATTCAGTTGACCCCAAAAACAATAATAATTTTCATCTTCTCTATCCAGGGAATTAATTATCGTACGGACATAATCCATTTGGACTCGATTAGTGTACGGATTGGATTAATCGGATTTTCTGTTTCGTCAAACCCAAAATCCATTGGAAAAGTTAACTAATTGTGATTGTGATTAAACTCGATCATGGGAGCTAATTAACCTTAATTTGGAACGAAAAACAGGGAAACAATTTGAAAGAGTAAAAAAAAACGAAAGAGAAAAAAGAGAAGAAAAAAAAACACCAACAAGAAGATTCGAAATCGTAAACAACACAATTCAACCGTAAATCGACAAATCGACAAATCGACGAATCAAGTGTTCTAACGATGTATTCGGGAATGATGAACCATTTGGATTACTACCTGTTACAGAAACCAATTCATCCATGTAAAATGTTGTCTTCTGGTCCAGTAAATGGGTCATTTTTTGAAGTGACCAGGGGATTCATTCAATCGGTGAACACCATGGAATCAACTGTTCTTGTACCAACCCTGTTGAAGGATATTAATCTTGAAGGTGTTTCTTGGGTTCCGAGTTTGATGGTTAAATGTAATTATCGTCAATTGTTTGAAATCTATTGTGCAATTAAAAAGTGTAAAAATTATTTCACTGAAGTGGAAATCGATGAGGTTGATAAGATGACCAGTAATAGAAGATCAATTAAGACCAACAACAATTTGACCGACGATAAAACAACAACAACAACAACAATAGATGAAAATCCTTTACTTGTTTACGCCATCGAATCTGGTATTGGCTATTTATCACCTGATTATGTTATTAATTATTGTCAACAATTGGATCAATCAAAGGTACCGGATGTACCCTCTCCATCACCTTCTACGACAACCTTATCTTCATCATCAAATGCCAATTCTACAGGAAGTAATCGGAAACAGAAAATCTCACTAGATTCAGGTAATTGGAGCAGCAGAGGATCAGATTCAGTTGATGATGATTTTGATTTTGATTCAACTGGTAACGCGATCAACGGTTCAACCGTAACTCCATCGCCGTCATCGACAACAGCGACAGGGACAACAGCAAATGGAAATCTAATCAATTGTTTAATTAATTCACAAGTTAATCATCATGATGAAATGACCAACAATCTACACAGTGAATCGGATCAACAACAACCTTTGACAACACTATTAAACGCTACCTCGACCTACCTTCGTAACCTGAAGGCGCTTTTCAATCACCTGAAGGAAGTAGCTGATTTTGTTACCCAACAATATCTTCAAGCACTTCAACTCATTTAATTAACTGATTATCGTGGTTTCGCTCAATAGCAACGTCGTTACAATAATTGTCCATGACTTCAACTATTTCGTTTTAATTTTCTTCTTTCTCTTCATGTAATTACAATTTAATTACAATACCACAATCATTAACATTTCACCATCACTTCATTGTCTTTCATTTAATCTTACGTTTTTGGTTCTCGTCCTTAAGATTCAATCTAATTGTTCATCTCTCTCTCTCTCTTTCTTTGTGTCACTACAATTTGGTAATTGTTATCCTGTTAAATCAGCTTAGGTGTTTTCATCAATTTTTGGCTAATTAGTTAATTTGTTTACCTTTTCACCACATAACAGTTAATACAAACAAAAAAGTTCAAATGAAAAGATAATTGAAAAAAAAGATGAAGAAATTAAATTGATTCGAGGAAAATTGTTTAACTAAATTATCAATCTTTAATTTGCCATATTGTTATTCTAGTTTTTCATTTCACAATTTATCTAATTCATCAACTGGTTAATTGTTGAATGTGTTGTGTAGGCGATTAATTTATTGTCCTTTTGTTTTAATTATGAGAAAACTATATTTGTGATTTTCATTCCTACAATTTGATTTTTTCATTCAACTTTTTGTTTTCACAATTTTCTGTCATCATTGTTATTGATCAACAATTTAAACAAATTCTGATGTTTTTGTCAATCAAAAACACTTCAATTTCATATCAATTCAATTTCACACCAAGGAATCTGGTAAATTTATATAAACACCTAAATGGAATAGAAAATTATTAACTTTCAACAATTTATAACCTTCGATATGGAACAATTTGTTGTTTAATTGTTTGTGGTTCCAAATAATTACCAATTACAGAATCCATGGCTAATCCATTTAAATTGTTGGAATTAAATGTTTCCTCTTTCTTTAAATATATTCACTCTCTTATTGTATTGTTGATGGTCAATTCTTTTTATGATTGAACATACAAAAAAACAAAATTCGTTTCTGGACAATTTGTACAACCCCGATAATATAATTGCTGAATTGAAATAAAAATTAACTATCAACAAAACACAAGCACACACACAATACAATTATCAAATTTGATTGTAAAAGATTTATGATTGATTTATCTTTTCTGTTTTAGTAGAGAAAAACATTTAACATTTAATCAACCAGAAACTCTTACAGGTTTTCAATTGATAATGGTTCAAGTTGGTTTAGTGGATAATTTGAAAATATTATTTCGAGTACTTCCCAGGAAGTAAAATTCCGTCATATTTCTGTTGAAACCATTTCATTGATTCCTCTTTTGTTACACGATGTCGAGGTCCGATCACGTTGTTTTTTCTTTTTCTATCGGCTACATTGTAACCAGCTCTACCAAGAACCACGTAAAAATCTAAACCATAGATACCAATACCAGGGTCGTATTTGATTCCAAGATCGATGTGTTCTTGAATACCGAATCCAAAGTTACCACCGTCAGAGAAGTTTTCTTTCTTTAATTCATATTCTTTAACCTGGATAATTGGAGTGAAAGAAAAAAAATTATGAATTCAAGTGCACATGTTGTCACATCATTTAAGAGATAGAAAAACTAAGCTAACCTTTAAACCTTTTTCAAGAATTTCTTCGGCTTTAGCTCCTCGTACAGTACAATGAACAGCAATCTTTTCATTTTTACGAATACCAAAGGATCTAACTGTATAACGAGCTTTAGAGAAGACAGGCTGTTGTCCGGTCAATTGTTCCAACACTTTGGCTGCTCGGGTCAGTCTGTCACCAGATTCTCCAACACAAATATTAAGACAAAGTTTTCTAATATGAATTGTTCTCATAGTATTATTTTCATGCTTCTTTTTCATAGGAGCAACTGGTAAAGTTGGGGCATTGGTTCGGGCTCGTCCCTTTTTCTTGAATACTTTTTTCTAAAATCGAGAAAAAGAGAGAGAAAGAAAAAAAACACAAATTACAAAAAAAATCACAAAACACAAACCATAGACCAAAGTTAAACCAAAGAAAAGCAAAAAAATCGACAACAACACCAAACCACAGATACTTTACCTTTGCCATTTTAACTTAATTAACACAAAACAGTTCAAATAAATACAATTAAATTAAAGTTTAATTAAAGAAAATCACAAGAAACAAAAACCCCAAATGTTTATCAATTGAACAATTTAATGTTTTCTACTTTCTGGCTGTTCACATTTTCCGTTTCCGGGGGTTACCATGGAAACGACATTCGCGCCCTCTGTCAATGGAAATTACCGCTCATTACAAAAGTTGAATTTCTTTGTTCCCCCTCAATGTTTATCTAAATTGTTTTTCTGTTTCCAATGATTTTAATTAACTTTCCAAGATAATAACCAATCAACTTTAGTAATCACAAGTGGTTTACCAATAGATTAACTATGAAAATCCAATGAAAAGTGTATCAATTTGTCAAAGAAAACCGATTGGTTGGAGGAAAAAAGAGAAAGATAAGATTAAGGAAAAAGGAAAAGGTTGGAAACCATTAGCTGATTATCTTTACTGTTTCAATGGAAAAGAATATGATGTCAGGTTGTTATAAAAGCTCGGCCCCTTATCTCCTGAATCAGCAGTTTAAAATTCAATCTTGTTGTGCCAACACCTTAAATTGTTTAAAACATTTAATCAAATTGATCACTTTCTTTAATTTAATTATCAACATGTCACTTGTTAACGGTATTCCATCAACTAATCAATATCCACGTATTGGTAAACCAGCACCAGTTTTTAAAGGAACTGCTGTTGTCAATGGTTCATTTAAAGAAATCTCTTTAAATGATTATAAAGGAAAATATGTTATTCTTTTCTTTTATCCACTTGATTTTACCTTTGTTTGTCCTACTGAAATTGTCGCTTTCAGTGATCGTGTTGCTGAATTTAGATCAATTGGTTGTGAAGTGATTGCCTGTTCAACTGATAGTCACTTTACCCATCTTGCTTGGATTAATACTCCCCGAAAACAAGGTGGTCTTGGTGAGATGAATATTCCTTTATTGGCTGATAAAAATCTTTCCAATTCATTGAATTATGGTGTCTACCGAGAAGATGATGGTATTACCTTCCGTGGTTTATTCATTATTGACGATAAAGGTGTTCTTCGTCAAATAACCATTAACGATTTACCTGTTGGACGATCTGTTGATGAGACTTTACGATTGGTCAAGGCTTTCCAATATACCGATAAACATGGTGAGGTTTGTCCAGCTAATTGGAAACCTGGAGACAAAACCATTGTTCCCGATGTTGCATCAAGCAAGGAATATTTCTCAAAGGCTAACTAATTAAGAAAAAACTTAATTGGGTTTTTCTTCAATGCAACAATTACATTGATCACAACATTTATTAATCTCTCAATAAATTAAATTTGAGAAAGAAAAGAAAAATGTTCTTGAAAAGGAAATAAACATCTCAAAGATTGAAATAAACATTTAAATTCCAAAATTATTTCAACAGTTCATCCTTTCCATTTAGTAATCTTCGCTCTCTTTCACCTGAATAGAATAATTAAATTGTAATTAGTAATTTAATTTCGTCAGATTAATTATTCCAACGTTTAAGACAATAGATAAAGGAAAGTCTTTGGGTAGAGAAAATCGATTTTTCTCTTTAATTTTTGTCTACATTTTTTGTTCTCTTTCTTTTCCTCTGTCTTTTTGTTGGAAAATCGATTGTTTGAAATCGATTTTTTCTTTTCTCTATTTCTCTTACTATAAATGTTTTTGTTTTCTTTTGGGTGTTGAGTTAATTGTCTTGGTTCCTCTTCCTATTAACATTGTCCATCCATCTTTTTGTTTTCTCTTTATTGTGCTACTCAATGGGTACCCTTTCTGAAAGACCAGAATTTGATGAGATTGAAAGTCTATGTGTTAATTGTCGTCAAGATGGAATCACAAAACTTTTGGTTACCAAGATTCCCTTTTTCCGAGAGGTGATAATTATGTCCTTTTCTTGTGACAATTGTGGTTACTCTAACAATGAACTTCAACCTGCTTCAACCATCCAAGAAAAGGGTATTAATATACGTTTAAAGGTTAAATCTCCTGGTGACATGGATCGACAGGTAGTCAAATCGGATTATGCTGAAATAAGTATACCTGAGTTAGAGTTTACTGCAAGTCGTCAACCAGGATTGGTAACTACAGTTGAAGGATTAATTGATCGGGCAATCGATGGATTAAGACACACCATTCAAATGAATAGTGATCAACCTGAGCTAATTACCAAATTGGCTGATTTCGTTATTAGACTTGATCTATTGAAAAGTCTGGAACAAGAATTTACTATAGTCATGACAGATTCATCCGGAAACAGTTTCATTGAGAATCCATTAGCTCCTAAAGTTGACCCACAAATGGAGATCATTTTTTATACTCGATCGATTGAAGAGAATAAAACTCTTGGCATTTATTCCATTGAAGAAGAACCACCCGAACCAAGTGCCGATGATCTGAAAAATGAGGTCTTACAATTCCGTACCAATTGCTACTCATGTGGAGCCATTTGTTTCACCAACATGAAACTTACCGCGATTCCACACTTTAAAGATGTCATTATAATGGCCACTAACTGTGACGCTTGTGGCTATAAAACGACCGAAATCAAAAGTGGCCAAGGAATCGGGGAAAAGGGTGTTAAAATAATCCTTCCAATTGTTACAGAAGAAGATTTAAAACGAGATGTTGTTCGATCCGAGACATGTTCTTTAACCATTCCTGAAGTTGACCTGGATATTGGTCGTTCTGGATCTGGCAAATATACTACAGTCGAAGGTTTAATTGAACAGATCAAAGAAGGTCTCGAAAAATCCGATCCATTCGTCGCCGGTGACTCAGCCCCAGCCGAGAAAAGAGCTCGCATGACCTCCCTTATCGATAAACTTAAACTTGGAATTGGCTTAACCATAATTTTAGACGATCCTTGTGGGAACAGTTTCGTCGATGGTGCTACCAATATCGAACATTATGAAAGAACATTTGATCAAAACGAAGAACTCGGATTGAACGATATGAAAACTGATCTGTAAATGTCTTATGCCTTATGTTACGTTTTGGTTGATTATTTATTTCAAATTATAAAAAGTATGAAAATATTATCGCTTTGAGTTAAACAAAAAACTATTGATTGTAAGTAAAATTTACTCCAAAGTATATCACTAGTACTTTGAATCAATCGAAACAATTAACAGTAATGATCTGTAAAGTTAATCGTCTTTAAGATTTGTTTCTGAAATCTTTTTGATTATCGATTGCATTTCATGGATTTCCATTGATTTCCCTCGAAAGAAAATCAAAAACAAATCAAAAAAGTTTCGAAATTAATCTTGGTGCCGAATAAAACAAAATTCGTCGAAAAATTCGATAAAAAACTTTTAATTGTTATGATATTTTAATTCCAATTTTCGTGCTATTATATCACAAAAAGATTTAATTTACATGAAGGAAAAAAAACAATTCTATTTAGACGATAATCAGTTTTCTTGGTGAAAAGATGAAAACATTGAACAATTAAAAAGTTTCGACATAAATGTTCACATTGATTAATGGATTTACAATAGAAAATTATGAAAAAAGAAATGAATCAAAATGGAGGATTAAGATAATCCTTCCAGAGACAAGATGACATCATAGAGAGAGAGAGATTAGTATTGGATTAACAAGGAGCACTTAATTTGTTCTTGGCAATTTTATGGTTTTGGTAACAATTTAGAGGAAAACTGATTGATTGCAAAATAAATCAACAAGTCGAAAGATGATCAAAAGGAGTAAATCAACAGCAAAAGAAAAATAACAATTTACAATTAACGATTTGCGATACAATTTTACAGAATTAAAGAAAGAGAAATGGTTCCAAACAATTAAGCTAATTGTCGTTGTTCAAACTGTCAACACATTAATTATCTTTTCTAATCAACTGAACTTGTATTGGTCCAAATTACATGATATGGTTAGTTAATTAACTCGAGTTGGAATATTGATTTTTATTGATCATTCGATTGGTGATATGTAATCAAGTTAATTGATCATTCGAAGCTATTGTTCAATAGCATGAATGATGATCGACGAATATCAAATTCGCTTTTTGATTTTTCTCTAACAACAAATTCGATATGATCTTTATGAGGAGTATTATAATAAGCCATCGCCATCATTTGAGCGACTTGTTCGTGGCTTAGATTAGCGGTCGATAATCCGTCCACTTCAAGGATTATATGTCCAACATGAAGATCGCCAGTGTCGAAAGCAGCTCCAGAACTCTGTGAATATCATCATGAGGATAATGAACGAATCGAAAAAGGTTAAAATTAGTAAATCATTTCAATCATTTATTGGAAAATCGGTAATCACTCAAGGAATAAATTAATTCATGGTAACATCATGTAAATGATTCAATAGATTAGTAAGAGATAGAAAAAAAAATAATCATGTAATTACATTTGAACCAATTAACTATGAACATGATCAATATGAAGAAGGTCAAATAATAACATAATAAAGTTAATTGGTAGTAACTCTATTATTATATTTGTCTATTTGGTTATTTGATCACATAATCAAATTGATGATTAAGAATCAGGAAAAAATTGGAATCATCGTTTCCCTTTGATAATAAGACAGTTATCAAGATAATCTTGATTCATATGAAACCTTTTCTTAAATTGGAATCAAAATTTTCATGAGAATAAAGGAAGAAAAAAAAATGAATTCAATGTGATTCATATTGAATTTAGATCCGAAAATTGTTCAACAATTTATCTCCATGATAATCTAGATAAATATGAAACTGTAAATCTCATGAAATGCTAGGTGAGATGGTATGTTAGCCGATTGTTATTCCAACAAGAATCGAAGGACCAATTTCAATGAGATATTCCAATTCCATGGGGATTCGAAAAGAGTAAGAATATGATAAAGAAAAGGACTAATGATAAATACGAAAAGAATTCAGGTAATTTGTTCCTTAGAACTTTTTTTCTTCTTCTCTTTTTTTTATATTATCTTTGCTTGTTATTTTCTATTCCATATATATAAAAACCAACAGTTTGAAAGATTTTCTATTTGTTTTTTTTGTTCTCTAACAAGGTAAACTTCGAAAAGTTCTGAATCTCTGAGTTCGAATACGAATAAAACAAAGACAAGCCAATATTGTTCTTACTTTGTGAAAGTGAACCTCTCTCAAGACAAAGAAGATGATGAAAAGATATTATATCGTAATAATAATATGAGTTTACCCTGAAATCCCCATGAACAAAAATGAAGGAAGAAAAAAAAAATTCTCATGATATATTTTATCTACTTATTCAGCATAAAAGATTAAACTTTTAGGTGGAGGAATGAAAAAGTATCTCTTTTATCATGAAAAATATGAACAGAAACTTGAAAGGAATCATTGATCTCAGATAATAATAGTAAATGTATTTCACCATTTTGATTGTTGACAATTTAACATTAACAATTCAATATTGTCAAGTGATCAATTTGACAGCAGTGAAACTGTACAATTGTTGCCTGATTATCCAACAGAACTCCATGTGAATATGTTTCATCGTAATTGTAATTAACTTGTTGGAAGAGTAAAAAGTTCATTGAGATTAATCATCTTCTCAATCATTTGAACGTATTGATTGATTACAATTAAGATAAATTTATTGTGATAACTTTTACTTTATTCTTGGTTATTTATGTTCAGCTTATTATGGAACTGAAATTGGAATGGAAAATGTTGATCATGGTAATATAAATTGTTACCCTGGAAATAATATTTCACCTACGGAAAGTTCAATCTAATCAAATCAAGAATAAAATAACAACAATCAAATCAAATTGTTTGATTGTTGATTTTTTTGTGTTTTCTTTTTTTTTGTTTGATTCCAACATGAGCCTCAATTGATATACTTATTGCTGTTATCATCATGTTATCAAATTTTATCAACAATCAATGATGTTATTTATTAGTTTATAACATTTTTTTTGTTTCTTATATTCAGTTGACCTTAAGAGATTATTATGATTTGTATCATGATTATCATGATATAAACCAAGGAAAATTCTGGTTTCAAGTCAATTTAAAGTTTATTTGGTTTCAACTTATTGGGTATCATGATTCAGGTTAATGTCTTTCAAGTATCATCATCATCTTATAAATGATGATGATGATGATGATGATAGACTGATATTTGAAACTAGTTCAATGTGATTCATGATGAATCAATTTGATTCAGTTGAAATGAAATCTGAATCCATGATTATAAGAAAAGTTTTCTCAACGTAAATCAATTTATTCATTTGTTTACTTTACTTTCCTCATCTAATTCAATTGTTACATTTAATACTTTCTATTTTAGTTTAGCTTAATTGTTCAATTTTAATTAGATCCCTTAACTGAGAGTTATAGTTATTTTTAATTGTCATCATAATATTCTGGCTTCCAAATTATAATCAACTGGGAGTTTTGTATAATCATTTGTTTTTTGCTCAACAATTAATGAAAGTTAGTTAGTCAAATTAACTAAATAAGTTTAATCATTATAAATGATTACATCCATTGAGATTGAATTGTAAGATGATCAAGTTAACTAATTGACTGATCTTAATTGTTATATTACATTTTTTTTTGCGTTTCTATTATTATATTTAAATTGTCTCATTTGTAGTTCTAGCTTAATTGTTGAGCTGTTAGGTATTAATTTTGATGACAATTAGGTTGGCAATTGATTCTGATTAACCCAGAAATCATTAAATTGCCCTCTTTTGGCTTAGGGTGATTAAGATGCTAAAATTAATAAGAATGACAATTTAATTTGATTCTAATCAAGGTTACCTGTTGAATAGGTTAACTTTATATTAAGGATAGATCCAGTGTGTATCATTAAAGACAACCAATTAACTAATTTCTCACCAATCAACTAATTAGTTTTGATGGTTAAGAAAATCAAAATCAAAATCTTTAATCCTTGATTACTGATCTAATGGGCAGTTTGATTTGATTTTAATTGCTTACTAACGATCATTTAAACCATCATAATAATGGTAATAATTAAATCATCATTTGATTAATGATTAACTTTTAATAAGTCAAAATAATTAATCACAACTACTGATCACTAACCTTGAATAATCAGGAAAAAAAAAGTTAATACTTGATCATCAATCTATAATTAGAAAATCAAATTAGGCTAATCATTTGATGATTATTAAAATTAAAAGTTAATTGAAAGTTATTATTAGTAAGAATAGACTTAATTGTTCAGCTAATTGTATCAAATTTGAATCAACAATTAGAATAGTAAATTGTAAACATAACCCAGTTTGTTTACCAAAGTTAAAAATTTTCTGCTTTTTTGGTTTCAACAATCAAATTGATTTAATTATCTTAATCAACGATAATTGGATCAAGTAAAATTTAACAAATCACAATTAAAGACAAAACTAAACTGATTCTTAGATTATACTAATGTTGTTAATGAACTTGAATAATCAATCGATTAATTCACTAAATTAGTTTCACTATCAAAACTGATTGAAAAACAAAAAGTCAAGTAACTTGATTACAATTAACTTTAATCATTCAAAGTTAAACTGATACTCCAGTGAAACCAGTGTTTCTCCGTAATAACAATTAAACTAATTGTCAATCATAATTAGAAAATTGATTCCCTGATGATGAAAATAATAACGGTAATAATAATAATAAAAAATTATTCCTGCAAAACAAAAATTATATAAATAAATTATTATAATAAATTAGAATTGATAATAAATGTTAATCATACAAATGACAATTTGTCATCTCCAGAGTAACAGGTAATCATTTTAATAATATGAATGCTATTAACTGGATCAATAATTAGGATATTATAGCGATTTAAATTGCTTGAGATGATATTTCATCTTTTCACAATTAAAATTAATCTGATTAAACCAATTGTTCAACAGAAATTCAATTAAATGAATAATCTGCTGAGAATAACAGAGAAGAAAAAAAAATAATTAACTTTTCACTTTAATTTGCTATTACAAATTTAGATAATAACAATTTAGTAAACAATTTGGTTGTAATTGGAAAATTAAATTTGACAAAATCAATCGAATGTTAAATTGTTGTCAATCTATTGATGAGAAGTTAATTTATATTTACTAATTCTGTTGATTATTTTTACCATGAAGTTTAATCAAACAATTAGATGATGATGATTGTTGAGAAGCAACAATTAACATTTGAATAGCTTGAATGAAACGTTTGATTAACAGAAGATTAGTAAACAATTAGCTTTCCATTCAATTGAAACACTAATTAAATTCAACAATCAATACGTGAGATTGTTCAATGAGTCTCATGAATTAGAGACAACAATCAACTAATTACTTACATGAATACTTATGATTCGAGGCTGAAGTTGACTTGGTACATCGGATCCTCCCTCGATCGCTAATCCCAAGATTGGCTTAGATTTTTTAACAATTACTCTTAATCGTCCATCAGGCTCTCTAACTGATCTGTGGTACTGATTGATTACAATTGCGATGGGAAAAAAAATCAAGCGAAACAATTACAATCAATTCTGTGGATCCAAATTAGTAAATTTCTCTTTTTTGACAACTTACAGGTATTCTGAATGATGAACTACGATGAGGTTGATAATGGAAAGGTGAAGATGATGGTAACTGACCAGTGGAATTGAATGAACATTGGCCTGGAAGTGAACTGTGCCGACGAACTCGCGATTGAAATATCGAAGATGAATAATTATCGTGATTAGATGAACGATGGTGATGATGTCGATCGTTAATCATATCGTCATCTCCAGCAATCAGTTCGTCTTCCTCATCAACCAAATGAACTTTATCATCGCTATGATATAAATTTGAATTTGTTCCAGAGATTTTCATATGATTATCACGATTATCCGATCCTACGATTCCCGTTGAGTTAATTGTTTTCATTTCAACTCCACTCAATGATCGTTGGCGTAAATTATCATGATACTCATAAACTGATTCTTTCTGTAAGTTCAGTCATGAGAAAAAAAGTTCAGACAAAAAAAAACAAGAGACAAATAATTTGATCGCAATTAATTTGGTTATAATTAAGTGATATTATATAATTTGAATGTTTAATTGTTGTTAGAGTTTCATTTTTTTGTTTACTGATTGTTTCAAATCAATTTCAATGAGTTTCAATTACTTATGTACAGAAAAATAGATTTACTTAAAGCATGAAAGTGTAACAATTAATAATCATGTTACAGTTTCGATTGTTGTTAAATTGGTTGATTGTTGATTGAATGTTAACAATTACACGGTCAATTTATAGGTTAATCGTTATTATCCAAGTGGAAAAAGGGAATTACAATTAAGTTAATTGTTAGAAATCGTATTTAGTTAGGGGATTATAAGAATTTCGAGAAAAAAATTGATATATGAAGACATTGGAAAAGTAAACGATATAATTTAGTTATTTTCTTGGTATAAAGGAGCCAAAAATTAATCAATTCCGAGGTGAATTAACTTAGATTGTTGAAAATTTTGAACTTGTTGATCAATTGATTAAGTGTTGGTGATTTAAGATGAGACAATCGATTGACCAGTTGATTGTGGTGAAGTAATTGGCGAGTAAAGTTGATGATTAGCCGATGGAAGATGAGACAAATCAAGAGATTGAAGGCTCGAAGCTGATGAAACACCAGTTGATCGAACAATTAAAACTGGATTAAGTAATTTAGGTCTAGGAATACGAATTGGTTGAATATCTAACAAGGCTTCCATGTTGTTGATACAATTAGTAAATCACTTGGTTAATTTAAGAAAAACAATTAAAAGTAATAGACAAAAATAACAATAAAAGTTTCCAATTTTGTTAAGGTAAAAACTTTTCCAAACAAATTGTTGTTTTGCTGATTTCACTTTGACTGTTTGTTGTTGATTGTTGATTGCAAAGTTTAATTACCTTGATGACGATGATGATGGTGATGATGATGAACAAGTTGTAGGTTGCACTTTAAATTGTTGATTATTACAGTTAATCATTATGAAGAAGGAGTGGAAATCAAGAATTAGGAAAACCTGACAAACTTTTCCAAGTGAATATAATGTTCACACCCTATTGTTACATTTAGGGTTTACACTTGATAAATCAACAACTGGATTAACTGATTGTGATTAAGATGATGATGATGCCTACCCAGGGTTAAAAGGCTATTTGTAAGACCCTGAGTTAAGGTCTAATTGTTGTTTTTGTTAAATACTTTCAACAACCTGACAAATTGATAAACATGGTTGACATGAGAAGTAGGAAGCAAAATCAAATTCACTCAATGATAAATCTAATTCCTGCTAATTAGTTAATTTAGTTAGACAAACATTTTCAGATTCTATTTTTAATACACTTAATTGATACTCTACAAGGTTCATTTGATTCTTAATCATCGTAATGATGAGGATGCTCAACATGATAAGACTTTGTAATTAGCAAATTGTTTGACTATATTGTTGTTGTTGTGATTGTTAAGTTTATTATATGAAATCATCTTGATTGTTTCATATCTCCATCAAGTCAATTGATTGATTAAATTGTTGAAAATTAAATAGTAAACACTAATTATAATCTAAATTAATCTCACCAGGAATCTCTCATGTAAGATAATCAATTATTGTCAGGAAAAAAAATACAATCATCACATTAGATTGTAATTAATCATCTTCATTCAGTAAAATCTTATAAATGTTGATAATAAAACGATAATGATTAACAATAACTGTTAATCCAGTAATTTGGTTGCGTTGATTGTTCAACAATCAATTCTGATTGAGTGTAGCTCATTGATAACTTGTTATTTTTGTATCATTGTCTAAATTAATTGATGTTTGGACAAAGTAAATACTGATAATAGGGTAACAATTTACTAATCATCTTCTGTAATTTACTTATTTTCACAATCTTACAACTATTAACCACAGCAATTAACAGATCAATATGCAAAAATAGCTTGGAATCAATAATGACAATCAAAAAATAAATTGTTCATCAAGGAAGTCACTGAATGAAATTAATTGTGATTCACTGGTTAGTTGATTAGATTGATTCAATTGACTTTTGAAACTCATTGAAGGTTTTTTATTATTATTATCATTGTTGAACCTTTTTGGATAACAACAATTAGATTGATTGATTGTGATTATTATGATTAAACTTACGTTGTATTTGGAGGGTAGATCATGAGAATCAGCGATTGACCATCTTCTTTCATCTAGATTGACCGGAACTCCAAGAAAATCATTAAAATTAGAGGTTGATTTGATTTCCGGATTACAAGAACTGTGTCGACGAGGAACTGGTTGATCTTTGGTAAATGATATTGGTGATAGAGAATCAATTTCCGGTCTAAATCGTACAGAAACATTTCCGTTTCGAGATGAATTTCTAAAACAATTAATTAAAAAAACAATTAACCAATAACAGTCTAATTAAAAACATCAATTCAATTGTAAAATTTCATCATCATAGTGACATTGATCTTAAGGCTCTGATTATCTGGTCTTTTTGTTAATTGTTGACCATAACCTGAATTAAATGTTTCATTGATTTACCAATTTACCAATCAAATTGTTACCCTGCAGTTTAATTGTTCATTTCTCAACAATCAGTAATCACTAATTGTTGAGTGGGGGGAGATTAAAACGGAAATGATTAACTGAATATAATTAACCAAAAGTGTCAACTGTAAACATGAACTGTTCAAGTTTTTTATTTTTTATATTTCCAGGTTCATATTAACCAGTAATTAACTAATTAACTATTGATTATTGTTATCATGTTGTGATTGTTAAGGTGAAGGTGATTGGATCAAGTTCAACAGTTAATTATTAGCAATCAACTGATCAACAACAAAAAGTATCCACAACTAATAATATAAGAAATGAATGTTCAATATAAAGTGGGAAGAATCAACAATTAATTTAATTGCGTTGAAAATAATACTTTTGAAACTAAAATTATCCATTAATTTATATTCTGATAGTGATTATAATTTGATGTTCAGGTAAATTGTGGAGGAAGAAATAAACAATTAACTATGAGGAAGATGAACAAAAAAAAAGATGATCACTTTGATTACTCTTTGATTGTATCAGGTTGTTAATCTTACTTTTCAATTGGAATTGAATTAAGTTTGGTTGATTTAGTGTGCGGTGAATCATTTGATGAATGATGATGGTAGTGACCATGATGAGAGGTCATCTGATGACCATGATGATGATTACCAGGAATTGTTGTCTCTTGACCAAAGGAGATTGAATTTTCACTTGATTCTTCATCATCTCCACCAATCATATGAGCAGATTCAATTGGATTAGCTTTCGATTTAATCATTAACTGTTCCTCTCGTTTGAAAATTAATTCATCAAATTTATCCAAATCCTCTTCACGGATTATTATACGAAAATGATTTAACAAAGAATACTAATACAAACAAAAGGTAAATTCCAACAATTAGTAAATTATATTCGTAAGGATAGTTAATAATAGTAAGATATTAATCCTCAGGTAACATGAGATTAATTGTTTTTACTCAATTTCTGGTTTCATGAGTTTCCCCTGAACATGATTGACTTTTTTTTCCTCACAATTATTAACAATATTTTTTTTCCAGCTCATGATTAACTTTAATTGTGATGACATGTCACAAATTAGTTTATCGTAGTTATTATTTTGCAAATGTGTAATGTCAAAAATCATTAAACTTTATGGTAAAGTAGTTTTTCCTGTTATCCTTATTCATTCATTTCCATACCAAATTCAAATGTAACATTGAATTTATTTGCTTATTTTCATGTTGACATTTTTATCAACACATTCAACTTTTACCGTTATTTTTCATATGTTTGTCATTCATTTTTACACCTGAAGAAAAAAAAACTATTTCAAACTTTTCTTTTCTTTTTTTCTTTCCTTTGCTTTTCTACCCATGATATTGGTCTTGATGCTATTTAAATAGTGTGGACTTGTAGTTGACAACATTTCCAAGGCAAAGTTTACACACATAATTGTCATTCATTGATCATATGAAATTGTGAATAAATTTCATGGTAATTCAATCAACAACAAGTGAGAGAACAGATGAAAATAATCAGTTTCATTTCCTTGTTCATTATTTTCATTCAGATTTTCCGATCAACTTATCTTTTCAACTCGTCAGGCAATCGAAGTGAATAAGATTATCTCAGAATTTAGAGAAAAATAGTTCGATTAATTGTTTGGTTTACCTTTTCTCTTGTATCTAAAAGCTCCAGGAAAAGGGCAATAAAGGCATCGACGGTCATTCCTTTGGTCTCATATTCGTTTCGATAATAAGCAAAAGTAATTCGATCTTTTTCTGGTAAAAGTTGATTCAATTTCTCTTCGAGAATCTCTTCCTCGGCACTTTCGGTAACCAATAAGGTCGGTGTTACTCGATTAGTTCCTGATTTCGAACAAAAAAAATTAGAACAAAATTATAACGTAAATCAAAGCTTCATATCAACTCGAAAGACATAAAATAAACACTCATTGTAATACAATTGATAATCATCACACTGACAATGTTTTTCTTGTATAATAATTGTCTCTTTAACCATCAGCTCTCCATGTACTGATTTATTGATTACTTTTATTGGGTTTTCTGGTTCAACTTTAACAATAAACTGATCTTGATTAAATCAGTCAACTCTCTGGGAAGCCTTAAGGTTAAAGGTTATCGTTTTTTGTGTTTTTTACTTCAATTCTGGTAGTCTCTCTCTCTCTCTCTCTCTCTCTCTCTCTCACTCTTTTACTCCTTCAGTTTATATTTGATCATCTTGATGATCATTAAGAAAAAGAAGACAATATGAGAATTGACATGTTAAGTGTCCATTAACTGGTTACAATCAAAATCTATTCAATCTATTGATTGTTAATAGAAAACTCGAACCTTAATGATAATATCATCTTCAATATTATATTTATATACTTTACTTGATTGTCGTTGAAATGTTTGAATTATTTAATTGAATTCAGTGAATATGAAATATTGAATATTTCAAACACTTGAATTGCCTCATGTTTGATTTGGAGAGATTAATTTTCATGGGATATTTTGAAATGAATTGATTACTATCAATTTAGATTGCTAAGAACTGTGAACATGTGAAATCTAATGAATATCAATGAATGATAATTGTGATGATAATTGTGTGAAAATCAATAAAAGATTAGCACAATAATGGGAAATAAATAATAAATCAAACAAATAAACTTTAATTTGTTTATATTACGAGGTAAAAGGTAAATGAGTCTCGATGAATAATTTTGATAAAAGTGATGAATTAAATTAAAAGTGATTTACATTTAGATGAAATTAATTGTTTACCTTGTTCACTGATGGGTCGATAACCAGGTGACCCTGTACCCGGTGAACTTGTTCGTTGTGAACCACAAGGACTTCGATTGAGCCTATGAAGATGTGAAGTCTCTGGTAACGAACATCGAGAGGACGGAATATGATTAAAAGGAAATTCAGTATGAGATGTAGATGAAGATGATCCATCGGATGAGGTTAATTGGGCAGCAGCAGAAGACGAAGAAGATGATGAATGAATTAAAGAAACATTGGAAGCCGGTATTTTGCCAACGTAACGAACTTTCATCGTTAATCGAGGCGAAGATCGTAAAATGTCAACAGCCTCATCGTGAAGAACATGTTGAAAATCGTGATTATTTACAGATAGAATTTGATCACCAATCTAATAATTAACGAAAGAATAATTTTTCAACAATCGAAACATAGATGATCAACAATCAATCTAACCTTTAATCCTCCTCTTTCAGCGGCCGACATTGATTCGATGCCAGTTACATAGATACCAAGTCCATACTCGAGGCCACCACGGATCATTAATCCCGGATTAATGCCCTTCTCAATTATAATCTGAACCTAAACAATTATCATTGCATGATTATCTGGTGAGATATTGTGAACACAATTAACTTTGGAAAATGAAAACAAATCAATTGCACTAATTATTTTGTTGGAAAAATGATTTACAATCAATTGACAATAATGTCAAAATCTTCAAGTCACAATTGATTCAATTATCTGTATTCATGGTGATTATTTCTTGAGGCAATTTAGCATTGAAAGCAAAGGAAACTTTCAAATTTGATGACAATCATACTCAGAATTAACAATCTAATTAAGTTTCTGTGGAAATCAATACAATTAAACCTAAAGGGAAAATTGAAAATGAAAACAAATGGGAGAAAAATTCATCCATTAACCAGATTGATCGAGTTAATGAAAAGAAAGCTCAAGAAAAGAAGACTAATTAGAAAACAAAGTTGTTTAGTCAACTAATTAATCAACTACGAATCGAGGAAATTAATTGTTAGTTTTTTAACAATGAACTTTTTTTCAGAGTTTTTTTCCGTCTTAATGGTAAGCTACAAATAAATGATGATCATGACTAGAAAACGGGAAATTAAAGATTAACAGATTAATCGTTAATCGAAGTGATAAACAATTAGATTTGATGAGAAAACTGAATTTTAATTATTTTCAAAGAAATGCTGATTAGTCTGATTTTGCAAAAATATCATTATGATTCATCAGGGATCAGGCAAGCCTTTGAGTTTTCATGAGGCTTAACCCAGTCAAATGAAACATGAAGCATGCGGCAAAATTAAACGAGCCTTTCAATTGCGTAAAATTTTCTTTCTCTTTCTCTTTTCTTTTCTTTTTGCCTTTTGTTCGAAAATCATTCTTGATTCACGGCGAATGTTGGCATTGATACGAATCTAAATTCCATGAATTTCTTGTTTCACTCTCTTACGCGTCTTAATGCAAAAATCGCGCTCTTCGCGTTTGACTGTTTCCATGGAAACCTAATCATGTTCTTTTTGTTTCTAGTAGCTTTCAAGCAAAAGTAGAGACCGAATTCTTTAAAATGTTAATGAAATAATACTTGGGTCGTGTTGATATTTGGTTTTTTTGATAACTTTCATAATTTTTTAACAAACAAGGTACCTAGTTCATTATTCACGGTTCAAGATTTAGCATCTCATGTAACTTGTTTTTTTCAGGAAAATGTCTTACGAAGAAAACATGTGTTTTGAGTGCAAAAAAGTAATTATTGGCCATCAAGTATTCAAGCTTAATAAATGTTTGGATTCACATGAAGACATGAAGATCTTTAAATGACTTTTGAACGTGTCCTTCCGGAAATGACTTCAATGACCTTGAAAAAGCAAAGGGTTGAGCGCTTCAATTCTGTTCAGTCCTCTGATAAAGTCTGACATTCATGACTTTAGTTCCGGAGATATTCAGTGAAATAGCCGTGGTGGATAAAAAAACGCCCTGTACTTTTGTCATGATTTTCCTGAAACATCGGTTCAATGCACATGTATGAAGATGGATCTCTGTGCATTGGATTTTGGTCGCGTTCTTTTATAGGTTCCTGTTGGTAAAGGTTGCTGACAGCTGACGGTCAAGCCCGGTATGAAATTGAATCGAAGCGTAATGATTGCGTGTTAGATTGGGCAGATGAGCTCATTAAAGCTAGACTCGCGTTGCCTAATTTTTTTGGACCCTTTCTACCTTCCATTGGCTATTGTTACCTTGGTTACTATTATGGTAGCTGTCGAAATGATTGTCCTCATGTACACAAGTGCGCATTTTGTGAGAAAAATCACCTGCTCAAAGATTGTCAAATTGCTCACAAATTTGACTTTCAAATTAATTTATTTTAATGTATTTTGTTTATTTAATTCTCTGTTTCATGTTACTCGTTTCTTTTCTGCATTAAATTTCAAATATATAAACAATCTTGATGCATGGGTTTAAAAACGCGAATCAATCACGTTGCCTAGACTCTTGTTCAACGCTAGCTATAGCTTGATATTTCATCAATTGCAATTCAAAGTGTTACATACACATATTTTCTCGGTGCTATAATTGTCGCCTCTAATCTGGTCAATTTGTTTGACTCGCATGAATCAAGCCTCTTCGCAATTATTAATATTAACTGGGAAGTTAATTATTATTATTTAAAATGATTTGAATCAATTTTTCATGAATTGTTTACAATAAATGATTTGATTACAATCTCAATGAATTAATCATTCCAGCTTTTTCTCAATTGAATTTACAAAAAAAATGATTGATAGTCATTCACAATTGAATTAATTGGTCAAACTATTATGATATTTACAAGACTTGATCAGTTCCAAATCAATGTTAATTCAATTGTAACAATTATACCTGACAGTTGGACTATGATCAATTTGATCATTTCATTGATCAAATCAACTATTATTACAAAATGATTACGATTATGATCATTTATCGTGATGATGATGATTAAAATTGACTGAATCATTAGTAAACTTTGATTGAAGATTAAAAGATAAATTGAATAAGAGAAACAAATTGTCAACACAATGATAATTCAATTGTTAACAATTATAATCCAGATCACAATCTACAAAAACTGATCAACAAGATAGTCACGTTAAGAGTAATAAATCAATGGAATCACCCTGAATCCCCATGACCGTTAACCTTTTCTGAATAATATTAATCAGAACATTTATTTTCCCTCAACAATTTGTCTAAATATCAATTCAAATCCATTCAAATGTGTTCAACAATTTAGATAATTCAATAATAGAAGATAAAAATAATATATATCAGATTCAATAAATGATAAATTTCAACTATAAGAAATTCAGAGAAACCCTCTGGGCAAAGAGATACAAAGCAACGAAATAGGATAAAAAAAATTCTTCATGAGATAAACCTTCAAGATAGAAACTATTATCCAGAGAAACATTAACAGTCTTTATATATTCATAATAGATGCTCATAAATAGCAAAGATTATTATTATCAGTTTCATCATCAGAATTCAAGGTAAATGCTGAGTAATATTTTTCCCTCCCTTTAACATTTACTTTAGTTTTATGGATCATTTTGCTTTTATCATCCTCATCTTTTTCTCTCTCATATTCATCCTTATTTTTTTTCTCGTTACTTTCACTTTTCTGATTCTTATTATTATTAAATATCCTTCTCATAACTAAGTCTCATAATCTTAATGCTATTAAAGATTAAACCATCTTAAGCTCATTTGGTTAACCTTAACACTGGAACTTGAATCATTTTCAATATTTCTTGATACATGGGGACAGTTTAATGCTACTCACAATCGTAATTAAAATCATCAACCAAGGGTAATTAAGGTATTAGGATTAGTTAAATAACCTTTGTCAAATGATTCACATTTGTATTTTTTAGTTTATCTCCTTAATTATTAATCTAACTGATTGTTATCAGTTTTTATCACAATTGAATATCAATTTATATGAACCAATGTAATAAGAGGATTAGTTAGCTTAATCCATTGAGCAATTGAAAATTGTTCATGAGACATTTGAATTACAATTAATCTGATTCATGGTAAATTTTAATCAAATGTTGAATCAAAAGTGTTAATTATGTTATTCTCATACATGGTAAATTGTTTCAATTAGTAAGGAGAATGGCTTTCAGGTTATGATTATCATTTAGTTTTTCTGGTTAACAAAAACTTTTGCATCAATATACAGGGCAATTCAGCTATATTTACCGAAGTATTCACTCACTCACTCAATCCGACTCACTTCGGCGTTTAAAATTTATTTCTGATTCCGTATTCTTGCAATACTATTTAATGTGTAAACATTAATTATTTTTGCAATTATGACTTATGACTTTTGTTCCGTGGTTAACTCTAATGATATCTCTTCGCCAGTTGATGTAAATTCATCTGATTTCAAAAAGTTAGAAGATAAAATGCCGTATCCGTTCGAGAAAATCCAAGTAAAGTTGGCCTGTCTTTGGTTTACTAGGGATGCCAGATATCATTTTGAATGGATCAAACTCTAATCAGATCTACAATACATGGCGATTCAGCTATTTTTACCGATGTTTTTTGCGATTTTCTCAGCAACTAAGAGTCGTAGAGTCATTCAGGTCATCGGTAAAATAACACGTTTCAAGGTTATCTGAAGGTAATGCAATAAAGAAGAATATTCAGAGACACTACGGACAAGTTTTGAGGTTTCTATGAGCTTTGCAATGCACGTTAGGATAAATTTATTGCATAAAAGATTTTCAACAGTTATTCAATTAAACAGTAATATCTCAATATCTGTGACACAAGGATCTCTAAACTCATTTTACAGGGTTAAAAATGTGAAGGATAACTGTAGCACCTTCAGATGACCTTGAAACGTGTTATTTTACCGATGACCTTGATCTTTGATATGACAAACAAGTATCGCTCAAACTCATACCAATCAAGCCTCGTGTCTCTACGACTCTTAGTTGCTGAGAAAATCGCAAAAAACATCGGTAAAAATAGCTGAATTGCCCTGTATTAACAGGAAATTGATGATAATTATTACATGATGATAAAAATCAATATTGAACTTTTTTCCATCATCTTGGTGATAATTATCATCGTTATTATTAGACAATCTTATTCAGCATTCTGATGAATCGTACATAAATTTGTCATTGAGTCTTATTATCATTTAGATTATGTTCATTATCTTGATTATAAATGTAGACTTGAAGACATTTAGTCAATAAGATTAGTAGGAAATAATTAACTTATTAATATGAATTGTTCAGAACTATTATTATCATGAATTAACATTAATTCAATGGTTGACATTGGAAATTATTGTAAAAAGAGATGAAGAAAGAAAAAGTTTCCTAAACAATTAAGATGGAGGAGAAAAAATTAATCATTGAATGATTCTAATTGCTATCATTATGATTCTATTAATAATTGTGTGTAAAACAAATTGTTTCAATTGATTGTAAATCAACGAGTGAAAACTATTAGCAGTTAATAAATTGCTAACAATTAACGAGAGAAACTTTTATTTTTTTCAAATTCCTTGATTGTATTAATATATTGATCTTGATTATCGATAATCAACTTTAATCAATTCTAAATCATTTATATGCTAACCTTACCCTGACATTTAACTACAATTTAAAACAGGAAATTCAATTTAATCACTTATCATTATATTCAATCACAATCATCAGATTATCAAATTTATTATTAAATTGCAATGATAAATATCAAATATTTTTTTCAATTCAGGATTGAATTTAAATATTACCATGAAAGTCAAACATGAGGATGAACTGATTGATTGTATCCCATTATGAATAATGAACCAGTATCATGAAAATTGATTGTTACACTTTAAATACTATTGGTAATTTAATTTTCATCAGAATTGATCATGGAAGTGATATTGAATCAAATGAACATTTAATCATAATTATTTTCAATCGTGATTTAAAATGAACATTATTCATTATTCAAAACTTTAGTTACAAATTATTATCATCATTGGATTCCAAGATTATCATTAAGTTAATTGTTACAATGATCGCAAGTTGATTGTTGTTTTCCTGGCAAGGAATCGGTAGTAATCAAAATTAAATTGGTAACAGTCATGAGAATCAAAAATTAACTATATTGATAGTGATAGCGTGATTAAAATATTGTAATAACAATGATAATTAAACTAATTGTGATTGTGTGAAATGTTATTGTTTTTAGTAATCAAGTTATGATTAAGGTGGAGTTATTAATTCGTGTTAATTAGTTGATCATTTGCCAATAATGCTTATGATTAAAGCTAAAAATTACACTATTGGTGTATGATTATCAACACAATTAAGTTGAAACTAATTTCTATTGGACTTTTTTTCATCATAATCATCATGATTAACCTAATTGCAAACCTTGATTATATCAATGTAATAATAAGTAATAATTTCCTAAACTTAATTGCTAGAAATTCATTCATCACAATTCAAGGTGGGATTGGAACGTGATTAGAATTAGTTTAATTAAATTTGTCAATGATTATAATCATTATTGTGGTTAGACTGATGATTAAACAGTAAAAATAGTAATTATATTAAACTGTAATCATGATAATTTAATTCATGGAAAATACAACAATTAAATGTGTTAACTTTTCAACTTATATTATGTTATGAGTTGATTTTTGATCAATCAATTGATACTAATTGTTACTCAAAAATCATCATCAACATTAAGATAATTAACAATCAACTTGACCAGAATAAAAACAATTAAATTAACCAGATACTCAATGTGAATATTGATTAATTCAAAGTCATCTTAATGTTGAGCTATTCAAGCAATTACAATTAAATGAAATGTAACAATTAACTTTCAAGATACTCATTAAATTGATTGGACTCGATGTATTATATTGCTTGATTATGATTAAGAAATAATTATCTCAAATTAAATTATCATCATAAACATTAGACTGAATTTAATGATTAAGATGGTGAGTAATTATTTTTAATTGTTACCAATTCAATTTCAATGTTAACCAATTTTCTGACTCCTTTTCAACATGATTAGTTTACTAATTAAATGAATTAATTGTTTACACAATTCTGTGATCTTCAATTTCAAGATAATTTATCATTGTTTATAATAAATCAACATCTAAATTGTTTACAATTTAACACATTATGAATTGCTTGATTGTTGATTTAATTTCAGTTAATCTAATCAACTTGTATTTTTAGCAATCATTTGATTGTTAACTAAACGATTCATGAAAAAACAATTGGAAACATTTTTCATGTGAATTTAAAAATCCAACAGCAATTTGATTAACAACAACGATGATTAATTTTAATATCGATTGTAATTAAACAAATCACTTGATCAATCAACTAACAATTAACATCCTAATCAATAGGAATCGTTTTGAATAACAAATTAATCGGGATATTATGATTATCATTGAATAAAATAATTAGAATCTTTTACCGACTAAATAATTAAACTGATTGATAGTTAATTGTTAATCGATAAAATTTAATTCCATCAAAATTAAAACTCATATTGTAACACTTGTTGCAATGATTAACTCTGAGCATGAGCTAACAATTAAATTGAGATTAAATTTATTGATTGTGAGCCTTTTTTTTTATTAATTGCCAACATCACGATTGAAATAATCAAGTTTAAATCGTAAATTAGAAACCAAATCCAATTAAATTAACACTAAATGATGGATAAAATTAAACTGCAACTTTAATTTACGATTAAATTAAATCCTCAGAGCTATTAGTTAATTGTTTAAAGCGAAACAAATTGTTAATCAAGAATTAAGGAAGAAGCAAAAAAAAAGTAATACAATAAATCCTTGATTATCCTACAATGGAACAGTTAATTTAATCAAATATACTCAACATGGTATCTAATAAATTGGCGAGATTAATGTTACCAGCAATTAATTAATTGTTGGGAGCAATTAATGTTATAAATAACAATCAAGATGAATTGTTGAACAAGTGAGAGAAACAAAATGTAAACAAAGATTGAATGACAAAAACAATCAAATCTAATGAATGAAAATAAATCACAATCAAAGAAAATGCGATTGATTGTATTTCATAACAATCAGTAAATTATAATGAGATACATTGATGATCGTGATAAACATTTACCTTGATTATTTCATAAATCAACAAACATCATGTTGATGAACCTAAATAGTGAAAGTTATTGTTTTTTTTTCATCTCCTGATGATTTTTACCTGTTTATTATTAGCAAGGTGATAATAATAACACTCTGGGAATATCTGTGTGTATTTTTACATGGTAAACATGGTGAATTCTGACTTGGAGATAAAGTTCAGTAGGAATATGTTTACACTGAATTTGTAACTTTTAAATGAAACTCAGAGAAACATCAATTTATTTTATTCTAATTTTTTTGTTTACCTTCATCATTTTTCATCATATAGATTTAATATCATTCACATCATCATATTTATGAATCAAATAAATCAACAGAAAGTATTAACAATCATTATCACCATGAAAAAAGTTCTGAAAGATTTTGATTCTGTTGATGAGAAACCCAGAATTCTGGGTTTAATAATAACATTATTATCACATTTTATTTGAATTAGTAAACTTTTGATTGATAACCTTTCAATATAATCACAATAATGATCATCAACATGATCATTACATTTGATTAACAACAATTTCCTTTCAGTTTATTTGATAATTTGAAACATTTACCTCAGTAAATTGATGAAATTAAAAGTTACGATTCATATTCTCAATGAAAAATTTACTATTACAGTTAATTGGAACGGAAATTATTTGATTACTCTGATTGATTAGACTGAGAATTAATTTACTCTTTCAATTAATTACATTTAACATGAAATGTTCATCAACTAAAATTGACTTGATATTTAATTTTTCACCAATTAACTAATAGTAAATATTAACCGTAGGCATTTGGGTGACATGATAATGTTTAGCATAACAATTAATAATTACTATTAATATTAATTTACTATGATAGATTTTTATTTAATGAAAAAAACAAAACTCACTAATCAAATGTCTAATTGTTTATCTGATTTGATAAACTTGTCAGTTATTACTTGTGACAATCTAATTAATATGAATGTTAATCTCAATGGATTATTAATTAAAAAGTTATTAATAATCAAATGAATGCATAAATTAATTGACTAAGTGTAACAATCAAACTTTGAGTTGAATATTTTTAACTAACTCAAAGTTGATTGTTTTTGTCTTCTTGTTGATTTAGATTAACTATTAGAATAATTAAACTCCGATTTGCATATAATTATCTTGATTAATTCATTTTCAATTTGTTTTCATGTTAATTAAAAATGATGAGAAATAAATTGCTTACCGTTCGTATTAATTGTTCAGATTGTCGAGCTGATAATCGCCTTCTAGGTGATAAATTGATTCTTGCCGAAGGTGATCCTGAACCCGATTCACCGACAAGAAGTGGATCAAATTCTGATTCAGTTGATAGGATTAAATCACGATCAGGTGGAGGTGGAGAGATTGGTCTACCCTCCGGGTCAACCCAATGGTAGGTTGCATGTCGACGGTGGGAGGTCAACGCTTCCGACCTTGAGAGGACATTAAGAGTTAGAACATCTTGAGTACAGATCAAATGAATTGCTTTCTGACAGCTAATCGATGAATCAAGAAACGATGTATAATTAACAGATAATATCTGATCCCCTGGGGCCAAGCCGATCTTTTCAGCTATTGAATGTTCAGCTATCCTTGAGATATAAATAGTCCCATGTAGACCCACCTCAAGGCCACCACAAAGAGTTAAACCAGCGTCCGGTGGGTCATCTGGTCCTTTAATTAAATGTAATTTACGAACACTTCGAGTTGAATGGCTATTGATTAAAATATTATTTCCATTGATTAGTAAACCACTATTTCCACCATTGGAACCATTACCATTTCCTCCTACACTCTCACCTAATCCTCCTCCTCCTCCTCCTCCTCCTCTTCCAGGTGAGTTACCACCGTTCATGGTTAACCCATTATTAGCTGGACCATTACCACCGATAATGTTATTACCTCCCAAAATCACTCCGCTGGTTTTAATCGGCTCAAGGGAGTTTGATGGCGGTGGAGAGGCTCGAGTTGATGATACACTTCCCGCCGGTGAAACTGAACGTAGTAAAGGTTGACGGGAGGGAGAAGATGAATGGACTGATTGGGAATGATGGTGATTTCGATGATGATGATGATGATGATGTGAACGATGATTTGATTGGAAAATTGTATGACTGTTAACAGGAAAATCCATTTAACAATTAACTCTAATTGTTGGGAATTGTTTCTTTCTTTCTGCTTAGTCAATTATTGTACAGATATTATTTTTTTTTTGATGAGAAATCAAATTTATCTTATTAATTTGGCTTCTTCCCTTTGGGATGATGATAATTGTTGATGATTATGCTAATTGTTGTTGATCAATATAACATTAGAAACATTTATACGATTGTTATTATCTGTTGATTATAAGATTAGAAAACAACAATTAATCATTTCACTAATTGAATTAGATGATTTAAAAAATGATACAATATTTACTAAATTGTCATTTCTTAATAGTATTAACGACAAGTTGATTGTCATGATTAAATAAAAAATTTACAACAATCATATGATAATAAACAAGATTTTTGTGCTAATTGGTTTCATTTGATTTTATTATGATTGATAATAATCAATTGATAGTAATTAAAATTGACAAATAATTGTAAATTATTGATTGTTAATCGTTTTAAATGATTACAAATGCAAGAAGCACAATCAAAAACATTAATCGTTGTGTTAATCACTGGTTCTGATTAAGATGCGCACAGAAAAATCAATAAAAGCCAATTAGCAATTAACTTAATTTAAGAAATACTTACATAATTAAAGGTTGATGGATTTTGATTATGACAGTTAATTGCATGAAATCCGTTGTGGTTGTTTAAATTAATCATAATAATTGGAGATTCAATTTGGCTTTTTGTACCAGAATCACAGAGAGCAATTAACTTCTTGATTTGATGGAATCAAGGAGATACAAAATGATTAGTAACATGATGATGATGATCAAATGATACTTTATATCTACCCTGATGATTCCTGAATTCTGAGTTGGATGTAATTGTAAACAAAATAATTAGATTACAAGGTAAATGTTGATATGATGCTGGAAGAAACAATTTCCTGATTTGTTTGTGACAATTTAGCTTAATTGGTGTGTTGAATTTGATTCCAGGATAAAGATAATCATATGTGTGAATTTGTTGATTGATATTTTCACTCAAATTCTCAGAGTAAATTCTCAGGTAAACATATTTACCTGTGAATCTGTGTCACCTTTTGGAGTTAATTGTTGTTACAATTACAGGTAAATGTTTCCACTGGAAATTCAGGTAAATTGCAGGTAGAATATAAAATGTACACAAATGCAAAATTAATAATAAACTAAAATGGTTGAGATTTTATCACTTGGAATTAGGAAAATGATCCATAAGATGAGAGATGTTGATATGTTGTTGTTGATATTTTCTCGAGGAGGGTTAACCATGCTGATGGTTGGAGGAAAATGATATGAGATCAGATGAAAGGAAGATGATGAGGATGAGAATGATGAGAATTGTGATTCACTGGAAAGAGAAATAGAGAGATGAAAATCCCTTGGAAAACAGGGAAGATTCAAATTCAACTCTGATCATCTCTGGTTCTCATTGAATTCATCATGCTCATGAGCATCTTTACTTTACTTTCCACCTTAAGGGTTGACTCTCATTCCGGTGAATTAGGTTTTATTTTTAGGTTAATTTAGAATCACATTTTTCTTGGTAGTTAATCACTTGACATTTTGATTAGATTATTGATTTGAAAGCGATTCTTGTCCATCAATTTTCTGGTTACTGGTTTGGTTTTTCATTGGAATTAGTTTAAAGTGTATCAACAGTTAGTCGATGATCAAGTGAAACTTTTTAGGTGAAAATGGATCATATGAAATTCATATTGATAGAAACTAATTCCAACATTTTCTCAATCATCAAGGTAGAAATTAATTGGAATCAAACTAAAACCAATCGTCCAATTGTCAATAAGATTTTCTCTCAAATTCCCAATCAATACCTGTCAACATTTTAATCAATGGCCAAAAAAAATTCTCTCATCAGAAACATAATTCTAATTGTCCCAACGATCTCTAAATCATGTAATTAACCAGTTAACTAATGAACCATTTAAATCCATCAACTGAATTGAAGGTAAATCATTGACAATCAAATGTTACGAAAAAGTAACACAATCACATTAATCAAGTTCCAATAGGTTCAGATTAACCTAAATGAGAAAGACCAAAGAAAAAAAAACAAAGAATCACAATCAAAGAAAACACAATCAAATCAACAATACAAACCAACCAACAGTTGAAAGAAAACAATTAGACTTTAATTAACCACCAAATTAAAGTAATTTAATCAACAACAACAATCAAGAAACCAAAGAAATTAACAGTAACCGTCCACGAGACGAGAAGAGTTAATTTAATCACAGTCAATACATAAGAAAATGTACACTAATTATGTTGAAAGAAACAAAAGTCAATTGATTAACTTGAAAGGAGAAACAAAAATTAACAATTAAATTGATTGTGCAAATCGATGGATAAAAGTGTCATTTAGTCAATAGAAACACTTTCATGTCAATTAAGTTCCTCCCTCTCATCTGATCCTCTTTCTTTTCCTCTCTCTTTTGTTTACTTATCTTTTTACTTGTTATTTTGTTTATTATTTTTTCTTTTCTTAATTAATTTAATTCTCTTCTAGTTAATGGTAAATGATTAATTAGAACAATGCCTGATTTGGATAAATGGTTAGAAATCACCGAGGAATGTAAATATCTTCCAGAAAATGATTTAAAGGTAAGACCATCTCAAGGTTTTCCAAATTCATTGTAATATCCATACAATTGTTTCAATCTCTTGATGATGACTTTGCATTTGAATTTCAATTAGATTGTTTTGACTAATTGTTGTTCAATTACAATTTACAATTGTGATGATACTTTTAGTTCGTGTCTTCTTTTCAATATCTAATGGTTAATTGTTTTCTCTTTTATTCGAAATATTCTCTTCTAAATGTTCTTAAATTCTCTTTTATCTTTCTCTTCTTTCTTTTTTCTCTCTTTCTTTTGGATTCTTTATCTTTCTCTCTCTCCATTTGGATCTCTGGTTAATAGCAACTATGTGATGCTGTTAGTGAAATATTGTTAGAGGAGAGTAACATTCAGCCTGTCAGTACTCCTGTTACTGTTTGTGGTGATATTCATGGACAATTTTATGATCTTCAAGAACTATTCAGAACTGGTGGACAAGTGGGAGATACAAATTATATCTTCTTGGTAAGATGTCAACAGAAATTAACTCAACTTTCCTTACAATTATTATACTCTGATTCTCTCGATTTATATTGTTTACTTATACAGTATTAATACCTGTCTTACTGATTTCCTTTTTATCCTTCTTTTCAGGGTGATTTTGTGGATAGAGGATATTACAGTTTAGAAACCTTGACTAGACTTTTAATTCTCAAAGCCAGATATCCAGAGAAAATAACTTTACTTCGTGGTAATCATGAAAGTAGACAAATCACCCGAGTCTATGGCTTTTATGGTGAGTGTTCAACGATTGTGATTTATTTCCTCAATTCTGATAGTTAATCACAGAGGTGATGATGGTTTAATTATCATGGGTAATAAATGTCAGCAGTTATTCATGGGATTATCCATTAATTATATTGTTATCATCACCTCTAGGATCTTCACCTCCGATTGTTTTCAACCAAATACAACATCAACTAATCAACATTTCGCTCTTTTAACTAATATTCCTAATTGCTTGTTATCTCCTTGAATTTGTAGATGAATGTTTAGCTAAATATGGTAATGCCAATGCCTGGAAATACTGTTGTAAAGTATTCGATCTCTTAAATATAGCTGCAGTAAGTGAAAATCTTTACTTATTATTACATAAGAATCAATTGGAAACAATATTCTCTAACGTTATGTATTTCATGTTTTCATTAGATAATCGATGATCAAGTTCTCTGTGTTCATGGTGGACTTTCCCCTGATATTAATCTACTAGATCAGGTTCGAACCATTGAAAGAAATCAAGAGATACCTTATAAAGGAGCTTTTTGTGACCTTGTCTGGTCTGATCCCGATGAAATTGAATCTTGGTCTGTTAGTCCTCGAGGAGCTGGTTGGCTCTTTGGTTTTAAAGTCACTCATGAGGTAGATTCTTAAATTTCCTGAACAGGAAGGATTATTTAATTTTCAATTTCTATTATCCTAAAATTGTAATTTCTCTTTTTCTGTTCTCTCTTTTTACTTTAGTTTATGCATATGAATGATCTCAAGTTGATTTGTCGAGCACATCAACTGGTACAAGAAGGATATAAATACATGTTCGATGATAAACTGGTAACCGTCTGGTCAGCACCCAATTATTGTTACCGGTGTGGTAATGTTGCCGCTGTCCTTTCCTTCAACGATGTCAATAACAGTTCGGTGAAAATATTTTCAGCAGTACCCGATTCTGAAAGAGAGGTTCCTAAAAACATTATCACTCCGTATTTTCTATGATTCGTATTTGTGTAAATGTACAAAAATCATAATATTTATAATTTAGTTCGAGAAAACAAAATCGATTACCACCAATATTGATTATCCATCATTTAAAAGGTCCACATATACACATTGATTAAAGAAGGAAAAACCAAAAAGATGAGACAAAATGGACATTCAGATAAACACACACACAAATTATGATTCTAAAAAAATCATCAAGTGATCATGTTGATCTTTAAAAGTTTGACCAAATCAATTCAATATCAAACACAAGATGCATGGAGTTTGGAGTAATGAAACACTTATATAATTCAATTGTTTTCAGAATTTTTTTTCCTTCGTTTATTATTAATGTAAAATCATTGAAATACTTTACTTTCTCCTTTCTCATCAAGACAAATGTCAATAAGAGCTAAGATTTGTTTTAATCTTCTATCCAGTGCAAATAAATGCTCACCAGTCAATAAAGGATAAAGTGGATCTTTTCTGGTAAACGTTTCAATTAAATTACTAAGACCATTTTTCTCAACAGTTAACAATCGTCGATAAGTTGATCGTCGAACCAGACAACATTGATACAATGGCGCTAAAATGGACAATTCATCTTTGAATGGATTCCCGAAGCTTTTACCATTATCGATCAACAAAATGGCGCTTTCTGGTGTCCCTCGGAATATTTCATAATGATGTCTATCAGCATTCCCAAGGAGATAATCAAAGATTGATGTATCAATCAGATCAAGAATCCGTTGGATGGTTAAAACGGGAACTACTCGATTGTAACAATATAAACCATCAATCTCCCATTTGGCTTTAACTTTAGTTTTGTAGGTTCGCTGCCAAGGACTGCGAACTCGTTCAAGTCTAAATCGAGATGGAAACATTAATACAAGAGCACCTTCGAGAAAACCGTCCTTCTGATTGGGACAAATGTAATCCCGTTGATTACAATACAAACATCTCCCATAGAAACAATCAGTTAAATCGGTTTGGGTTAAAAATGTTGCCAAAAGATTTGCCGATGCTGTTGATTTTAATTCTTTGGTTACATGGAGACGACGACCAACGGTAATTGGAGCTGTTCGTAGATTTAATATTCTTGATAAATGGAAGGCCACTATTTCACCGTTATGTCGATCTGATCCTGCATAAGGTTCACCGTTAATTATATGATCACGAGGGAATCTCATTGGTTTAAATAGTACTTGTTGATTTCCATCTAAAACTAACATCACTTTTAATTGAGTTCCTTTTGAAGGTATTGAACTTTTAACGATCTTCGATTCAACCATAAGTCGAGTGATTGAGTCCAAATTTGATGCATTTTCCGGTATAATTTCTGATAATCAAAAAGAGGAAGAGGAAAAAGCAAAAGGGTTATTAATAAATCATCAATTTCATCAACGAATAATTTGCTTTAGGTGAATCGTTACCCTGAGGCTAAAATTAAGAATCATCAAAGTAATTCAAAAGTAATTTGTTTCCATGTTAAACAAGATGATCCAGGAACTAAATTATCTTGTATTTTTGTTGATTCTAATTGACAATTAGCCAAAAAATAATGACGATCATGAGCTAACTATTAATGTGTCTAAGGGAAAAGTCCCGGTATCGATTATCCTTGAATTCGTTGAGTGAATATAATGGATAATAATAGGTAATTATCAAGGTTTCAGTTCCAATTCGATAATATCTGATCGTCTTCAAGAATAATTCAATGTCATGAGAATCAATTTTAAAATAGATTTAGATTCTTGATTAGGAGACAAAAGAAAACAAATTGATGTCCATTGAATAAGACAGAAAGATAAACAATCTAAACGTGATTATATTTTCGATATGATTAACTTTCAATTGCTATTCGAATTACCATTTTAATAATTAACTTAATCTCCAATGTTTATAAATTGTCGAGGTGATTAAATTAAATTTGAATTAACCACTAACCTCTTGCATTTATCCAATTGGCAGCTATATTCCAGATAGATTCAGGTCTATCGTGATGGGTAGATTGAATTGAAAGAGATTCCGAATCAAAGTTAATTTCATCAATTGGATTAATTGAAATTAATTTGTCCATAAATTGAGCATTGTTTAATTTATCATCAATTAACCTGGAAATCAGAGTCAAGTCAACTGTTGGAAGCAATTTAGAGGAGCCATTTTGTTTTTGTACCAAAGGTTGTGAGATTGGAGCTTTTTGTTCAACTTTGTGACCTCTAGATTTAGAATTAAACTAACCAATGACATTGAAGAAGAAGAAAAAAAACAAATTAATACAATTAACTACTAAGAAATTAAACAAAACCACTCACCTTAGGAGAATCACTAACAGAATAATCAAAAGTGACTAGAATAATAACCGAAACAAAAAAGGAAAAACCGCTGATTATGAGAGTGTAGAGACTTAATCTCGATCGCAATTTCATTTCATGATCAATCCAATCAGCGAACAATATTAATTGTCAAATAGATCAACAATTAACATGACTAGTTAATTAAACCATTTTTGGCACTTTCACCATAAGATTAACATGTAAACAAAGCAACAGTTAAGTCGCCAATTGACATGAGTGGAAAGTCAATGGAGCCAAATTGAAATTTGAAAAGAACAAAAAATTTCAATTGTTTACAATTAAATTAAATTGTTGTAATGTGAATAATTTAAATAAGAAAGATTTTATTATAATTGATTGATGTCTTTTCATTGAATCAATTTGATTGATGATTGGAGTTAATTAAAAGTCAATGGACTTTTTTTCGTTCAATGAGTTAGTTGATTAACTTTTTAATTGTTTTTCGTTGAATTTTTTTTTCTTCATTGATTTTGGTGAATAAACTTGAACGATTGATTGATCATGTAAAGAGATTACTTGTCAATGATCATCAAGTCACTTTTTTAATTGTTTTAATAACAGAACTAAGATTTTTTTGTATTTAGGATTACAAGTTCGGCTAAAATTACTAAAAATATCCAAGTATCAGCTCAAAAGGAGAATAAGAATCTTTTGCCTAAGCTGGTTGAAAGCATAACCATTTGTTTTTCAAGCCAACTTAATTTCGGTTTAATAATTATTGAAACAACCTTATAACCAGGTGATTGGCTAGCTAACGAATATTATTGATCTTGGATACGTTGAAGAAAATTTGATGTGTCCTGTAATTATAATTACAAATGAAATATTTAATCATCATCGATTTTCCCATCAGGGCGTATTGTCAAACTTTCATGGATATTGGAGGTTGGTATAACCAAACTGCATCTTTAAAATATTGGAATGATGAATTATTAGTTTCAAATAATTTGACACCGCAGTATTGTAGCACATGATAAATGTATTGAAAATTTACTCGTCATTCTGCAGCATGTTCTTGATATTGTCACATCTATTATACTTTCGATCATTAGAAATTGTTTGTGAGTTATACACTAACTTGTACCCTACGAAGACTCACTGATAAGTATTTAAACCAATCTTTGAAACTTGACACTTGTTGAGACAGAGGACAAATTGACATTTTTGAAGTTTAACCTTACAAACCATTTTAACCTCTTTCTCATTTTAAGCTTTACTTTATTTCGTAACAATATTAATATCGTTCATTGGTTTAATGATTTCCGCTGTTAGAAATGGAGATGATTAATAAATTAGCATGCATGAGTTTTGACAATGAATTTAACTTACTTGATTTTTTCTTCATTTTTGTTAACTGCACATTTACGCAGAGATCTTGCTGTATCACATGAATAAACTTTTTGATGTACAGGGCTATTCAGCATTTTGAGTAGGTTTGAGTGATACTTAATTGTCATATTAAAAGATCAAGGTCATTCAGGTCATCGGTAAAATAACGCGTTTCAAGGTTATTTGCTGGCCATTTTATAATTATTCATTATCCACGCTATTTCATCGTGGGCTACGATTTTGAAATTGATTGTAATTGTCAAGTAAAAGCTTCGTGACCAAGAGTAATAAAAGTGTAAGCATATTGAACAGCCACTCCATTTAATGGAGTATGATTCGGTCGGTAACTGTTGAACAAACAAGTGAAACATGACCAACACATAGGCACGCCCGCCAGCCGTTTGTACCAAAACAAACTAAAGTCGATTTGACCTGGATTGACGAAACTTCAATTGGGATATTAAAGTTGACAGGTTCCCTTCTAGCCATAGTGAACTAGACAAAGAGAGAAAAGAGATTCGACCTGGCTCGTAGGGAAAGGGGTATTATATTGTTCACTTTTCTCTTATCTTAGCCTGATAATAGAACATTTCAGTGCTTTTTTATCTACAGGGCTATTCAGCTATTTTTATCGATGTTTTTTGCGATTTTATCAGCAACTAAGAGTCAGAGAGACACGAGACTTGAGTGGTACGAGTTTGACCTTGAAACGTGTTATTTTACCGATGACCTGAATGACCTTGATCTTTTGATATAACAATTGAGTATCGCTCAAACTCGTACCACTCAAGTCTCGTGTCTCTCTGACTCTTAGTTGCTGAGAAAATCGCAAAAAACATCGGTAAAAATAGCTGAATAGCCCTGTATTTTTGATTAAATTTTCAATTTTGATAATAAGTTACGCTTAATTACATTTTCCGGTGTATCTTTTGTATTTGAAGTCCGATAAGAAAAATTTTGACATTTTTGAAATCAGCATAAAAAGTTGTCACAGAAAAAATTAACAAACAATTTTTAATTGTTTTAATAATTGAATTAAGATTTTTTTTTGGATATAGATTACAATTATTGAGAACGTGCATGTGGTTAAACTTGAATATGATTTTTAAAAAAGTTACATGTTGATTTGATAAATATATTTACAATATTCAAATTGAACTGCTAGTTGATTATCTCATTATTATGTGATTAACTATCGTTGGTAATTACTAGCTTAGTGATTACCATTGGTTTATTGTAATTGTTATCGCTTTTGAGATTTTCTCGGACCAGTGAATAGCCTTTTCAGTAAATTAACTGTTGGGAATTCAATCAATATAGTTGATAAAATGGACATTACATAGATTATTATGTAAACCGGAAGGTAATTAAATAGTACAACTTCAGTGTAACTAGGATAATTTAGTGTTCTAGTTGATCCAGAACGCAGACGAATTATCATTAAATTGGTGCATAGTACGGATAGATTGATTCGAGAAAATATTCTGAAAATTGGACGAGATAAATAGCTGGAGATCGGCTGTAGATAACCCAATCTGAGAATTAATATAATCCAAGCCCATCCAATTGACCAAATTGTCTTGGCGATTGTTCCGTAAGTAAAAGCAATCGGGTATTCAGGGTTAATTCCATATCGATTAACAGCATATTCGTATAAGAAATTAATCGACAGACAAGTTATACAAATCAACCAACCAAAAGTTAAAGTTAACTGTGAATTTATAAACGGATATAAATCTTTATCTATTTGAATTGAAATAATTTTCGTTACAACTTACTTGAGAAAGTTTCAATTTGGGATAAGATATTATGTAGCCAAATAAGACACCAACGAAATAAGGTCCAATATGAGGCCAAGGTTTTAGATTAAAGTCGAATGAGTATTGTAGGAACGGCTTACGTTGGAAATTAGTTGCTATCCAGGTTGTTGGTATATTGAGACGATAAATACCAAGTCCAGTCAAAACAATTCCAATAAGAATCAGAGATATTGTAAGAATGAGTGAAATTTTTTTGTGGTTTTTGAGGTAAGGTACCAAAACAATTAGGAAAATAATCGCCAGGATGAAATCAGCCGCGAGATACCAGTCAAAAAGTAGACAAACATTTACATCTTCTGAGCTATCGAACCAGAATTGATTAAGTAGCAAAGTGGGAAGCCATGTTTTTTCACAGGATTCGACTATTGAACCAATTGCATTATAGTCGCTCCACAAAGGCCCACCAAAATAGTGGTGGAAATGTTCACCGAAAAATATAAACTGCAAGCAAATAACCCAACCAATTAAAGTTGAAAATCTAATCCATCGACCGAGAATATAAGGAACAAGGTCAAGCCTTCGTTTTCCAGAGAAGAAATAAAAGCCCATAAGCAGTCCCGTTACCATTAGGAAAAGATCAACGGTGTAAGGAGCGAGATAAACCAGGACAAAAGTTGGATTAGCAGCAGCTTCCATAAATTTAAATGAGTCCTTGTATAAATTGAACATGTTTCCCATTTGGAAATGAGAAAGAACCACCAAGAACATGGTAAATACTTTGATTCCATCCAAGAAGCTCAATGATTCATAAGTAGCCGAATTATCAATCGTGAATAATTTCCTCTTATTTGCTGACCAATTAAACGATGAAAGAAGCGATTCCTCCGATGACCAACTTCCAATTAAATTTAGAAATATAATCAATACAACTAATCCAAGTCCAATCGCTTCTGATGCTCTCCATACAATAGTCTCTGGTTTAGAGTAACAAAGATCAACATCAGCGATTAAACCAGTATTATATTTGTCGAAAAATTTTCCAACCAAATGTTTCAATTCTTCTCTCGAACAATCATCAGGTACACATAGTCCGGTTGTTATATTCATTCGACGAAGAAAGTGAATATATTTCGAGAAATATTGGAATGGTTGAGAAGAGAAATTAAATAATTGCTGTTCGTATGGACGCATGAATCCTTCGTATCCCGTTTCGTTGAATAAAGGGACATTTGTATAGAGAAGACAATATTGACTGGATTCCAATGAAATACAAGAATCAAATGATCCTAAATCGGTAAATGTTCCCGCTAAAACACCACTAGGCCATTTTCCGCTTGAATCTAATCCTGAAATAGTTTATTCATGAAGAAATTGAGTTAAAACAACTAAATTTTTAAATTGTTGATGAGGATCAGACAATCAGACAAACTTATTTAATAATTATCATTAATTATAAACCTATTAAAAGTATTAGACTATAATTTGTAGAGGTTAATAAAGATTTCAATAGGAAACTAAATTGCTTCAAGGCTAATCGAGTTTGGATTTTTCTGTAAACATTAAATAATTTGAAATAATTATGAATTGTATTCTTGATAATTGTACAAATTTGACAATCATCATGAATGAAAATCATTAAAAAGCTTAAAATAAATAAACCAAAAGTGACTTACGTTTGACTGATGTTAACTCGAAGTTAATTAGTCCATTTTTGTAATCGATTAAAGATGATCGACATTTAGTTGTCACGTCACTTGAATTGATTAGTGTTAGAAAATCATTCTCATAATTATTCACAAAATTAATCACATTTTGATGGGTGAAATTTTCAAACTTAAACCAAGAATCAATGTAACGAGATTCACTTTGATCAGGTAGATTAACTAATAGCAATAGAATTGATATAAAGGTATCGATGAAAATGTAAACATTTCGACGTTGATGGTGAATATTTTTTTTTGTAGCTGGTCAATCACAAAGAAAACACAGTTGATTAGATGAGTGATTCCAATGGAAAACTGTTGAGAGTGAATAAAGATCAACAAAAGTTAAGACGAAAACAATTCAAACAAGAAACAGGATTTAAATGTCAGATTAAGCAAATTGATCTAATATTTTCATTGCTGATCAGAGAATGAATAATTCAAGTTCAATAGAATAGAAAAACTTTCCATTTGAAACACTGATGAGACAGAGTCTTAGATAAAAAATAAGACTTTCTAATTGACCGTAATAATTATCAACAGTAACTTGAATAGGCCTTTAAAAAAATGATGTTAATCAATCGGAAAATTTTCCGTTAATTCAAGGCTATAGATACAGATAATAACCTATCTGTAGACCAGGGATATGGGATTAAAGCCTTAATCATTAAGGTGGGATGAGAATAAGATTCGAGAGTAGAAAAAAATTAAAACAAGATTAACTCACCTTTAATGGTCAATGGTTTAGTTAGAGAAACAGAATAGTCGATTTAATTGTCAGTTGATTCTGATGATAAGAGAAACCATTGGCTAAAAGAAATTAACAAACAACAAAGTGAAAACGGTCAACATGGATTATGAGAAATCCACCAAATTAAAAGAAAACTCAAGTTGAAATGGTTATCACATAAACCACAGAATTGTAAATGATTAAAATAATCAAATTGTGGAGGGAATTTAATTTAAGAAGAAGGAGGAGAAGAAGAAAAAATTGATGATGATAATCAAATTCGTGTATTGGTTCAATAGCCGAAGAAATAAGAAAGAAGAAAAAGAAAGAGAAAGAGAAGAAGAAAAGAAAATCATTTTTCTCTTCTCTCTCATTTCAAGATCAATTTTAACAGAATAGAACATTAATTTTTCTCTTTCTTCCCTTCCAGTTTATAGTTCGTCTCTCTCTCTCTCTCTCTCTCTCCTCGTCTTAATTAATCATCTTTTCTCTTACCTTGATCTTTGTTTCACTAATTGATCTCCAATTAACTGTAACAATTTCCAATTAATTTTCGCTCCAACACAAAAGCGTAACAATTAACGTTTTAATCCAACACTTGAAACTAAAATGACTAAATGGTCAATGGATAAGAGATCAACTTGATCCTTTCATTTTCGTCCCTTGGTAACAATTGATTTCGACCAATGAGAAGGAAGAGAATATTTTTTATTCTTTTCCATTTCAATTTCTTTAATCAATTTGTTACATTAATTAACCTTTTTAAAAGTGTTTCTTATTTTGAGTGTTCATCTTTATTTTTTCTCGTGCAAAAGGAAACGGAAAGTGACCAAGGAAAATTACTATTGTTCCATCAGGAAATCAGTTGACAATTCAATGTCTTTTCAGAGATAATATCAAATCTCAACACCCTTGTTAATATCTTACAACGTAAACAACAAATTTGATCATTTAAATATTGGATTACAATTTGTTACTTTTTTTTCCTTCTTCTTCATCAATAATTAACTATATTAACATGTTTATCGTAAGTTTCTAATAATTAAATTTAGTGTGTGTTTACCTGAGAATAATTAGTAATCACCTTAATCTTGATTTAGATTGTGATTAACTTTTGAAGCCTTAAGAAACAAAAAAACCATAAATAAAATCAGGTTACTCGCTTATTAATTGCATAACCGTTTTTCAATTTAATTAATTGTAATTAATTGAATTGTTATCTTTGTTTCACTTAAGTACATTTAATTGTTACTTGAAAAGTTAATATTGAATAGAAACTATTTTTTGTCACAATTATTACATTTAACAATCAACCTTGAAAGTGAAAATCGATTTGGTTATTTAATAATCAATATATTCAAGTGATTAATTAAATGTTAATTGTGAATTGGTAAATTTTGATTGTAATACTATGTTAGAATCAAATATTTACGTAGGTAAATGATTAGATGAACAATTTAAAATTTTGCTTACATCATTACTAAATTACTATTGTTGTTGTTCATTTAATTTCAATTGAAACAAAAAATGAAACATATTGATTATCTTTAATTATTGATTGACAAACTTTTTCCAGTGATTAATTGATTGTTCAACCATTAAAAATTATCTTAAGATGGTGAAGGTTAATAATTTAACTCAATTGACTTACCGGTGGTTAAATTTGATTGGTAATTTCCTTGATTATGATGATTATTTCATTGTATTGGTGATGATTTATAGTTAAGGAAATATAAATACCAGCTAATTGTTGATCATTAATTCAGTAAGTTAAGTAACAATTGTGATTTTGTTGTGATTTGTTTAATTGTGGTAAATAAAAGCAACATAATTACAATGTCAAATTGAATTGAGTTGAAAAAAATATAAAACTTTGAGTCTCCAATTTTTGAATTGGTTTGTCTTTGAAAATTTAGTCAATAATAATAACAGTTACCTGAATATCAGGTGATTATAATGTCGATAGATATTTAAAACATAATTTGATTGTTGTGGTTAATTGTTGCTTAACTATTATCAGAAGTGATAACAATTCTGGTAATTGCTCGTTCAGTTAAATTGTGATTTTCCTCACCAGGAGATTGGTCAATTTTGTTGATCATTTTTTTTTGTTTACGTTGATTGTTAAAAATATTTCTCAGCAAATTAACAGTTGGAAATTCAACCATCAGCGTCGATACTAATGCAAGAGTATAAATAATTATGTACAATGGAAAATAGTGATAAAGAAGAGCGTCAATGTAGGCCGGATAATTTAGAGTTCTCGATGATCCAGAACGAAGTCTAATGATGAGCAAGTTGGTACAAAGAACCGATAAGTTGATTTTGGAAAGAATTCTGAAAACTTTGTGTGACAAAAATCTCGAAACTGATTGGAAGTATCCTAATTTGAGAATTAAAACAATCCAAGCCCATCCTGCCGACCAAATTGTCTTGGAGACAATTCCATAGGTCAAAGCGATCGGATAAACGGGATCAATTCCAAATCGATTAACAGCATATTCGTAAATAAAATTAGCGGATAAACACAATAGACATAAAATCAACCAAAATTAACGAAATCTGAACATAAAAATAGAGATTAAAAGGTTGAAGTTTCGAAATTTTTAAAGGTCAATATTATCTTTTACCTTTGATAACTTTAGCTTAGGATTGGACACGATGAAGCCGAAAGTGACCCCGACAAAGTAGGAACCCATATGAGGCCATGGTTTAAGATTGAAATCAAACGAGTATTGAATTAGTGGCATTCGTTGGAAATTACTTGCGATCCAAGTTGTCGGAATACCGAGAAAGTGAATTCCAAGGCCAGAAAATGAAAGTCCAACGGCGATTAAAAAGATCGACATAAAAATTGATACTTTTCGATATTTTTTAAGATACGGAAATAGAACAAGAAGAAACATAACTGAGAGCATAAAATCTGCCGCAAGGTACCAATCGAATAAGAGACAAACATTAGCGTCGCTCGAACTGTCGAACCAAAATTGACTCAGTAACAATGTAGTGAACCAGGTTCTCTCACAAGATCCAACTATTGACCCAACGGAACTATAATCTCCCCAAAATGGTCCACCAAAATAGTAACGAAAATGTTCACCGAAAAAGATGAACTGCAAGCAGATAATCCAACCCATTAGAGCGGCAAATCGAGCCCATCGACCGACCACATAGGACAGAACATTGAGACTTCGTTTACCAGAGAAGAAATAAAAGCCCATAAGCAGTCCTGTTACCATAAGGAAAAGATCAACGGTGTAAGGGGCGAGATAAACTGGGATAAAGGCCGGATTAGTGACGATCTCAATGAATCTGAACGATTCCATATATAAGTTGAACATGTTTCCCATTTGGAAATGAGAAAGAACCACCAAGAACATGGTAAATACTTTGATTCCATCCAAGAAGCTCAAGGATTCATAAGTAGCCGAATTATCAATCGTGAATAATTTCCTTCTATTTGCTGACCAATTAAACGATGAAAGAAGCGATTCCTCCGATGACCAACTTCCAATTAAATTTAGAAATATAATCAACACAACTAATCCAAGTCCAATCGCTTCTGATGCTCTCCATACAATAGTCTCTGGTTTAGAGTAACAAAGATCAACATCAGCGATTAAACCAGTATTATATTTGTCGAAAAATTTTCCGACTAAATGTTTCAATTCTTCTCTCGAACAATCATCAGGTACACATAGTCCGGTTGTTATATTCATTCGACGAAGAAAGTGAATATATTTCGAGAAATATTGGAATGGTTGAGAAGAGAAATTAAATAATTGTTGTTCGTATGGACGCATGAATCCTTCGTATCCCGTTTCGTTGAATAAAGGGACATTTGTATAGAGAAGACAATATTGACTGGATTCCAATGAAATACAAGAATCAAATGATCCTAAATCGGTAAATGTTCCCGCTAAAACACCACTAGGCCATTTTCCGCTCGAATCTAATCCTAAACCAAAAGACAATAAAAGAAATTAACTGGATTGAAACAAGTAAATCATGTTTGCTTATTGAAAGATTTAATTTTTGCAATTACGGTTAATATGGATGAAGATTCAACACTTACGTTTGACTGAAGTTAACTCGAAGTTAATTAGTCCATTTTTGTAATCGATTAAAGATGATCGACACTTAGTTGTCACGTCACTTGAATTGATTAGTGTTAGAAAATCATTCTCATAATTATTCACAAAATTAATCACATTTTGATGGGTGAAATTTTCAAACTTAAGCCAAGAATCAAGGTAACGAGATTCACTTTGATCAAGTAAACAGATCAACAATAAGCCGATCGTTATGGATTTCCAATGTTCCAACATTTTGTTTAATCAGTTAATCACTTTTATATTGTATCTTTTTAGTTGATTTTCCAGTGGATAAGTAAATAGTAATTAGATTAACCAAGTTAAATATATAATAACCACATAGGAGACAATTAAGTTTAGTAAACAATCACAATCGATGTCCACTGGATGATTGTTAATCAACTCATGGCCATCACTCTGATTTTATACTTTCCAACAAGAAAAAGTGATTAGTTAATCATCGAAAAATCTAGTTAAATTGTTCCAATAGGACTTTCAGGTAATGACATGTTTGAACCAATGGTGAACAATTAACTTTAACCACATCTTGAAAGTAATTGGATAACTCCAAAAGTCTAGAGAAAAACAGAAAAACCAACGAATGAAATTAAAACAATCAAAAGTAGCAAGAGTTAAACATGAAGAGTCAACAAAATGAAAGGTAAACACAAAACAATTAAACCAATTGGGAAAAATTAAACAATCAAATCAAATCAATAAATGAAAAAAAAACTAAAAAATCATATCTCAGATTTTGAAAAGAGTAAAAATCACTTCCAGTTTAAAATTAAACCCAACGAACTAATCGAATCATCGACCAATTAACTGGACAATTAGTGATTAAAATCTTAATTGTAACTCACCTGAAATGGTTAAATCATTGGTTGATTGTTGGAGAAAAACAAATTGTGATTAGTAAACAACAAATGTGATTAGAATTTAATTTATGCGAATTGTGCTTTTTATGCTTTTTTCCGATTAATAGAAAAGCATAAACTGGTTACATTCTAACCGCTAAATTTTTGTTCATTTAAAAAGTGTTTAATCAACTGTTTACATCTTGAGAAAATTGTTAATTCAATTAATTGATTTTATTTGTTTTTAATTGTTCCAATTTATTTTATTCTCAATAGAAATGTCCCCTTCAGCTAAATCATCGATTACTCTTAAAGGATCAGTTGAAATTGTCACTGAATTTCTGGGTAAATATAATTTTCTTTTTTTCTTCACCTTGGAAATTGATCCTTTTCTTTTAATATTAACGGTCGTTTATGTCTGTTGGGTTTTCTCTTGTTGTTTCTTTATTATTGTTTCATTTTCTCACAATTTTTTGATTGTTTTAATTGTGTTTTCTCTTGTTGATTAGTTGACTAGATTATTTGCTATCTCATTTGCAATGTTTAATCTATTTGTTTGTTTGTTCTCTTTGCAGAATTTGGAATAAATTCTATTCTCTATCAACGAGGAATCTATCCAAGTGATACTTTTACCTCTGTTAAGAAGTATGGACTTCCTTTGTGGATGACTACAGATTCGGAGGTTAATAATTTCAATAAAACAATCTTACACCAATTGAGATCATTCATATTGGATAAGTGTGTTCACAAATTAACTGTTGTTATTGTTGATGTTAAAACAAAGGAGACTATTGAAAAATGGGATTTCAGGATTGAATTAACCACCTCAGATGAGATTGTTACTGGTGAAAAGGCCGATCTAAATGAGATCCAAAGAAACATTCGAGATGTTATTCGTCAAATTACCGCTTCGGTTACATTTTTACCCTTTATAGACAAACTTTGTTACTATGATATCCTTTTGTATACCGATAAAAATACTTGCCTTCCATCAGAAAAATGGAGCGATGGTAAACCACCGATCATCGCCAGAGAGGAAAAGGTTCAATTAAGAGGATTCACCACAGGAATTCATGAGATTGACACAATCGTTGCCTACAAAAAGGATGTCGACTAAAAATTCAAACTCTCTCTCTCTCTTTTTTTCATTTGTATTATTTTCTACTTCACTTTTTTATGTCATTCATCTTAACCAACTCAAGATTTACTCTAAAATGATTCTTAAAGAAACATTGTTTTTACCAAAAAAATCTCAAATCAAATTTATTCTCCTCCAAATTACAAAACAATTAACCTTCCACCATTTATATTTATAGTCTTTCTTTTAAACAACAAAACGGTCAAGTTAATTTCTCAGGTCAAATTCAACCAATTATTCCGTAGAGCATCAGTATATTATCCTCCTCAAGCCAATCAAGAAAATGATAAGATTAAAATCAATCAAAATCTCAACTCGGCCTCCATTCATTTCAATTGACACACAATTGAAAAGAACCAAATAATTACAAAGATTAATTGAGAAAAAATAATAAAAAAATCTAAACAAAGATTCTGACACAGTTTAAAAGGGAAGACAAGAAACAATCAAATCGTATACTTGATCTATCATATCCTCTATTGACACTTGAAACAATTTTGTTTAATCAGTTTACTCTCAATGGTTATAATTAAATCTTAAATGCTCACAATTTAACCAACGGAAAGTTTTCATTCAAAAAGAACAACAATTTAAATGGAACAATCAGTTTTCTATTAAAGCGACACCTTCAGGTTGCGGGAAAAATCTAGAAAATTGGTTCTCTTCTTTATCCTTTTGTTTTGTTTCTCTGCTCTTTTCGTTTAATTTAATTAAATTATCACCTTTTTGTTTAAATTTGATCATTTGATTATTTTGATTGTTACACCAACACCTAATTAACTTGGATTTAAATCATGGCTAAACCAGGGGAAGCGGATCCAAGATGGATTGTTGAAGAGAGACCTGATGCTGCTAATGTGAACAATTGGCATTGGTAATGTTGTTTATTTCTCTTTATTATTATAATTTACTCAACCTTTTCTAATTAATTTCTAATCTATTTTAACCTTTATATTTACAAATATCATCTTAATTAAGATGTAGCTTTGTCTGTGGGGTTTTATTGTCCATTATGTGACTTTGAAATTTGGTTAGGATGTTGATGATTTTTCTGATCTATTTTTTTCTTTTCTTCCTTTCTTCTCACTTCCTTTTTTTTTATTTACTCCTTTTCCTTTTCCATCTGATCAGGACTGAAAAAAATGCCACCGAATGGTCCAAGAATAAGATCAAAAGTCTACTCGAACAATTAATCATCGATGAACCTGGTTTAGGATCTTGTAAGATAACTGAGGTGACCAGTATGGAAGGAGAAGCTTTTGCAAACAATCGTAAAGCAAAGCTTATTTTCTTTTATGAATGGGTAATCAAAGCTAAATGGGAAGGCAATTTAAATGGATCATCATCGGAAAAAGCTATTGAAGGTGAAATTGAAATACCCAATCTATCAGAGGAAAATGATCCTGAAGAAATTGATGTGCAAGTTATTGTAAAAAAGGGTGAAAATACTGTGGATGGTGATGCACTTAAAGGATTGATGAGGCACAAAGGAACCGATCTGATCAGGGAGAAGCTCACTGATTATATTAAGGAATTGAAAGAAGATTTTGCTAAAGATTTAATTTTACCTACTAAAGATTCCTCGAAATCAGGAGAAAGTGTCATCAAACATTCTGGAAAATCTCAAGTGAAAGCAAATTCAGCCAAACTCAATGGAATTAACATGAACAAGAAAAATGATGAAATGAAGGCTTCATCTGACTTCAAGTCACTTAAAATCTCCGACAAGATGAAATGTCGAGCGGAAGAAATTTTCAATTCCTTTACTCAACGTGAATTAGTTTCAGCTTTCACTCGAGGAGATGCTCTCGTTGAACCTCATGAAGGTGGAAAATTCAGTTTATTTGATGGAAATATAACTGGTACGTTTACCAAATTGGTTCCAAATTCAAGTATTTCACAAAAATGGAGATTCAAGGTTGGCCTGAAGGTCATTTCTCAATTGTAAATATAAATTTTGACGAAAAATCTGATGAGACAATAATCTACGTTGAACAAACCGGAATTCCAAGTACCGATTTTGAAAGAACCGAAACAGGATGGAAAACTTATTACTTTGAATCAATCAAGAGAACCTTTGGATTCGGTGCTGCTCTTTATTAATGACAATTTATTGATTAATCTTCTTCATTGGTCACTTCAAACAAAATCGAAATCTTTTTCCTTCTTCCGATAAATCTGTTGATACGATAATCTGCTTGGAATCTTTTCACATTAACAATTTATCTCTAGGCCTCTCTCTCTCTGCAATCGATGATTAATCCATGTCTTCTTTACTCTACCATTACCAATAATCCTCCTCTTCTGCAATTTAACCTTTGCCACCATCAGAACTTGATCATGATTGAATTTATCAAATCAATATTCTCGTCATAACAAGTAACCTTAAGACCATGGACCGAAAGATCAGAACAACTGATTTGATCATCTACCAGTAGCAATAACTTTCGACAGAGAAATTGTTTTTAATCTAAACAACCCAAATGCGCAATTGAACAATTACAACAACTAATTAACAATTAATTTTGTTCCATTTAAATTGAAAACTGGTTAAAATGAAACTAAATCGGTGTAAATCCAATCCACTTTAATCCAGAAAAGAGTTAATCAATTGATGAGGGAAAATAAATTCATATTTTCAATTTTTCGAATCAAATTTTCATTCGTAACACTTCATCTTCGTGAATCAAATTCATCTCCATCTACCGAATTAATTATAAATCTAAAACGACAATTAAATTGATGAGTAATTAAAGAGTAGAAATCAACTGATTGTGATTATTAGATCATCATTTTATTAACTGTTCCATAATTATCCTTGTCAATTAAATGGTACACGTAAGGAAATGAAGAGGGAAAATATTGTGATACTAATAAGATAATTTAATTGCGATTACAAATTAGATTTATAACCATAATAGTGATGATTATTGTAACAATTAATTGCTCTCACTTGGCTTTAATTCAGTGTTGAGGTGAGATGAACAAGATGAATAGACCAGGTAACTTTACCACCGAGGGTCAAGTTAACTTACCTATTGATCAAATGTCACCATCTCAACAATCAAGGTGAGTTGTTGATGATTAATTAGTGAAATTAATGTTAATTAGACTAATTTTGTTTTCTTTAATTGTGTCAATAAGACGTTCAAGTGATATTGGTCGAGGTTGGGATGTTTTCGAGACAACAATTGGCGGTGAAGATGATTACGATTGGGCCATGTACGATAAAGTGATTAAATTAGTTAAACTAATTGTTCTCATAATCACTTCATTAATCGTCTTGATTAGTAGTATAATTTCAAAAGGAACGTTTCATTTAATGATTTCACAAATTGGTTCTCATCAATCATCAGTTTGCAATTTAAATACACCAAATTTGTCAACCGATCGTCGCTACTATTTAACATTATCATCGGAAAATGATTACGACGCCAATTTAATTAACAACGAAAAAATCGTTTGGTTTTGGTGTTTATTTTTTTCCTTGATTAGTCCAGAATTGTTGACACTTTTTCGTAGTTTAAGATCAGTTTTCTCGAGTGCGTCAACATGGCCGACATTTAAAGTCTTTGCAACCGTAAGTTTATCAACAACGAATCAACAACTTTGAGTGTTAATTGTTATTCTAATTGTGATTAGATTACCATCATGGAGATTTTTAGATCAATTGGAATTGGATTGTTGACATTTTACATCTTACCTTCATTAAATGTGCTCTTTGGATTGATGATCACATCATCGATTTGCTTAATTCCAATAATTTTACAATTAATTTCTTTCGATGATCAAACCAAACGGAGAGATTTGATTTACCTTAAAATCATCGCAACAATTATCTCAACTATTTCGTTGGTTTGTTGGCCTTTAATTGGATATTTTTACCAAAATTCAATGACGATTGGTCAGTTAATATCATTACCCTTCATCTTGACCATAATATCACTTGGGTGGACTGAGAATTACCTTCCAACTGATTCGTACCTTTCCAAGATTCTGTCACCTTTACTAACGATTCGTGAATCACTTGCATCATCACGTTATCTGATTTACTTAATTGTCAGCCCATTAAAGATAATTACCTGGTTATTAACAATGATCCTTGTTAATTATTATGTTAACAATATAACCGCTGGTCAATTGTTCAATAGTTTCCACCTATTGACAACATCTCATCCCATAGTAATTAAGGAAGATTCTGACATCGGTTTACCAGTTTTAATCACAAGCAGTTCAATTCATATCTACCTGATGATAACTCAGATCATTTCCTCATTGGTCTGTTATATTGCCGGTAAATTTGCGTGTAAAATTTGTGTCCAAACAAGTGCCTTTGCGCTGCCAATCAGCTTGACCACACCGATTCTACTCTCAATTGGAACCATAATTTGTCACACTAAAAGTAAATTCATTTGCTTGGTTTACAATTACTTTTACTTTCTACCGGGTTACATTTTCTGGTATTGTCCAGATAAATCGTTCATTGAACATTGGTCATTTCTATTAGTCTTGACCTTCTGGTTTACAACTTATTTGACCAGTGTTTGGTCACCTTTGCATATCTGGTCACCGCCGAGGGAAAGGACAGCGCGGACCGAGAAACTGTTTGTGTCACCTTTGTATTGTGCTGCGTTTATTGACATTTCTCTTGCTTTTAATCGTCGCCGTGAGAAACAGCAAACAATCAGTCAGTCCGATTTAACCATCATCCCGACATCAACTGGAGGTTTGGGTCAATTTGATTCGACTGAACTTTCCGATCATGTTATTCACGATTCTGACAGGATAACTCGTATCTACGCCTGTGTAACAATGTGGCATGAAACCTCCGAGGAAATGCTGCAAACAATTAAATCGCTGATGAAAATGGACGAAGATCAATCGGCTCGTGCAAATGCTCAAAAATATCTGAAAGTCGTTGATCCAGATTATTATCAATTCGAAAGTAATTATATTATTATTTTGAAGAAAAAAAATTATTTTCTTTTTCGAATATTAATCAAATTAACTTAATTAATTCGATCATCATTCATTTCTACTATTTGTTTTAGCTTTTAATTTCTACCTTGAAGATTAATCACCTTTTCTGTTTATCGTATTTCCAATTTTCTTTAAAATCTTTTGTTTTTATTTCTCTACTAATTCCAAGTTAATTGCTGTAAATAATTTAATCCAAAATTAACTAATCATTACAGTTACTCTATTCTAATAACGATGATCCATAAATATCTTAATCAATTACTTTGTCAACAAAAACAACAACAACATGATTAGTAAAAAGCCCTGAGGCTATAAAACTTTTGACACTTTTTAAAATGATCAACCCAAATTTGATTAGACAAATTATAGTGATTTAGTTATTATAACATTTAGATTGATTTAATTTAGTTTAAATCAATGAAATAAAGTTATACATAAATCATTAAATCTATTAATGGATTAGTTGATTGTTGATTTTTTATTCTAGTTATAACAAAAATTTGTTTTTCTAATTCTAATTACCAATTTTAATTGAAGTTTAATTACATTACCGATCTCATTTAAGGTTAAACTTTACCGTTTACACAATTAAGGTGAAATCATAATCATAAACAACAATTTATTATCAATACAAATTGATAATCATCTTTATTGATACTCTAATTTGTTGCTACTTTTTAATCAATTGTATCAAATTGTGATTGTTTATTAGATATTAGAAACAAAAATGATCAAGTAAATCATAAAAATGACAAGTTAATTGTTACCTAATTGTCTTAATTTGTTTTACCTTCTATTAAAATGATCAATAGCTCATATAATGTTTGATGATGCCTTTGAATTGTCTGATGAAGAGGATGATCAAATGGTGGTCAATCGGCATGTTAAACAATTCTGTGATGTGGTCAACGAAGCGGTCAGTGCTGTCCATCGGACCCACCTTAAGTTACGGCCACCGACTGTAATACCAACTCCCTATGGAGGTAAATTAATTTGGTTATTACCTGGAAAGACAAAGTTAATTGTTCATCTTAAAGATAAGGCAAAGATACGGCACAAGAAAAGATGGAGTCAAGTTAGTCAGTCAATCCAATAAATCAATGAATCTCCAATTAATTAACGAGAAAAAAAAGGTAATTAATCATTTCCTCAATTTCTCTTACAGATAATGTATATGTATTACCTTTTGGGATACCTTTTAATGGACACTAATCTTCATATAAGTCGTAAGGCAGTTCGAGGTGAAAATACATATTTATTGACCTTAGATGGTGACATTAGTTTTAACCCGCCGGCGGTGTTATTGTTGATCGATTTGATGAAAAAAAATGGGAACCTTGGAGCGGCCTGTGGACGTTTACATCCCATTGGCTCTGGGCTGATGGTTTGGTACCAGAAATTTGAATATGCGGTTAGTCATTGGCTTCAGAAAGCGGCTGAACACGTTTTCGGCTGTGTACTTTGTTCACCGGGTGCGTTTTCATTGTTCCGAGCACGATCACTAATGTCTCCCAATGTAATGGCCACTTATGCCTCTGAATCAAAGGAGCCCATCGATTTCGTTCAACATGATCAAGGTGAAGATCGCTGGTTATGTACACTTCTCCTTCAAAGTGGCCATCGAGTTGAATATAATGCGGCCTCCGATGCTTTCACCCATTGTCCAGAAAGTTTCAATGAGTTTTTCATCCAACGCCGTCGTTGGGGCCCATCAACCATTGCCAATATTATTGATCTACTTCAAGATTACAAAAACATCATCAATGTCAATCAAAGTATCTCAATTTGGTACATTGGTTATCAAAGTTTCTTAATGTTGTCTACTATTATTGGTCCGGGAACCATTTTACTTATGCTCGTCGGTGCCGTTAATTCAGTATTTAAACTGGATTACACTCAATCACTTGCGGTCAATTTGATACCAGTCGCAGTTTTCATAATCGTTTGTTTTGTCACCAAAAATGATATTCAATTGTTTCTCGCTCAGATACTTTCGGCTGCCTATGTTTTCCTTATGCTTGCAGTGCTCATTGGAACTGCGATTCAGATCAAAGATGAACCATTTTCTCCGTCAACTCTTTTCTTCTTTATCCTGATCATTACCTTCCTCGTGGCCGCTATTCTTCATCCTCGAGAAATAACGTGCTACTTTTCCTTCCCACTCTACATGCTCTGTATTCCAAGTATGTACTTGATCCTTCAACTTTACTCACTGATCAACTTGAACGTCGTTAGTTGGGGCACTAGAGAAGCGCCAACAAAGCCCGTTAAACAGTCTAACGAGGCTTCGATTAAAGAAGTAAATAAATCAAGTGGACAATCTGGTCGGACAAATACTATTGTTCAGTTTCTTAATCTAATGGAGAATCAAAAATCGCAAGAAGCCAATGTATCGTTCAGTTTTGGTAACATATTTCGGTGCCTTCTCTGTACCCATGACACAAGAGCATCGGATAATATTCAGTTGGTTCGAGTGGAAGAAGCGATCAAAGATCTTTCATCGAAAGTTAATTCACTTCCATTTCCTAGTCGTGCAAGACGAGCTTCAGGTCAGTTGCAAAAAGAACAATTTATTGTTATAATTATCGAAATGAGTAAATTTCTTTGAGCAATCAACATTCAATTTATGAATTTCTTTCGTCAGAATTGTCTCGAGTTACTGAAGAAAGTACAACAGCCGAAATGATACCAGAAATGGAAGAATATCAAAGTGATATCGAACTCGAACCAGAAAAGGTGAAAATAGTTCGAGATGACCTAAAGAATCCCTATTGGATTGAAGATCCAGCCTTCGCTGATTGTCCAGTAGTTTTCTTATCCGATCATGAAACGACCTTTTGGAAAGAGCTAATTGCTAAATATCTTTATCCGATCGACAAAAATGCCGATAAAGAAGCTCGAATCTCAGCTGGGCTTAAAGACCTTCGAGATAAGGTCATGTTCGGTGTTCTAATGATAAACGCAATCTTTTTACTGACCATCTTTCTACTACAAATGAACAAAGATAAACTTTCAATAACGTTACCATTTCGCTTCGATTTGGCCGAGCCAAAGGTCAAGGACGACGGTTACATTGACTCAGTCGAAGACGAAGAAAACAGTAAATTAGAACCAGTTGGAGCTTCGTTCATTATATGTTTCGCTTTACTCTTAATTATCCAAACAATTGGGATGTTCAAACATCGTTTATCAACCTTGTCGCACATTCTGGCCTTCGTACAATTAGACTATTTCAACCGGAAGAAGCTGAACATTAATGCCGATGAATACATCGAGGCGAACGCCATTGAGATCGCAAAAGGTTTACAATGTTTAAGAGGTAAAAGAAATTATAATCATTAATTGGACAATCAATCGATCATTGATTGATCAAATATTAACTTTTCAAAGGGACAATTAACTTTAATAAGTATATTGAACGAAAAAAGAGAAACAATTTAAATCATTCTTCCTTCAACAATCAACAATTACAATTAACACACACACACACACTTTCATTTAGATTTACAATTGGAGTAATTATCTTACAATTTTTTTTCATCTTCATCTGATTGATTGTGATTAAAGTGACGATGTTGATTTTAAACCTTGATTTTATCAATTGAACCGTAAACAGATCAAATTAAATTGAAGCAATTAACATGATATCTAATTGCAGGTTAACTATTGTATCTAAATCTTAGGTCATAACCTTTTATTGAGACTCTTTTTGTTTAATTATCTCAACAGGAATTGATGAAGAAGTGATTAACAATGAGAAAGGAATCAAGAATCAAGAGAAAGGTAAACAATCAGTTAATGAAGATGAACAATTAACCAAAGGAATTAATAAACGGAAAACTTTGGAGCGTAAAAATACAATTTACAATTTAGAACGAAAAAGAGAGAAAAAATCGAAAACTCTTACACTGGATGTTGTCTTTCGACGACGATTTTTGGCCTTATCTTCGTCCGATGCTGATGGTAAGTCCAAATGTCGATAATCAATTTATTCATTCAACCAATTCCCTTAATTTAATTGTTAATTTCCATCAAACAGTCAATCAAGTAAATCAAATAATCACTTTTTAAAATTTCTTTATTATTATCGATAATCAATCAGCCGTTATTGATCCGAAAGTCTTTTGATTGTCCAATTTTCCTTAATTGTTGTGGCTTTGTGTGTATTTCACTTTCGTTTATTTTTACAATTTAGCTAAAGCTACCGAACGATATCAATAGTAACAATTAAATTAAATTGAAACTTTCGTTCTACTTTAATTTAGTTTCATTGTTTTCTAATTCAAAAATAATCTTGATTGTTTTTAGAATCATTAACTGATTAGTGTCAATTTTAAAGTTGGACAGTTTGATGATTACAAACGATTGGATAATCACTTTGATTTAATTGTTGTTAGAATAACAATCAAATTAACCTCAAGGAAATGAGTTTGAATTATTAATAAATCAACATAAATTATAATTAATGATTGATAGCTAATCATTGATAATCAGTAGACAATTGAAAGATTTACCATTTAACAATTTGTTAATTGTGAGGATTTTGACCTTTTCTTGATTTATTTAACCAGAAACTTTTTTTTTCTTCATTTAATTACTTTAATTGTGGTTAATTATATTTGTACTTTGAGAAGGTCGAACTGATTGAGATCACTTTTTTTTGGTTAATATAATTTACTCATTGATTTGTCAACCAATTTAAATAATTTCGGATTAATTGTTGTTGTTGATTGTTGATGTAAACTAACAATCATCAACATTTTGGTTATTCAAATTGATACGTTCAAAAGTGATTAACCGAATTATGATTTATTTTTAATTCTGATTGTTAATTGATTCCGAAATTTATATCATACAGAATGTGAGGTCATTTCTATTTCGTCACGAGAATTGTTGAGAACTGGATTAGTTTACAGAGAAATATTAACAATTGTAAAGAGATGAACTTCATCTTAATTTGGTTCTTATTTGATTGATTTACGTATAATTAAACTGTGGACAAGGAAAGTTACTAATTATTACTTGAGTCCCGGTGCTGCTAATCCAAGGGATAACAGCAAAGTCGCCAAATTAGAAATGAATTCCGGTGTAATTAGACAAACTTTACCGAGTGAGAGGCCAATGTCACTTGGCTTAAGTCGCCGTAAGAATATGTTAATCTTTACCAATAGAAGAGGGAAAACTTTTATTACTATTAATAATATGATCTCGAAATTATATATTAGAAAACAAAACTTTACCTCGATTTTTGCTTCATTAGAATAGTTTTTGAACGATAACCAATAAACATTTTGATAACAAGAACTTGCATATCGATTAACTGAAACAAGATAATAAGTTAATTGAATCATGCAAAACATTGAAACAAATACTCTGAATGATAGTTGATAAGCATTTCCTTTCGCATGTAGAATGTCCTGAAAATCATGAAGTTTTCCATGACAATAATAGTGTAAAACCCTAAGATCGAAGGTAATAACAAAGTGTCCAATCTGAGTATCGATTTAACCGCTAGTAAATGTAGACGACGAATCTCTCGAATCTGCTGAGCCGTTTCGGGATTTTGTAAAACCGTCAACAGGAGATTCCTTATGATTTCAAAAGACGCACAGGAATTGATACAATTTGATATTATAAATTGATTAATGAAAAACCAACTCATCAAACCGAAAATTGTCAAAATAATGTTGAATAAAAGGATTAGTAGTTTAATTGGATCATAAATATCGATATTCGAATGAATTATATTCAATAGTAAGAAACTAAACATTTCAAATATTAAGATAATTTTATTAATCAATTGACAATAGAAACTTATCTGTTTAATGGTATCCAACGAAAGTTGATTGTCCATCGATAAGATTTGCTGATTAACTTTGATGAATTTCTGATAACTTGATCGATTCCATTGAATGAATATCATGTTGAAGCCCATGGCGATTGAGAAAATTGCGTTTCGAATCCGTGGTAATTTTCATTACCTATTAATGTGTCTTCACCTTTTAAGAATCCATTAAAACCACTTATGAAATAAAACAGAGTAATAATATAAACCAGAATCTTATGTGATATTTTACCGTTAGACGAGAAGATTAATGAATAAAAGTCATTTGGATTAGTTGATTGACGATTTAGTCTGTTGGTTAACATTTTAAAGAGATCGAAAAGTTTTACCTTTGAATGTTCAACTTTCAAAGAGAAAAAGTTGGACAATTTGAATAGTCGAACAGTCAATTGGTCAACAAAGTACAAATTGGTGACATTTATGATTGATTAAAGGACATTCGGTAATTGGTTTTACAAGGAAAAAGAAAATAATTATTATTACTATTAATATAAATTCGTATGATTATTGTTATAATCTTATTGTTGGGGTAGAAAAGAAACAATTAATTGTAGTTTGATGAATGAATTTCATGTTAATCGATCAGAACTTTTCAAAATTTTCGAAATTAATATTTGATCAGTTGTCATGAGTAACTCATCTGAGTCCTTGTTCAACTAAATTGCTGAAAATTAGAGATGATATAATTAGAATACTCCACCAATTAATAGGCCATTATCATGGTGATGTTATCAAACTGAATAAGCCTGAAATCTAATTATCAAACTAATTAAGTTACTTAAATGATTCACAATTCTTGATCTATTATCTGATTGTCTTTTTTTGACAATTGTCTTAATTACTGAATCGATTACTATTGTATTTTTATTTGAATATTAAAGTTTAGAGGGTCAAAGTTGAATCTAATTTTGAATCATCTATTGGTGTGATTTATTGATGAATAGAATTAAAATTGAACGTATCTACTAATTGATTATCTAAATTGTTTCAATCAAGGATTATCTCGAATTGGTGGAAACTTAAGACGAAGACAAGCAATCGAAGCGCTGGAAAGACGGAGATAGACTTTTATCGACCTCAACCCGATGGATTGAAAGTCAACCGACTGAAAGGTCATCGTCATCATCGGCATTTACCATTGCTAATCGAGTCACGCCTGCGATTAACAGGCCAGATTATCTTGACCATAATAATTTTATTACTTCCAATCGGGAAATAATCAATCCGGTTGTTATGATTAACGATGGATTTAACAGCAATCAAAATAATTATCCCAATCAGTTTAATAACAACAGTTATGCTGTTATCACACGTTCACGGTTAACCAATTTAAGGACCTTTGGTCATCATTACAATAACAACAACAGCAACAATCAAGGTAATAATAATCATTCAGGTTACCAATCATCATCTGAATCAAGTGTTAACAATATGAATCGTAACAATTGGCGATTTAACAACATCATTAACAACAATAATGATAATGGTCGTAACTATTTGGAAGACAATTTAACTTGATCAAGTATTTAAAGTGATGAAAAAGGTCCAGCGGAAGAGGAAGTGGTGGTCAGCTTATTGTTATTATTTGTGAGAAACTTTTCTCACCTAAGGGTGAATAAGATTCTGTAGATAACAATTTAAACATGATGATTAGAAAGTGAATTGTGTTAATTGTGCCAAATATTGATCACGGAAATGTAAACACAACGAGTTATTATTGACATGATGGTGAAAATGAATCAAAAAAATTGATCACAATCATTTAACATTCATGAGGATCTTTTTTTTTCATCATAATCTGTAATTAACTTTATCCCTAAAGTTAATTCACTTGATTGGATTAATCATCATATTTTGATTGCTTAAGGCAAATTTCCGATTTGATTGTGCATAATTTAATTTTCAATGTATTATTAATTTAACTTTAAAACTGTTGATTGTGGTAAATAATAAACTGAATTTATTATAATCATAAAAGTTGCTGATTGTTTTCAAACTCATAATTATCATCTTAATTGAGATAACCGGAAATAGTAAATGAAAGTTTTGAGAGTCGATTTGTTTTTGTTTTTGTTTTAGAGTTTAGTTTAAGAGGAAGTTGAATTTATTTACACCTAGAACAGAATTGAGAGAGATAGTGTGTGTGGGGGAGCGGGAAGTAATTTACATGATGGATTGAGGGTGGGAGAAAGATATATAAGTGGGTGGAAAGGAGGAAAAGAAAATATTACAAATAGAAACTTTTCTCGAATTCTTTTTTCAATCATTTCCGATATATTGATGATTCATCAGGAAAATCAGGATTAATCTGAATGAATATCATGAAATCTGAATGATAATTGATGAAGAAAAGATCAAAGTTGTTATAAGAGATAGAGAGAGAGAGAGGAAGATATGTTTAGTTGATCATTGGTGAGGTAAATCAGTGATCATTGATCATTAATTAGGTGACCAGCCCTATGGTTAATTGATCATTTAAACGTAAGCTTCATATTGTTCATAACCTCCTTGTTCAGCTCCAGCACCAACACCAGCACCGTAACCGGTGGCACCTTCACCTCCGGCTTCACCTTCAGATTCATAACCTCCACCATAACCAGCGGCAGCGTTTTCATCGTATGAACCTTCGTGTCCACCGTATCCAGCGGCATCAGCACCTTCGTAAGCACCAGCACCTTCAGCACCAGAGTATGGACCAGCTTCGCCCATGCCACCAGCTTCACCTTGGTAGGCATCGTATTGGGCGCAAGCGACGGCGAAAAGGCAAGTAAGAGCGATCTAAACAATCAAAGCAAAAAGAAGACAATTAATCAATCATCATAATCATTTGATTTAATTACAAGAGATGGAAAAATAAACTTACCAAAGTGAATTTCATTTTTGGATTTGTTTGTTTGTGTGTAACTGTAAATGGACAAGAAAAGGAGAGAAAATTATAATTAGTTGATTAAATTTAAATCCAATTGGTATTAAAAGTTGATTAGCGTTCCAAGCACTCAGATAATTAAGATTAACACAATATGAATATTTGATGATTAGGTAATCAATGGACAATTAGAATAAAAAATTTTCTTCTTTTTGTCAATTGTAACCTTTTAATCGTTAGCACTTTAAATTGTCTTAATCAACTTTGTGATTGGAACGCTAGAAACAGTTATAACGTTACGAATTAGATACGTACAGATCGAAAGATCAAAAGTGTAAGAAATTGAAGTGAATAAGGAATTGTATTGATTATTGATGTTTGTCGATTAAAGCAACTTGTTCAACTGGTGTTTTAATGTCGATTCAGATCAACTTTTATACACCGGGAACAAAACGGGAGCTCAGGTAAAAATATGATCACACTAATGGAAGAGACCAAAAAAAGATAGAGAATCGAGAAGACTGAAAAAAGGATGGACCTTAAGAGATTCAGGCCGACCCACATCGCAACCGAAGCCAATTCATTGAAAGAGAATACAAGTTCTAATCTAATCAGAACTTTCTCTTTCTTTACTCTCTCTTTCTCTTTCTCTTTCTTTCTTTCTCTTTTCTTTTCTTTTCTTTCTCTCTCCTGGTTCAGTTCATTTTCACTTCATGAAAATTTTTCCCTTTTTTCACTTTCATTTTCAATCTGAAACTTGATCCTTCCCTTTTCATTTAGTCCATCATCTTAATCATCATCATCATTATTAATATCTTAATCTTCATCATCATCATGAGCCACATCATTATCACTTCATTGTTATCAACTGATTTCGAAAATGAACAATTTTTTATTTCTTCTTCTCTTCAATGATGAAGATTTATTATTATTATATATTATTCTTCCTACTATTTGGCGATGATGATAAAATTGTAACAATTAGATTGAAGTTTTTTTCGGGATTATGAGTGAAAAATGATTCTCGGATGGATTAACTGGACATACGACGAGTTTAGATGTACTAAAAGTCCTCAAAATAAAATGAAAAGTTGACCAAAAGGTCAGAAAATGTCCATTCACAAAAATAGGGAAAAAAGTCATTCAGATGATTTTTGTTTCGGTTCCTGTAAATGCGATTTTGTTCATTACCCTCAGGCGATAAGCAACTATGAGATACTCTGAATTTGGTATCAACAGATTTAGATTTAAAATGGTAACAACAATTTAACGATAATAATAATAATAATCTGGTAATCGATACAATTATAACAGGTAAAGAAGAAAAAAACATTTTTACATCAACAAGTTGTTACCTGTTGATGATGGAGACAAGTAACAAAAAGGTAAATTGGATCAACAGTTATGTTGTTGATCCGGAAATAGAGTAGTGTCCAGTTTGGATGAAGGATTAATTTATTTTTCTCTCTCACTTTCGGCCCAAACGGTTAGTGGTTAGTGATTGACCTCAATTCCGTGTAAGCGATTGTGTACCTCACGAGAATGAATCAAAAGCCTCGCCCGTTTTTCTTAGCTGATTTTAAATTGGATTCGAATGAAATTTTTACCCTTTAGGCTCTTGATCGTTTGTTTTTTTTACGAATAATCAGAAAAAGAAACACTCGATTTAATTAACCATCAACTAACTTTAATTGTCGTAATTGTTTTTCTTCATCTTTTTTGGTTGACAATTAAGTGACCATCATTTGTTTGGTAGCTTTTCTCTCATGAAATCGTAAATTAATTAGCGACTAATTAATTGTAATCATCATTACCTTTTCCATAAGGAAATGAGTTGAAATTTTATCGACTAACTGATGATCTGTATCAAAACAGTAATTAGCTAATTGTTGGTATGCAAATGAAGTAAATTAAATATTTTGTGAAGATTTCGTCACGTTTATTGTGAGATTAGTTTGATTTGTAGTAATTAACTGTTTGTGATTAGGGAGTGAGTTGCAGAGACAATTAAGATTATCAATTGATTTGCATATCGTACGAATCAAATTCTGGAATTGAGAAATTTTTTTTCGCTAACTAAATCAACTTATTGATTGTTCGGAATATAATTAGAAATTAACTTCACTCAAAGATTATTAATTAGCCAACTAATCCCTTGTAGACATCAAACCTAATTAGTAACTATATTAATCGTTTTCTAATCACGATTATCATTAACTAATCAGTGTTTAAATTGTTGATCGACTCATTGATAATATTGATTGATATTATTGGTGATTAATTAGTTGATTTAGATGAACAGTTGATAAATCAGGATTTAGAAATGGTCAATGAGATGACAATCAAATTAATCCACTTGCTAATCACTGATTCGTCTAATTAAAAGTTAATCATCTAAATCAACGTGTTAATTACAATCCAACCAATCAATTTTTTTCCTTCATCAATTTTTTGATTACTTTTTACCCTTTAAATTGTTGCATCTTTATTTACTTTGAGTCTTTTTTTTTCAATCGACAATTAAATGTATTTTTAATCATTTTCAAGTTAATCTTATAGTAATTAAGTTGATTAATGAAACACTGAGATAATCAGGTAACGATCATTATGGTTAATTTATTGTTAATTGTTGGTTACAGTTTCTTTTTAATTGTCTTTAATTTCTAGATTGTAATGTTCACTTGATTGGGTCAATTTTTCAATGGTTATTCTTGTTAATCAAGTTGATTAAGGAAGCAATTAAGACCTGGAATTGTTGATTGTATAATTTTGAAAGAAATCAACAAATAAAGATCATCATGTTGATCACTCTGATTTAGTGATCAATCTTAATTGTTTATGGAAACAATCACTTTCTCAGTTTCTATTTAATTGTAATTAAGCTTCATGATCAATGATAATTGTAATTTAAGTTAATCATCAACTTTAATGATTCAATTAAATCTCTCAAGGTGTAAAAAAGTTGAAACATTTAAAAGTTTTTCCTTTGATTAAAGTAACTTAACAATTCAAGTTAAACTAAATTTAGTGATTTTTTTTCATACAATTGTAACAATTAAGAGTCACTTCTCATTTCAATTAACTTTTAATTGTAATTTTCTTTTTACTAATCAATCCTACAAATCTAATTGTTTGGGTAACAACAATTTACTAAATGGTTTGTTAGTGAATCTTTTTTTTTAATCACCTTTTTGTATTTCCTAAAAATTGGTGATTTCATTTGATTGTTGTCCTTTAAAAACAACGATTACAATTAACTCTGGTGGTGGTTGTTAATTGTTGATTATTGGTGATGATGATTGATGAAAATTCATTCATTCATGACAGAATTAACTGTTAATTGTTTTCGATTGGGATATGGTTGACCTGATAATCATCAGATGAACTTTGATTATTTAACTTCCGCTGATTAACAATGATTAACTTAATTTTTTTTTATTCTTCTTTCAATTTGTCTCTTTATTTAATTGTTGTTGTTGAAAATTATCATTAATTTAGTGGACCTGTTAATCTATTTTGTTTTTCTTTCATCAAATCAAACAATCAATCATTCATCTGAAATACTCATTGATTGACAATTAACTCTATCTTCTTGTCACTTTCATTAACTACAAGGTTAATTGTTTGTTTACCACCTTAACCATTAACTAATTGTCTTACCTGTCTGAACAATCATCAACCCTTATCATCAAGTTACTTTAAGATAGCAATTGTAATACAATTCATTGGACAATCAATACTAATCATGTTTGAACTAGAAATCAATTCAATTGAAAGTTATTTTTGTATTATGATTAAGGATCAATTTGATTTGCAAATGAACTAACAATTAGTTTAGTAATAGATTCCAGATTATACAATCAAGATACTTGTTTCATTTTTCAATGATTAAAATCCAAAGCACATGATTATCATTTACAATTTGTATTTGATTATCGGACATTTAGTTTCGTTGATTAGGAAAATTAAACCCAATCAATTGACAATCAATTCCAGAGTAATGGTCGTTTTTTATTTCCTTCGATACGATTACATTAGAACTCGATTTTTGTTCAATTAATCTGAACATTTCTTCCAATTTATCAATTGTGATCTTTGATTAACCTTTTAAATCATAATTAAGAAAAAAATCCAAATCTGATCAACAGAAAATCAAATTTTCGCAATTATTATACTTTCCCTTATTGAGCACATGTTGAATTTTCAATTCAATGTTTTCATCTCATTAATTAATTTAATTGTGACTTCTATTATATTTTTGGATAATCGATATAATTAAAGAATCTTATCAAATTAATTGCTGTTGTTTAATCTTTGGCTCTAATTTGCTGGTGTTACCAGGAGGTTATTGTTTCTTTACCTTTGGTTTCTTCTTGTTTTTTTTCCTTGTCATTTATTGTAACCAATTTTACTAAATGTTTCATATTTCTTCAAATGCTCGACTATTTCTTGTCGGTACCAATAGAAATTTAATCGATTCCTTGAGAGTTGTTACCCGTCTTTATGCCACCGAGCCTAAAGTACCTAAAAAAGGACCAGGACCTGGCGGTGCAGGAGCCAAGAAAACCTATTCTCGGGATAAGCCTCACATAAATATTGGTACAATTGGACATGTTGATCATGGAAAGACAACTCTTACCGCCGCCATTACGACCATTTTGGCTGAGAGAAAATTAGCCAAAGTTAAATCTTATGAAGACATTGATAATGCTCCACAAGAAAGGCAGAGAGGTATCACAATTAACTCGGCTCATGTTGAGTATTCAACCGACAAGAGACATTATGGTCACACAGATTGTCCTGGTAAGTTAAAAGGTTAAGACATTCGATTATCTACAATTACACTAATCTCTCTCTTTCTCTCTCACTTACCATTCTTAGGTCACGCTGATTATATCAAAAATATGATCACTGGAACCAATATTATGGACGGAAGTATTTTGGTTGTTGCTGCTACCGAAGGACCCATGCCCCAGACCAGAGAGCATCTTGTCTTAGCTAAGCAAATAGGTAATTAAGATTGAAAAAGAAGATCATATTTTCTAAATATATGATGTTAATTCATATTCGTTTCATTCATTACTATTCAGGTATTGAACATATAGTCGTTTATTTGAATAAAACTGATATCGCTGATCAGGAGATGATTGAATTAGCTGAGATGGAATTGCGAGATGTTATGACCGAAATTGGTTTTGCAGGAGAATCAGTACCAATTGTTTCTGGTTCAGCTTTATGTGCATTAGAAGGTGTTAAACCTGAACTTGGTCGTGATTCGATTATCAAATTATTAGATGTTGTAGATGAACATATTCCCGAACCACCAAGAGTTTTGGATAAACCTTTCATGTTGCCAATTGAGAGAACTCATATGATCCAAGGAAGAGGTACCGTTGTAACCGGTAAAGTTGAAAGAGGAATCCTAAAGAAAGGAGATGAAGTTTCCATATTGGGTTATGATAAAGAAATTAAAACATCAATTGCTGGTATCGAAATGTTCAAACAACTTTTAGATGGTAAGAATTTCATTTTGAATATTCATCGAATACACAATCTAATTGATGATTTTTGTTTCATCTATCATCAGATGCCAGAGCTGGAGATTCAATTGGAGCTCTAATTCGAGGTGTCAAACGCGAAGATGTCCGTCGTGGAATGGTTCTCTGTGCCCCTGGAGCGATGCAACTTTGCGACCATGCGATGGCCAAAGTGTACTTCCTTACTAAAGAGGAAGGAGGATTCCAAAAGCCAATATTGAAACATCTCGTTGCCACATTATACACATTAACATGTGACATGAAATTCAAACTTGACATGTTAGAAAAAGATATGGTTATGCCCGGTGAAGATGTTGAGATGAGAATCCAAGTAAGTCGAAAGGCCAAAATTCAAATGAACTATTCATGAATTTAGCATTCGTTGTGGAAAAACAAAACAAAAAACTAATCCAATCATGGAAATTTGTTTAATTCTTCTTCTTCTTTTAGCTTCCTAAAGCAATTGTCATGGAAAAGGGACAAAGGTTCACAATTCGTGAGATGGGCTGTACATTGGCGACTGGAGTTATTACCGAAATCATGCCCAATATGACGATGACGGAGAAACAAGCATTCTTGAAAGGACGAACACGAAAGGAGAGAGATGCCTTCCAAGAGAAATACGCTGAAATTTTGAAAGAATATACAAAGAAACCAGTTCTTGGTTGAGAAAACAATCAAACAATTGAACAATTTACCTGAGTAGTAATGAGGCAGCAAAAATGGAAAGAAAATTGATTAATTGAATGATTACAATTTACACATGTAACCTCAATTAATTGCCGTTAAAATTTTCTAAATAGCGATTGATGTTAACTAACAAATTGACAGTTTTGTTTTTCCTACAAAAGAGATGATCACATTCATCAACTGTGTAGTTTTTGCTAGTTGTTTATCAATGAACAATAAATTAAACACTTGATAATATTTGTACAATTAGAAAGACTGCAATTAGAAGAAACAAAAGATAATAATTAACAATCAATTCCAGGTAATTGTTAATTCGTATCTATACCTCAATCTATTTGCTAATCTATTGCTCTTAAAATATCCAAGGAAAGGAAAAAGCAAGTGAGAGAGAGATAAACATGTGAATATTATCATTTGTCTTTCGTCAGTTAATTGAATCATTTAATTTTTCTCTTGTGTTAATTATTGAGCATTTTAATTGTGAATCCAAAATGTATATCAAATTTGCCTGTAATATTTCAACCATGTTCACCGATTTGCCGACACTCAAGGAAAGATACGAATACATTTGTTTCAGATCACCGATACACTTTGACGCAGTTGAATGTCAAGATCCGTACATTTTATCAATCGATGAATGGAGAGAAATATTTGATTCATGTTCCAAACGTGGAGCTAAATTACCTACATGGGAACTGATTAATTCCCCTGCTTTGTTCAACGTTTTCCCTGGTGAACAAGTTCCAACCTTTGATGAATATAAACGAACCGTTCTTGAGAAGACACTTGAATATGCTAAATTTCTGGGCTGTTCAAAGGTTCACCTAATCCTTGGTGATCTTTCCTGTAAACAGAATAATCCTGATGAACTTAATCCGAATAGTGAAAAAATTGTTAACCTTTTATATGATTCAGTTCACTATTTGGGCGAGGAAAAGATTACCTGTCTAATTGAACCGCTTTCACTTAAGGAGAGGGAAAATTATTACCTCAGATCTTACAAATTGGGCTATCAAATTGTCCAAAATTGTAAACATGATAATTTACGTCTCTTAACTGATATTTATCATCTTCAACGATTAGAAGGAAATTTATCTGAAACAATTAGGAAGTACATGCCATTAACTGGACACGTTCAAGTTTCTCAGGTTCCATGGAGAGATAATCCTTTCAATACTGGTGAGATTGATTATCGTTACATCTTGAAGATATTGAGAGATGTTTATTTCGGTTACATTGGATTAGAGTTTAAATGTTCAACCTTAACGGATTTATCATGGATTTCAAGTTATACCCGATGAATTAACGATACGATTAACACGAACCATGGGGAACACAAATGAAGATACTGAATGGAAAACATCGCCATTTTGTTCATTTTTTTATCTCTTTCTCTTTATTATTATCTTTCTAATTACATAATTAACTCATTTAAGAATTAATATTTACTCTGTTCAAGTGCCTTCACCGTTTGTCATTTATACCCAATCTAATCAAGAGATTAGTAAATTAGTTGAACAAATAGAAAGTAAAATCTTAGAAAAACAATAAAAGTTTTATGAACTTTGGATCAGCTGAACTGTGGAAATGATTATGAATTAAGATGAGGTACTGAAAAGATCATGGAGATAATTTGAATTAATGATCAATAATTAAGAGCTAAATGTAGATCGGTGAAAGTCGATCGATCGATTAAAAGAAGGAAAAAGAATAGAATTTTATTTTCTTCTCTGTCTATTTTATCTTCGAAACTCTGTCGATATTATCAAAAAGAGACCACAATATGTTGGCCTCCCTTTCTCTCTCTCTCTCTCTCTCTCTCTCTCTCTCTCTCTCTCTCTTGTCTCTTTTTTTCTTTGCCATGGTTACTAGAATCTCGGTGATGTTATTATTCATTTAATAACAATAAAAGAATCCTAATCAGGTCATCTTGGTGATAATCAGTGGAACTAATTAACAGGGGGTTAATTGTATTGTCTTCAATTGCCTTCGAGCCACTTTCTTCAATCTCACAACCATTTCAATTGTAAACAATTAGTGTTTCTGTACTTAAATACCCACATCGAGAAAGTGATTCCTCCTAATCAACCAATTTATCTTTATTACGAGTGGTAATTGTTAAAAGATCAACATCCTAAAGTGATTTACCAATATTCTTGATCATTGAGATTATTGTCTTAATCTCATTCATATGATAATCTTAATACCAACACCAAAATCTAATGTTTACCTTTATCCATATGATAATATTAAGATTCATTTCTATTATCAGGTTTAAATTTGATTTTCTCAATTTAATTCAATCATGGATTCAAAGTGAAAGATCAAAATAACGGTTTCCCTTTGGACATTTGGATACAAGTAACATTAAGGTTACATTTTTAATTTTCTTCTGTGTTAACTTGACCACTGTGACTTTTGACCGATGGATGAAATCACTGAAAACGGTAAAACTGTTCATCGAAATATTAATCTGAAAAATCTTGAGGTTCACCCAACTGAACAAACTCTTATATTAAATTGTGAACTCGAGGCTTGCCTGTCAACCGATTCATGTGAGAATAGTTTTCTCGAGGTTAATCGTGAATTCCAGCGATACATTAGATTGAAATCTCTACAAGAGACAAGTGATATCGATTCAATTGTAAGCCAAGTAATTGCTAAATCGAAAGGTTTATTAACAGAATCGCATCGAGATGAAATAAAACAATTAATCGTTTATCTTAAAAATCGTTCCATCCAATCAGCCGTTCGAGCAACAGCAACAGGGGCAACTTTTGATTCTTTTCGTCCTAAAACGGCTGGAGGCCGGTTAACCAATTCCAATTCCAATCAACAACAACAACAACAATTTACAAATGGACATAATGGCGATTCGAGTAATGGTCACTTTCATAGAGCAAGATTAACCTCATCAACATCGGTCAATTCATTTCCATCCAATGGTCTGGAGAATCGGAGCTTTGTTAATCGAGGCGGCGGCTCATTAGCATTAGAATCAATATTTTCTGATATAAAAAGGTTAATTAATCGGTTACCAATTGATGATGCAAATGAAAATGTAAACCTAAATTCAGTTGATTATTATGCAGAACTTTTTTATGAAGATAATGGTAAAAAACTGAAAGGAGCCTCAGCAATTTACCAATTAGCACTTAATCATGACAATTTACTTGCCTTGTCAAACAATGAGCCGCTTCATCTTGTTCTGGCTCGATTGTTAAGAGAAGACGGAAGAAAAAATCTTGACCTGGGAACCATTTTAATCGGAATTTTCGCCAATTTTTCAATTTACCGCCAATTCCATCCGATAATCACCAAGTATAAAGTGGGTGCTCTTTGCCTGGAGGCTGTTCAGGGGGAATTGGAACGGGAAGAGATTCTATTTGCCGATTTAGCCGATATTCAGGAAGCCATGAAAAGCGAATGTCACAGTCTATCCAATTCAATTCATTCTTCTATGAGTTATTCCCATTTGTCGACATTATCAGCACCAAATTCAGGTCTTTCCAGTTCTCGTCAATCATCAGCTGGTTTGACCAGTGAATACGAAAGGTCACTGAGAAAATATCAGAATCTCGTTGTTAAGCAAAACCTTTTCCTTCGAGCGGCTTACACAGTATTGTTACACTTATCAGAGGATCGAAACATCGAAATCAAAATGGTCAACAAGGGAATCATCGGTTGCCTGGTGAAAACACTGGACAGAGAGAATTGGTTTCAATTGTTATTTCTGTCAATTCAATTTCTTAAACGTCTCTCTGTTTATGAGGAAAACAAAGATTCAATTCTATCAATGGGAATTGTTGATAAACTATCAACTATCCTGGAGAATCAAATTACCTCATCATCCATTGGACATTTGATTAATACGCTTGAATTGGTTTACAATTTATCATTTGATTCTAAATTTAGATCGTCAATCATTCACAACAATTTGGTATCAAAGATTTTCTCCTTTCTACCTCGAGCAATTAAATCACAATCACAACCCTCATCAACCAATGGTAACAATTTATCATTCACTGGAAATAACATCTCAAGTAACAATCTAATTTTGGAGAAACTAATTTACCAGATAATTTATTTACTAACAATTGAAAGTAAACATCGAGTTCTAGTAACCCTTTCATTGGGCCCTGATCGAATCCATTTATTAACTGATCGAGTGATTAAGCATTTAAATGATCCAAAGAAATGCTTCCCGTTTACCGAGTTAATTGGTTTAGTAATTAATCTGTCAACTAATCGACGAAATGCCCAATTAATTTGTGATAAAGATCGACTTAAACGTCTACTAGATCATATTGTCACTCTTTTAATCAATGGACAACAATCAGTGACTCAAGACGATATTATGATTCTTAAATTAATTCGCAATTTATCCCAACATGAGGATTCTTACAAAATGATTTACCTTGATTATTTGGAATCATTAGTTTCTCTGTTAGTTAAACGATCACCTCAACTAATTGATTCAACCAGTCAACTATTACTGACTCAAGGTAATCAACAACAACAGTTAATCAATGAAGATAATAATCTTAATTGTGATTCAATGGTTTCCATTGAGATACTCGGTATTCTTGGTAATATGATTAACCTTCCGGGTGTTGATTGGTTAACCCTTTCAAGTTCAAAGGGTTTATTCAAATGGATTTCCAGTGTTTTATCAACCAGGAGAAATTCCCATGAAGATGATCTGATTCTTGAATGTATCCAAGTGATTTCGTGTCTAATTAACAATCGAGAATCCTGTTTATATGCTCTTAAATTTGATTGTCTTAAATTGTTAATCAACACACTAAATGGTAAACAAGAGGAAGATGAGATTGTCCTTCAGATCATTTTCACGTTTCATTTGATGCTTCGGGAACCCGATGTTCGGAAGATGATCTTGTCACCCGAAACTCAGGTAATGGCCTATCTTTTTGATCTGATGAACGATAAAAATCAAGAGATTCGTAAATTGTGCAAGGCGAGTTTGAACATTATCTTCGAAGCTGAAGATGGACACAAGGATAAAATTCGAGAGGAAAGTTTCAAGATCTACAATAAACAATGGCTCGAAATGATCTTATCAAGGCAAGAGAATCAGTGTCCAATCAGTGAACCTAATGGTCGACGAGGATTAATTACCGATGCCCCAAACAATTACAAGAATAGTGATAAAATTTACTCCAATTCAAATGGTGACCATGATTTTGATGGCGATGATGGTGATGAAAACTATCACTTCCGTAACAATGATGATGATTTAATTGGAATGACTTATAACAATTTAGTACTTCGGACTGATATACTTTCCGAATCACCTCCATCATCGGGACCAACCATGACTGATGATCAAGAAGCTTCATCATGTTCAATTAACGAGTCAACAATCAATAATCAATCATCATTAATTAATTCACGACCACAAACTGGTTACAAGAAAAGAGGAACGAGACGAACAATTAAATCATCATCAATTGCAAATGATCAAAGATCAACAGTGACAACAAACACCTCGAAAAACATAATTCATTTATAACAATTAATTTACTTGGAGAAAATTAGAATTAATCTAATTAACTTTGTTTTCTCGCTATTTTCAAATCAAATGTACAAAAGAAAAGTTCTAGTCACATATTAGAATATCTGAAAGGATTGACATGTTAATCGAAATATTTATTCTTAATCTAATCGATATTTCCAATTAAAAATTAATTTCTTTTTCGTAAGAAAAAGTTCTAAATCTTTAGAACTTAATTGTCAAGTTAATTGTTTATTTAGATTTGAGAGAAGAGAGAAAAAAAAACTCCGATCAAATTTCAAGAGAAAAATAAAGAAACAATAATAAATCGATAATTACTACTGATAGAAAATTAATCTTTTCTCTGTTGTTAATTGCTCTATTGTAGTGTCAACTTGTATCTCTCTTTGTTCCAACAATTTAACTAATTGCTCGAAGGGAGAGAAAAAATTAACCAAATTGTTTAAGAAAAGAAAATCCAATTTCTACTTATTATTATTGTTTCTTCTGTTGGTAAGTTTGAACTCTTTTCAAATTTCAAGTCAGTTAATCGTAAATTCGTGATCACAATTTTTTTTCCTTCTCCTAATAAATATCAATTTCTTTATGTATGAGCAAAAAATTACGTTTTAATCACAATTGTTATCGAAGAAAAAAAAATTGATTGGATTTATAGTTTAATCGATCGTCACTAGATGGAAATGAAAGTTCATTTTAACCTTAAAATCTTCAGAAAAGAATAACCGAGATAACCGAATTCGGTAGAAAATCGGGTTGTTGTTACCATAGAAACGAGAAAAAAATGAATGAAACTGAGAGAGAAAGAGAAAAGATAGAAAATAATAATAAAGATGAATAAAGATGCGAAAGCTTTAGAAAGTGAATTGTTTATTTTCAATGGTTTTTTTTTCTTTTACTAATTTTAATTGTAATTAAATTTTTTTATTCTTATTTTTGTCAGTCTAACCAAAGTGATTGGTGTAAATCTAAAGTAAATAATATTTATTGTTTGTCTTTGTGTTTTCTTTTTAGTTTCTTGTGTTTCTTTTTTTTTGACCCTTCTCGCTTTTATATATATACAATAAATACACTATGGGAGCCCGTCAAAGTAGCCCTGTTGGTGGTGTCGGTGGTGGTGGTGTTACCGGAGGTGGTGGTGGTTTAACAGCAACAACACCAACCACATCAACATCATCTACGTCTAGAAATTCAGATTCTGGTTTAATTGATTCTGGTACCAATACTACCGGCTTTGCTGGTTTACTGTCAACCTCATTGTGTCAAAATAGTTCAACGTCCACAAGAACAAGGCCAATTGCTTCAAATTATGATGGAATCAAGTGCCCGATATGTTCTAAATCAATGTTACCTGATGATGTTGAATTTCACCTAGTAATGTGTCTTACCAAACCAAGAATAAGTTACAATGAGGATATACTTACAGAAGATAAAGGAGAATGTGTTATTTGTTTAGATGATCTGAGTCAAGGAGATATAATTGCAAGACTTCCTTGTCTATGTATTTATCATAAGTGTTGTATTGATGCCTGGTTTCAAGTTAATCGTTCTTGTCCTGAACATCCATCTGACTGAATTTTCGCATTTTTATTCTATGGATTTAATTAGAAGGAAAGAGAAAGAGAAAGAGAAAGAGAGAGAAAACAAAACATAAACCTCATCTATTATTTGTCAATTCTAAATTGAATTTGGATCCAAAATCTATTTGTGGCCTCTCGAGTTATCATAAAGCAAATATAAACATCTAATGGCTTACAAAGGCTTCCATGTTAATCTAATATGTATACACTTGGTCATCATCGTCATTATCATCATCATATGAGTTTAAAACTAAGAGAGTTTACTGATAAATACTCTTTTGGTTTACAATTTAATTGCGAAGGAAAAATTGTCATTTATTTTGTATTAGTCGGCCAATATTATCCTCCTAGAACTGTTCATCTCCCTCTATCTCTCTCTCTTTCTCTCTCATTTTCTCTGAAATTCAGGAGAGATCATCTATTTGAGCGCCAAAGAACCAAAAGACCATCAGTGATAAACGTAAGATTTCAAGATGGATGACCAAAAGTGATGAGAAATCATTTGATAAACTCAATTAAACTTTAATCTTCAAATTTTATGGATTAGCTTGTCTTGTTTTTTGATAAACAAAATTGTCAAAGTATAAAAACACAAACTAAAAAGATGAAAAGGTTTTTACAAAACAAAAAGGACTTTTGGATTTTCAAATGTATCATCATCATCTTCATCGTCATCATCATCAAGTCTACAGTTTGTGATGGTGGTTCCTAAAAATGTCACCAAAAAAAAGAAATGAAAAGAAAATTAAATTCATATAATTGTCAACCAACAAATAACCACAACAACAACAAACAAACAAAACATTAATTCATTTACTTCAATAAACTTTATTTTTGTTAAAATCATCAAGAGAATCATATTTATTACTATTTCTTGATTATATCTCATGACTAGAAAAGTAAATACCCTCTAGAAGACATTCACTGACTTGGTTGACAATAATCAATGTCGAAGTAATTAATTAATTGTCTATTCGATGATCCAATTGTAATCAAATCACATGTAATAAGAGAGAGAGAGAAAGAGGAAAGACTAAAGATTATCGATAAAAAGAGATCAACAGATTATGGTAAATGTATTTTTAGACTTTCATTTCCATAAGTTAATTAGTTAATCTGATTACAATTAAGAGAATCAAATTAATCATGAGCGAGAATAGAAAAAAGTAAATGAAACATGTGATGGAAAGTTTAATATTCTATCCGATAGATGGCGAACTGGTCGATTTCCGATCGATTTGGTTGGGCGATTTTTTGAAATGACGATTAATTTGTTGAATTAAACAGAATTGTTTTGTTTTTTATTCACATTTAACATGCACAGATAGACGAGTGAATACAATAGAAAGAAAATGGATTCTCAGGTTAAGGAAAAAATAGATAAAGAGTATTGATGATGATGGTGAGATGATGATTGATGGTGAGAAAAAGTCAATGATGATATTGGTTAGTTGTCGATTTGTTGTTGTATTTACTTTGCTTTTTTTTAAAGTCCACTGGTTATCTCAATGTTTGATGATTTTTTACCTTGACGATTGTTGGTAGTGGTGGTGGTGGTTGTTGTTTGTACTTCCACTGGACTTCGTATGACTATTTCAATAACTCTTAATCCTCTTTCCACCGGGTCAACTAAATGTAATCCTCGAGGTTCCCAGATGGTTTCATTTTGATCATCAATGAAAGCGGATATTTTTCTCATGTTACGTGAAAAATGGGTCTCAATACAAATGTATAGTAAGTAGGCTGATAGACAGGCAAGGCAGCTTTCAAAATAAGAGAACCAAGAGGTTTCTGCTTGATGGTACATCTTATTTAATGTATTAACTAAATGGTCAAAATGTTGCCTCTCTATAAGTCCCTCCAATTCAGCAGGAAATTTGCTTTGAAATTTAATCATGGTTCCATTGGAATAATCTCTTTGAATGAAGATTTTGGTTTGTTGCTGTTGTTGTTGCTGCTGCTGTTGGGAACAATTATTTGTTGGACCATTAGAATGACAAGAAGGTTCCATGTTTATTTATACACTTTACTATTCTATTAAACACCAGGTATAAGTTTATTCTAAATTAAACAAAATAAGAAGATAATTTTTACTTTTAAACAATTTAATTAGTAATCAAAAGAAAAAGAAAATAATTGGGAACAGAAAAACAAAAATCACCAAAGAAAAGTCAACCTACTTAAAAAAGAAAAGAAAAAATGGAGTCTAATGAATTTCTTTCCAATAGATGGCGTTACTTTTAACTCTTTCTTTTCTTCTTTTCTCTTACTCTAAATGTCTCATTCATCACTTATCTTTAGTCGGAGTGTCTTTGAATTTTTAGTTTAATCAAATTGTTAATTAAATTTTTATTTGTAATTAAACATTTACATTTAATTGGTGAATTGTTTTACCAAGATGATTGTATCATAGAAATTAATATTTATTAGTGTATAAAGTGAAACAAAAATTTCAATTTTCTTTTCTGCCTTCTCTTATTTTTTCATCTTTTTCTCTCTCTTCATCTTCATATTGACATCAGAATATAAAAGAAAAACAATAACATCAACATTTTTGGTTTTCTTTCAGATGAGTTTAACAATTTACTAGGTTTGTAATTAATTTCTATTCCCATTTTGTGATAATCTGTCTAACAAATTTAAACCATTTACCATTGAGATTAGAATATCATGATAATTTAAAGTCCATTTTCTTTTTGTTCGCCCAATAAGATTGGAAACAATTTTCTTTTCTTTCCTCCCTCAAGTGTTTTCCTTCTCGTTCCTCTGTTGATGATCTTTTGAAGATATTCAGTGTTTATTTCTTCATGTTTACTCTTTCAAAGAACATTGAAACTCAAATTTTAACCATTTCTTTTTTCTAATTTGTTTTATTTTGTTTTGTTTTGTTTTTATTTCTTTTTTATTCACAGTGAATGTTATCTACAAGACTTTGAGAAACACTTGGTATCCTGTTTATTTTTACCTATATTTATATATACCGGGAATCCAATCTTCGAGGGATTAACAACATGTTGTTTAATGAGAAAGTTTTAGAACTCGCTTTGAGTCAAATGGGCCTTAACATTGGTTGGCAGTCAATGTCACAACAATCCATGAGAGTATTACAAACTCTTGTTATAAAATATATTCAAGAACTTGGTAAAGCAACGATGGGATATGCTAACAATTGTAATCGACATACAGCTTTTCTTGGTGATGTTATTCTTGCCATGAGACAGATGAGTATTAGTATAGAGGAGGTTGAAGAATATATCAATGAAGTCGATTGTGTTCCATTTATCAAAGGAAATAACATTCCACTTTATCCTTGTGCTCCACCTAAGGGATATGTGAGGATCAATTTTCCTGGTCCAGAAGAAATCGCTTCCAGGCCAGAATATATGGAAGAATGGTTACCCTCTTTAAACTTTGGTGATAAAGCTGATGATAAGGATGCAAATAATGGTAATTCCGATGAAAACAATGGACAGGAAGGCCATGCTGACGGAGAAAACGGTATTGACGGTAAAAACGATCCAAACGATCCCGAAAGTGCAGCTGCTCATGAAAGGCTGAACAATCATATTCACCTGTCCTCTGTTTACCTCGACGAGGAAGGTAGAATTGTTGGTAGAAATGGTAAAGAAGGAGTTGCTCCCGATAGTCGTTTACCTCCAAAGGATGATTATGAAGAGAGACGTATTGCCGAAGAAGAAGAAAGAAGAAGAAAAATTTTAGAAGCAGAAGAAGCTGAAAAGAAGAGGAAACAAAAAATCGAGGAGATAAAATTAAAACCAATTAAAACCATTAAGACCAAATTGAAAGATAAACCATTTAGTAGGATGAAGAAAACTGACTTAGGTGGACTCAAGAAAAAAAGAGGTCCACTAGGATTAAAAGGAAACATACGAAAAAAATCAGCTCTTACCTTCAAAGTGTCTCTTTCTGGTCTACAAAGTGGTACACCCACGGCAAAACCATCTCCAACAGTTACTCCTCGGTCTCCTCTTAGTTTCTTAAATGACGACGATGATTTTGACAGTTCACATATCAACTCAAAAGAAAACAGTAAAACAACCATTGACGAAGACACTAGTGCAAACATTGACAATACTATTAACGAGGTTATTGAAAGATCTCGTTTACAAGACCTTGAACCTGGTGAAATACCGGAAGACGATTTTCTATTCAACAATCTGGATGTGAAAAATTCTAAAGTCAAGAAACCCAGGAAGAAGATTATCAGGAAAACAAAGAAAAAAGATTCTTTCGATTTAACTATTGACAATGTGGTTAAGACATCTACCGAAAATGATGCTGTACCTCATGAAGAAAAGTCCAAAAAAGACAATGTGTATACATTTAGTGACGAAGTTAATAATGATGTAAAAACTAAAGAGGAATCGGGTGTTGATGCCAAAGAAGCGGCTAAAATTTTGGTCTCACTTTCGGAAGATGTTCCAAAGAAGCAAAAGAAAAGTGATTTAAAGAAATTGAAAGTCACTTCACCGACACCATCAAGTCCACCAATTTTCAGTGGTTTTAAAGGATCAAGCACATCGTTTCCCAAAGTCGCACCCGGAAGTACTCCACTCTCACCCAACTCTAATGCAACAATGTTCGGCAATCCATTTTCATCGCCCCTTCGATCACCACCACAACCACCAATACCAACACCTCCCTTATTTTCATCTCGATCTGATTTCTATCAACTTGGTTCATCACTTACATCAACCTTTCAACCATATTCCAATTCTGATCAACCTCCTAAGCCGGCACTTAAAACACTGGCAGCCAAAAAAGCTCTACCGCCGATCGATGAAGCCCTTTTATTGAAAAAGAGAAGAAGGAAAGAAAAATGAAAGAAAAAGCCATCAATAAAAAGAAGGATAAAGACAAGGAACGTGAAAAGAAGAAAGAGAAAGAAAGAGAAAAGGAACGAGAGAAGGAACAACGTGAAAAGGAAAAGGAAAGAGAACGAGAAAGAGAAAGAGAAAGAGAAAGAGAAAAGGAAAGAGAACGAGAAAGAGAAAGAGAGAGAGAAAAAGAGCGAGAGAAAGAAAGGGAAAGAGAAATACGAGAAAAGGAAAAAGAAAAAGAAAAGGAAAAAGAACTTGCAAGAGAGAGAGAAAGAGAAAAGGCCAAAGAGAAAGAACAACGAGAAAAGGAGAAACTTAAAGCAAAAGAAAAATCTAAAAACTTGGACGAAATAAAAGAGAGCAAAAAATCAAAGAAATTGAAAAAGAACATCGTAGAAGAGTCTTGGTTGGACTTCGACAAAGTGGACACCAAATTATCGATAAAAGCGTTTAATCGACGTGAAGAGTCACCCGTTCGTGATGCAGTTTCTCCAGCATCATCAACATCTTCTCATAGATTAGTTATTCGAACCCCACCATCGCCAAGTGAGAAAAAAGAATCAAAGAAAAAGAAACAAAGAACCAATTCATCGAATGCAAATGATGAACCACCTACTAAGAAGGCGAAAACAACATTATTAAAAGAAAAGGTCAAAGAGAAAGGTAAAGGTAAAGAAGACAAGAAGAGCAAAGATAAACTGAAAGACGACGTTTCCTGTGTACTAATTACGGAGACAATTACAAGAGAGGAGAGAGGTCGCCAAGAGGAAAAAGAATGGCTCTGTCCAGTTTGTAGTATTCCTTACGATGGAGCGGGCAACATGATTGGATGCGATGGTTGTGACGATTGGTACCATTGGACTTGTGTAGGAATTAAGGAAGATCCTGGCGAAGAGGAATCTTGGTTCTGTGTTCGTTGTATTCAAAAACAAAAAGTAATCGAAACTAAAGTAATCAAAAAGCCAAGTTCAAAATCGAGTAGAAAAGGTAAACGTTAATTTTTATTCTTAATCATTGCATGTCTTTTTTTTCGTCTTAATTTATTTACATCTTTCTCATATCAAAATAATGACAATCTAAGATCATCTTAATCTAATCTTCCACATTTTGTTTTGTATATTTGTCAATCTGTCCTTTAATTGTCAATACCTATTATCTTGATTGTGATACATTTTTTGCTTGTTGCCTCTCACTAAATTATCTGTTAATTGTCATTCTTTTGTTTCCTTTCGTCTTTCACACAATTAACTTATTTTCTTTTCCCACCTCAATAGCTTTTTGAATAGCAATCACAATCAAGAGATCGATTAATTTGTATAAATAGTATTGATTAATTTAAATATTCGTTATAATAATAAACAAGATTTCAGATTGAGTTGCTTGATTGTCTTTTATTATTACCATAAACACGTTAATTGTTTTTCTATTGATTTACTAATTAACTAATAATAATTGTTTTTTTTTCGACTTTTTTTTCAAATTTCTAGATTGGTCATGTCCCATTTGTCGTGCCAATAATCCCAATGAACCAATGGTAGGATGTGACAAATGCGATGAATGGTATCACTATTGTTGTGTTAATTTAAAAACCGAACCAGCGGAAGATGAGACATGGTATTGTCCACCCTGTTTACCGAAAGCCGCACCGATAACAACACCGACCACAAGTAGCACCCTGAAAGGAGGAGCGGGCTCATCTAGCGGGGGTGAAGGTGGTCGTTCGAGTGGTACTTCGAGCAAGAATAAAAAGTCTAAACAATCAAAAGCCGGCCGACCACCGAAATCAGAGAAAATTGATAAAAAGGATTCCCATAAATCATCATCTTCATCTTCATCAACCGCTTGGTCTTGTAGAGTTTGTAATAAATCAAATAGCGGTAATTGTATTGCCTGTGACTCGTGTGACCAGTGGTTCCATTGGCCGTGTGTCGGTATTGTCATTCCTCCGAAATCTGAGGATTCTTGGTACTGTGAAGATTGTATAAAGACACAATAATTAACTTATATTAAAACTATATAATAAACCTCATGGTTTAACCACAAAATTTATACATTAGCCGAAAACCAAATGGCCTCGATTTAAATTCCTATCGATTGTATAATTGTACCAACAAAAAACGGATTCAAGATGAATCTTAATAATTATTGTTATTCTTTTTCTCCAATAATAACCATATAATGTAATTACTTTAATCGTAAATTTAATCAGCCTTGAGTCTATCACATTTCTATTAGTGGAAAGTTAATCACAATTAGACGAGTAATTAACCAGTGAACAACAATCAACACTGATACTTGATTAGAATAATGTATTCTCTTAGTATTAGTAATCAATCCTTCATCAAGCTACTTCACCGATGAATTCATAACAATTTACCCAAAATCACAGGTTATCCGGGGGCCGTTATCCTCGAGATACTCAGAACTGTCCAATCGATTTTACTTCAGGTAACAATTTAATCCGAAACCTATTCCCGTGACTGAATTCAGTTGATTGTCTCTTAATGATTATAGCTTTCTGGTCAATGTCAACTTTAAATTATTTTTGGACAGAAAATCCAATTGATATTAATCCAATTAACTTGGAGCAAAATGATTATTCAATTAGTTTAACTACTTCATCTAAAATAGCAACATCATATGATGGACGTAAGTTTAATTCTTATGATTACAATTAAATTGGATGTAAATTAATTGGTTTGTTTTATTTTGTCATAATTGATAGAAAATCGAACTTGGTTAACATTGCAATTTACATTTCGACGAAACTTGGGACAAGTTTCCGTTCCAAGACATCGAATAATCGAAGACCAACTTTTATAGATATTTAACTGAATTCGCTGAAAGTTGCAGGGTTTTGTAGTAAAAAAAATTCTTTATCAGGAGAAAGATTAAGGCGATTAAGATTAATGAAGAAGATGAGACAAGGCCAACGCCGATACATCAGTCGATTCCCGTGATCTCTCATTTAAAGAATCGATCATCATAATTAAAATCGGTGTTCCAACCAAGTCGAAAATATGATTTCTCTGTCAATTAAAGTAAAACAATATTCCATATGAGTAATTTACTTGATAAGATTGAGTTTCGAAAGAATTTCCAATTTCAATATCATCTTACCATTTGAATGAGAAATCAAACTTAACCTCATCCACCTCGAGGAGGAGGTGGAGGTCCATTTCCTGAACTTGGAAATCCTCTTATCCTGCTCTTGTTTCGGTCATCTTTAGGTGGACCATCAACAGGTAAAGACTTCGTAAACTGTTATAAGAAAAAACAATTAAAAACAAGATGGAAAATCAATCAAAGCAAAAAAAGGAACCAAAACTAAAAAGCAACTCACAAACCAAGGATGAAGTAAATGAGGCCAAAGAACAGCGCAATCGGATCTCTCCAATCGACACCTCGTTTTTCAACAACTTCACCTCCTAGAAAACAATTAAAAGAAAATGAGAAACAAAAAATTAAATTAAAATCACAATTAAAAAGAAAACAATCTCAACCCAATGAAATAAACAAAAGCACAATAACCATACAAGGAAAAGGAACCATTGACCAAAACAAGAATTAGAAAAGGTAAACAAAAGATTGTTTTCTTTTTCCACCAATTGATTTATTATTTTACGAATAAGATTCAATATTCTAATTACTTACTCGAGTTGATATAAACCATAGTTAACTAATTAACTAAGGTAATTGTCCATTTAACGAGGAAAAACTAAATTAAATGAAAACAACAAACAACATCTCATATGTTTGAAATACTTTGACAGTGAATCTCAACAACATGTTTTTGACGTCATTCTAAAGGAGGTAAACTTAAAATTCATTTAATTGGTTCGAAAATCAATTTAATTGAATATTATTTAATTCTCAAAATAGTGAGAATAGTTGATTATATTTTCGTTATAAATTTGACTTTAATCTAATTACGATGGAGTTTGAATGAAAAATTTAATCCAAAGTCTTCGATTGGAAACATCATTATGATATAAATGAGGATCTTTCATCGAAATGATTGTAATTTTAATTGTAATTGTAAAGAAAATTAATTCATCAATGAAATGGATAAAAAAAAGTGAGTTTCAACATGATTCTGTCACATCCAATTAAGTGTTGACTTTTTTTTTAATGAGTAAATTATATATGTTGTAATAATAGTTGATTGGATTTGTTATGCTCGATGGACAAATCAATTGATCATTTGATTAGTTAATTGTGAGGTGAAATAACGAGCCATCGGGATGATTGTTGATTCTAAACCATAAAATGCTGAAGTTTCAAGTGAGTTAATACACTTTTCACCCTGATAATCAAATTCCCTCGCTGGACAAACTCGATCCGGAGCTTCACCGAATAACTTTTCTATGAAAAAGATCATCGCTTGTTTACCATCTAACTTACATCGATCAGTTACTTTTCTGTGGAAATAGAAATACAAAAACATGATAATAATTTAAATCGACAATTAAATTCACTAACAATCTACTCACTGATACAAACAACTCTGCCATTTATTATAAGCACAACAAGCGACTTGTAATCGCGAGTCCATCGTCTTAACGGTAAATGTCCCACCGATTGACGATAAGAATGGAAAATAACATTTCTCCTTGTAGTCGATTGTATTAATCACTTCGTCAACGATACATGGAGCAAATTTTATGAAATCTGAAAGAAAAATTTAATATTATCATCATGGAAATTTAATTATCTTCGCTAATTAATTGTATCTTTTTTTTTACCTTCTCGCAATTTCCCTGGATCACAAAATTTATCAACTGTTCTCGTGAACTCTTTGATTATATTCTTGGTTAATTCCCGTTGGAAAGGAGGTCCACAGTAATTAATCCGATCAACCAAACAATCAAAAGTATCTCGAGTTATACTTGAGGGAAAAAGTTGATTAACTTAATCAGTTTAATTTGATTTAATTTGATACTTACTTGCAAAGATCATCAAGTCCATTGTTACTTGATAATATCCGACTGAATATTTTTGATTTGAATATTTATCAAACTTTTTGAAACATTTTGAAACAATTTTCAATGCACAAGGTTGATTGTGATTTTTTTCACTTAATTGTTGTCGTTGATCATAAATCCACGTTGATTGTTGACAATAAATTAAATAAGGTAAACAAACCATTAGGGTAATGTAATGTAACATTTTTCTATCAACGGTTTAATCTTAATCTCTAAAAATAAATTGAAAGTTCACCTTGATTGTTGATAATCACAAATCAAATTAAATTTAGAATCAAATGAAGTTTTTGTTTTGTTTGTACTTGATTACAATTTAATTAACCATTTCGATTGATTGGCTTTCATCAATTTAATTAGAGTTGAACGAATTAAACTTTACCAATTAGAATGAGAAAATGGTTGCACTTCATTGGTCAACTAATTAGATTCTAATGAATGAAGCAGATTTGCAATTTACAATTTAGTTGATTAATCGAATGTGTCAAAAAATTTAATTAATCATAATGTGCCATTAATTAGTCCAGTGAATGTAAAGATGCAAACGTAACTTATAAATCAACAATGGATAACAGAAGCGCAGGTTAACATGTAATCAAAGTGTTACCACAATCAACTAATTGTTAGACTTTGAAGTTTAATAATTAATTAATTACATTGAACTTGAAAATGATTTTTTTTTCGAGGGACTTGCAGAGTTACTAGAAGCTGAATATAAGGTCAAAATAGTTGATTTCAGCGAAAGGCCGTCGTCCAGATCAGTTCAGTTAAATTGTGGACGAAAATTTGGCAAAGTCTATTGTTTTTACTAAATTCGCGCGAAAGTTTAAACAATGTTATTGATTTTTTTCTCGACTTGAGATATTTGCACAATTTTTTCGCTAGCATTCGATTTACAATAAGAATTCGATGAGATTTTGCGAATAAAAATACAAAAAAATTTGAAGGCTCCGACGAATTTGAGAAAAAATGACGCGAAATCAAGTTCGAACTTTCTTCGAATTTTTCGACTCGACCGAATAATTTTTTTCTTTTACAAACACTCGAATATTTACAATGGACATTCAGAAATATCTTAAAATTGGAATTGTATAATTGCACCAACAAAGAAACGGATTCAAAACGAATCTTAATAATCATCTTACAGTTATTACGATTCACGTTTTTGATGCAAAAACGATGACTTATTGAAACCAGAAACGGACTCGGTGAAGTTAGCGAACTGTGGGTCTCAACTCTGCATATACGACTAACGATAATGTATCAGTTTAGCGATCATGTTGATCGCCGAAACCCTTGTTATTGTTATTCTTTTTTCTCCAACAATAACCATATAATGTAATTACTTTAATCGTAAATTTAATCAGCCTTGAGTCTATCACATTTCTATTAGTGGAAAGTTAATCACAATTAGACGAGTAATTAACCAGTGAACAACAATCAACATTGATACTTGAATAAGTTAATTGTTTCCAATCAAAGGTTTTCAATTTTTATTTCATTTCTTTTTTACCTTAATGAATCTCTTTATTAATTGATTTTTTTTAGATTGTTAAATTACAATTATTAGTATTTTAGATTGATTTTAACACGAATCATCAATGATTAGAGTGAAACAATTAAGTTTACTTAGTATAATCTATTGGTTATTAAACCAATCAATTGGATCTGAATCATTACCCGTTCCCTTGAGTAAGTAAATTAACTGAATGGAATTGATTTAATTGTCTAATTGTTTTCACATTCTTAATGATTGAAGCGCTATCACCAAATCCAGATCAACCATTGGCTTTGTACAATCAGATTAAAATTGAATCAATATCTTCATTGGACACAACTCAGGCCACTTTTGATGTCGATCTGTTTCTTATTCAAAATTGGTACTTAAATGAATCAGTTTGCTTACATTACACAAAATTACACGATAACTATCAATTCAGAGCCCCGCTAATTGCTAACGACGATGATTTAACCATAATTGAATCTGATCTATTGTCGCAAATTTGGTTACCACGAACTCATATTTCTCAAGTGAAAACGCCAATCAATCCATCATCAAGCTACTTCACCGATGGATTCATAACAATTTACCCTAAATCACAGGTTAATCAATGTATGATTAAGTTCCTCAAACGGATATTAATTAAGGTCGAATGTGATCTTGACTTTCGCCGTTATCCTCGAGATACTCAAAACTGTCCAATCGATTTTACTTCAGGTAACAATTTAATCTGAAACCTATTCCCGTGACTAAATTCAGTTGATTGTCTCTAAATGATTATAGCTTTCTGGTCAATGTCAACTTTAAATTATTTTTGGACAGAAAATCCAATTGATATTAATCCAATTAACTTGGAGCAAAATGATTATTCAATTAGTTTAACTACTTCATCTAAAATAGCAACTTCATATGATGGACGTAAGTTTAATTCTTACGATTACAATTAACTTGGATGTAAATTAATTGGTTTGTTTTATTTTGTCATAATTGATAGAAAATCGAACTTGGTTAACATTGCAATTTACATTTCGACGGAAATTAGGACATTTTATCCTCGAGATAATAATTCCCTCAATATTCATAATAATCTCAGCATTTTTTTCATTTTTCATCGCGATCGAAACTGGATCAGGACGATTCGCCTTCAGCGCTCGACCATTATTCAATTTAATTGTCCTTTACAGTAGTTACAAAACCTACTTACCGCCACTTTCTTACGTCAATGTAAGTCATTAATCTTGTAACAATCAACTGATTATTTCACTAATTATGTAACCTTTGATTGTCGTTAATTAGGCTGGCGATGTTTGGATGTTAGCTAATCTTTTCTTTGGGTTCATCGCAATGTCCGGTGTTGTTTTCTGTGTCCATCTTTGGCAAAAGCAAGAAATTAAACCAACCAATTTAGGAAATAGTTCACAATCAACTTTAATTGTCAGTAATTTAACTCATCCACCAATCAATGGAATTGCTAATCGTCGACGAACCCAATTAGCAAGATCATTCACAATCGATGGTTTCGTCAATAACAACAATCTAATTAAATGTAATTGTCATCGATGTCGCAAAATTTTCATATTGAAATATTTTCACTTCTCAAAATGTTTAATTAATCCTAATCAAATTAGTCTAATGACTCGAGCTAAATATGATAATCTAATGAAAATCGTTTATCCAATTAGTTTTATAACATTTAACATCTTCTACTGGATTTATCTCCTTAATTCAGACCAATAAACTAATTACTTTCCTAACAATCCTGTTGGTTTAACCGTTGATCGCAATTAACTTTGATTATCACACGTGAAATTTGATTGTAAAAGGAAAGGGTTTTTTTTCTGGCTCCTAATTAACTTGAGACTCTGCTAATTAGGTGACTGGTTAATTGCTATTAACGAGTTTCTTTTATCATTGATTAAGTTGAACAATTTGTCTCTAATTTAGTTTGTTCAACTTAATCAGCAATCACCAATTAATTCAAGTTATTAGTTCATTAGCTGATTAAATAAATTGTATTGAGATGTTGATATGAATTGATTGTTTACTTGGATGATTTTGTTTCCTATCGAATCAAATTTAATCACATAGCTTGGAATCTAATTGTTGGTTGATTGTTGATTAATTATCAATTTGTTTCAGAGGAAGTGATCAAGTGGCTCTTGACCATAAATATCGTTTTATATTATTAACAAATTGTCATAACAATTAAGATAGTTAATCAATTTGTATTCCAAGGTTTTTCATTCTTCTTTTCTTATTATTAATTAATGTGTGGAGAGAATCATAAAATCTAATTCACAATTAGATAAACAATCAAGTTATAAGATATTGTTAATTGTTAAAGCTTGTATGTTTATCAGCATTTATTTCATTTGTTGGGAATCAACAGTTGATTTAATAATAATAATTGTTACTTGTCAATTGATTGAAAACCCATTTCAATCAACACAATTATTTCATCTAACTGGGAATGATTAAACTTGTGAATTTGATTATTATTGTGACATTTTTAACTGACCAGTGGCTATTTGCCTTGTCTTATGTGCCTTTAAGCAAAAAGATTGTGACAAATGATAAAATTAAAAAGGGTTAGTCATCTTAATTGTTTCCTCTAATTGTTTTACAATCCAACATGTTAACAGCAATTTTGGTTTTCCTATTTAATAGATGATTCCAAAGTCAAGGATCCATTGATTTTATACAATCGAGTGACAATTAACTCTTTATCCGCTTTGAGTTTGATGCAATCAGAATTTGAGCTTGATTTGTTTCTCTTTCAACGGTGGAAAGTAAATGAAACAATTTGTGAACAATACAAATCACTTCATCGATCGATTGTTGGTGAATCTGATTTAGTTTTACAGGATGGAAGTGAAACAATTACCGATGTTTCAGTTTTATCACAACTTTGGTTACCACAAACTTATATGGTGGAAGTTAAATCAAGTTTAAATACGAGAACGGCAAATAATGAAGGATTTTTAACAATCTACAATCAGACCAATGGATGTTCAATTAAATTCACCAGGAGATTATTTTCCAAAGTTGGGTGTAAAATGGATTTCAGGGAATATCCCAATGATATTCAAAATTGTTCCTTGACATTGACAAGTTGTAAGTAATTCCAATTGTAGATTCAAATCCTTTGGTGGTGATTGATAGATCAGCAGCAATTAAAAGATGCCCTTGAAATTTTCTAATCGTCATCTTATCAATTTGGGTTAATCATTACCAATCTCTGAACGGAAATTAATCAATGATCAAATTGATTGTAATCCAACAACGGAAATGCTTAATTTTCCTTCAAGAGTATGGGACAGATTTAAGATGATTAAAACATTTCAAGTGTTTACATGTTTCAGATGATAGACAATTGATCATCTCTATGGTTTGATAATTCAAATGAAATCGTTGGTAAAAGTTAATTGTTGGTGTTTTCACTTTGATTGTAGATTTTTGGTCCGATAATGTGTTGAAATTTGTTTGGGATTCTCCTGATTTGGAACTTGATTTACAGAATATTGATCAAAATCATTACGAGATTACGTTTACAACGGAAACTCATCGAAGCCTTGCTTTTGATGGAAGTGAGTAAAATCTAATTGATTGATTGGGTAACTAAATCAATAGATTTAAAAACTGATCGAATAACTTTCTCTCTTGTTGATTATCTATTCATCAAGAAAATCGTACTTGGCTAACGATTCGGTTGATATTCCGAAGGAAAATAACTCATTTCATCTATCAGGCAGTTATACCATCGATTTTAATTGTCAGTTCAGCTTATTTCTCATTCTTTATATCAGTCGAAAATGGGCCAAATAGATTCCTCTTCACGGCGACACCTTTTTTCGCACTGATTACCCTTTACAGCGGTGTCAAGGGTCAACTTCCTCCGGTTTCCTATGTAAATGTAAGTAAAAATTGTCGTTAATTGTGAATTTCTAGACAACATGAAGTACCTAATTACCTTTTTCTTTCAGGCAAGTGACATTTGGATGTTAGGAACACTTATATTTGATTTCTCAACAATTTGTATAATGTCTTGTTGCTGTTATTTAACCAAATTGGATCAGATCAAGAAAATGTCGGCCAAAAAATCAACCACCACGGAGGCAGAAAATGACAGTCAACAATCACCACCTTGGCATCATAAGAAACCGTTAACCAAGAAACCAACATTACTAAAGCATTTTTCCTTCATTGTATTTACAGTTAAAGATGAATCTCTGTTCAGTCCGGCTGATCATTTGGACAATTTGATGAAATTATTGTTTCCATTGTTGTTTTTAACTTTCAATTGTGTCTATTGGATACTTGTCCTTTCTCGGCGTCTTTTATCATAGTTCATGTAATTTTATTCTCATCATCACAACACAATCAACCAATTCACAGTTAACTCATAAAAAAACAATCTGAAAAACGATTAAAAAAAACACAATAAAATTAGAAATTAAATCAAAACATTTTCACTTTTAGAAGAAAAAAAAACAAAGAATCCGCTTCGGGTTGGACTCGATCTTCTATGGATCTGAATCCAAGTTGCAAGAGAAATTAAAGAAAAGTGAATTTCTACCTTGACAATTAACGAATTGTAAACTAATCATTCGTTAATCTTTTAACCCTTTCTCTCCTATTAACTAATTGTCATCTAATTGTTAAGTGAATTAGTGTGAACAATAATGTGAAGAAAAGTAAAAAGGAGGGAAAATCAATTCAATAATAATTATCTTTTTCTTTCTCAACTGTTACCATCAGATGGCAGAAAACAAGAAACAAAGTGAAAAAAATTTTCTCTCCAACCAGTTGATTCATTTTGTTGATTGTCTTTTTCTTGTTTCTCTATTTTTGTGTAATAATTAATTTTGTTTATCATCTTTAATTAATTAACCATCATTCACTCTCAAAGAACCAGCTATTTATCTCAGTTAAAATCTATCCAATGACCATTATAGGAATTGTTGACTTGTAATATTTTTGCTGTTCTCAAGGTTTATTAACCCTCTCTGTGTATTTTTAGGGTTTTCATTTTGTGTTTGTGTTGATAGTTTTTCATTTCTGTTTAATGGTTTGATTTGTGTTACCTTTTATTTTTTGTTTCTATTATTCTGACAGAAATGAATATTACCAATGGTGTCTCTTCAAATAGTCCAGCACCACCCAGTAAACCACCAAGAACATTTGCTCATGATTTATATCTTAATGCAAAGAAAAGCCTTCGAATCACTGGAACAGTTTCACCGGTAACTTCTCGTCGAGCTCGTTCACCATTACCAAGAGTTAACCAGAATAACAATTTCTCTTCAAATAAGGATAATAAGAATTTTATCAAAAATTCTAATCCATATCATTATTCTAATCATGTTTATAGTTCAGTTGATGATGATAGTAAAACACCTTCAAGAAGTTCAACTTTAAGACGACGATCGAAAAGCTTTGAACATATTTATGCCGAACCTGAATTACCCGTTAAAGATGATATTCAAATGAGTGAAAAGTATAAAAAGCTTCGTGGTAGAGTTACCCCTGCGGAAGTTGATCCCTACATGGTTACAGATTTGTTTAAGGTAAAGGAAACACCAAGTAAACCAAGCCGTATAAAGGATATAATTAAACAATCGTTTTCCGCTTTACGCCGATTTACCCGTATAACTGCACTGGATAGGCCAGAATTTGATGATGATACCGCCAGTGAGGTCAGCCCATCGGAGATTGCTGAACGTATAATCTACGTGAAAACATTGAAACGAAATCATACCCTTGATACCTCCGATTATTACAGTTCTGTTGCTGATACTAAAACGGAGGTCAGTTTATGCCGTTGCTGTCTAATCATTAAGGATAACGGATTAACCTCAATAATACCAAGAAATGTTAAACTCAATAATACTAAATTGATTGAAGAGTTAACCCAATTTCCTGGACTAGATTTTGATTATTATTGGTTTACCATATGGACGAAAGATGATAAATTTCTTTACGCTTATTGTGAACGTCAAAATCGTTATAAACGCCGCGTTTGCATTGTATCGGATGTCTATTTTCCCGAACTGTATATAAGAATTTTCAAAACTCTTGGTGGTAAAGAAGAGATTGATGCACCCGTTATATCTTTTCTTAAAAAAAAATGCTGTGCACTTCCAGGCGATGATTTAACTTACCTTTTCCTACTCAACATTCAAGTTCCTTATGATTGTCAAATCAGTTTAACCAAACAATCTGATCTTCTCTATCTGATTAATCCTAATCTGTTACTCATCTGTATTGCCACTTTAATCCATGAACGTCGGGTGGTCCTTGTCTCTCGACAAGAACAGCGACTTATCGCCTCGTGTCGTCAACTTGTTTCCCTACTTTATCCACTTTCATGGGATTACATGTTCTGGCCTTTGGTTCCCTCAAATCATATGTCACTTTGTTCAGCCATTAACATGCCTTTTCTAATTGGAATTCAATCTAGAGATGTTTGGAAATTCATCAACAATATTAAAAAACGAGATGATAAACTGTTAATCATTGATTTAGATCGTAATATCGTCTTAATGGAGATTGGAGATGAATCGAAAATAATTCCAAGTAAAATATCTAAAGCAGTTCGACTTGCTCTTGATCTTTGCCTTTCCATGAACGATCCTCAAGATAAATATCGTGACGGTGTTACTCGTGAAGCTTTTATCGAAATGTTCATTGAACTTATTGGAACCGCTCGACTTTTTATCACCGAAGATGATTTCCAACGGGAAGCTTATATTGCCTCAATTAAAAGTCGAAGCCATCAATCATTCCTTCAATGGTTCACTGAGACCCGATTGTTTAACAATTACATTAAATTCAATCAACTTCGTTTAATACAATCTCGAATCCATCCAAAGTATAATCATTTCCTACAAATGGGACTTTTTGAGATGAAATCTCTTCAAATAATCAACGAAACTCAAAGTAAACCAATAAGTAAATCATTATTTGGTAAATTCAAGATTTAAATCATAATCATCATCAACATAAACAAATCAACAATCGTGATACAAAGTTTAATGAGCAAGATCTGAGATATAATCAAAAAAAGCAATTAAGATTTAACTCCAAATCAACAATCTCTCCGTCTATGTAAATGTTTCGTTACTCATTTCAATTGCCATTAGTTTATAATTATCATTATATTTATAATTCACTTTTTACCTTTGAACATGTTTGTTGATTTAACAAACAATCAACAAAATTTTTACCAATTTTTTTATATCAAAATCAAAACAAATGACTAATTAATAAATCAACAATCAATGAAATAGCTATTGTAACAATCGGGAATCGGTTGATAAACACAAACTACAAATTACGATTTAATCATCAGCATTTTGATTCCAGTGAATGACAATCATATCTTATCATCACTAATTATTGTTCCCATTTGATTAATTAGTTAACTTGATTATAAGTTAAATGTTTAATTGATTAAATGATCGAGGAAAACAATCAAATTTCAGGGCAATTAGTTTATCAATTTTGATTGATCTCTTTGATGAATTAACGATAATAACAACAGAGTTGATTAATATAACTAATTTAACTTTTAACCAAAACCATTGAACAATCAACATCAATTAGATTCATTCTGATTAACAGTTAATCATTAAGATGACACTTAAATTATTAGACCAAGTTAAGAATCATTTAAATTGATTGTTACCTTTTCCTGGTTCCATTTTGTTTACAATTTATATTGTTGTTGATATTAAATGATAATATTAAAGTAATTACCGATCATTATGTTAATTGTTGTTGATGATTGAATTAAATGACAATGGACATTAATCATTATTATTTTAATCATTAAGCAGACAATTGTTGATTATTTGATGATGTACAATATTGATTCAAGTCTAATTTACATCGTTAATTGTTGTTATTAGGATTACAATGGTAGATTAAATTTTAATCTAAATATTGGTTACAATTTAATTAAATTGTTGGACAACTTGTAAACTTTTGCCAAAATAATCAATCAAATATTAATCTATTAATATAATTATAATAGTAATCAAAAGTTAATTGAACTTGACAGATAAACTTGCTCAGAGTTACAATTAAAAGTTAATTGTTCAAGGCTTTCAAGTTTTAACTTTCAATAATAGTTGATGATGATAATTAACTTTGCAATCGACAATTAATCAGAAATTTGTAAGTAGTGAATTAGCTTAAAAACAATTAATAGTAAATCATGTTGATCAAGCGTTAATTGTTAAGTTGAGTTTGTGGTTATGGTACAGAATCAGAAAGTTAATTGTGGACTGTGTTTTGATCGTTAATTATGGTTAATATTGGTTAATAAATTTTCCAGTAATTTACAAAATTAATTTCAATTATAATCAACAAATTAAGCAATTGATTGCGATCAATGTTAAACGGATAATTGAATGAAAAACTTTGATGGTTGATTGAAATTAAAAGATGAACAATTAAGTTAATCACATAAATGTGAAACACCAACAATAAAATTATCATATTAATATAATCAATTAAAAGATTTGTTTTCCTTTAAAAATAACAATTAAAATAATCAGCATCTTAAAAGTGATTAATCAATTAGATGATTTTCTTACACTGAGCAATTAACAATCAACTGTGATCACTTTTTATCATTTGATTTAATGGTAACAATTTTATTATTATCATTAATCTTACTTTTGTTGAGATGATTATTATTAATATGATTATTATTGTTATTATTATTGTTCCTGATATTATGATTAACATGAGAACCATTCTGATTATGATTAGATTGAGGGTGATGATTATGATTAAGATTAAGATTATGATTAATCTTATCATCAATTGATTCCTCCTCCTCCTGAGCATGTTGAGCCAATGCTAACAGAACCATAGTTAACTCCTTCTTGTTAATCTTTCCGTCTTTATTAAGATCACATCCTTTTAAAATGGATCGTTGAAATTGCTCCAGATCCTGAGCATCATAATCCTGACAACAATTAACAACAATTAAGAGATAATTAGTCAACAACAATCAAATGGAAACGGTAACACGAAGCAAAGTTTTGTAATAAATAAAAAAGGGAAGACTCAATTTGGTGAAAACGTTTTTTTCAAAGTTAATCAGATCAATAAAAGACTAAACAATTAGATTTAATTGTGTGACAATTGATTATTGTCATCTATTAATTATTACAATTGATCTAATTTGTTTTCTCAAAAATCACCCAGAATTGTGGCTATTGTGTTGTTAATGTTAATCATAGTTAAATTGTCATGTCGAGTTGGTTAGTGTGAAAAGAATTGATTTATTTTGTTAACCATGACAATTAATTAATTATTTCTGTTACCGTTATATAACTGATTATATTAAAGAATTAGCAATTAATTTATCATTTTCGATGTGATATTTTTGTCCATGGAAATTGGATTGACCTTGAAATTGTTGATTGTCTGGGGTGAAAAATATTTCTCCATATAGATTCATGTGACATTGAACATGGAATCAGATAAATTGCAATTTAATGTTGAATAAATTGTTCACCATTTAAATTTCATGTTGACGTACAGTTAAAGACTACGATGGAAAATATAAAATTCAAATTACAATCGATTCAGAATCTGTAATAAGATGAATCTGTTGAAAAGTTGATCTTTCAAAATGACTGATACTTTTTTCACAATTGAAATGTTTTCTAAATTAAATTCATCTTGATGATTAGTTGATTGTTACCTTAAAAATATTCCCAAACTAAACATCTCTAATCTGATTGTTACTGTTTTAAATCATCTCAACGATGATGCTGGAAACTCACAAGTTTAGTTTATATTGCCAACTAATATTAATAGATGAATCTTTTTGATTGATAAATTGTTTCACTTTAAACAGTTAGTTGATTGTAAGAGTTTACGTGTTATTATCAATTCGAGTTAAATTGTTGAAGACTATTCAGATTCTAATTATCAACAGTTTTCAGAACAAAATATCTCAAATACACCAAATTCTGACAAGAAAAAAACAAAAGTTCTGAGCAAAATGAACTGGAATGAGTTTCTCTCTCTCTCTCCAGGTAAAAAATATGAGAAGGTGAAAGTAAAACGAGTGGGTGGTTATTTGAGATGATGAGGATGAGGATGAGGATGGAGATGAAGATGAGGATGGTTATTGTTGACTCACTCTTTTAACCAGTTCAAGTAGATCTTTGAGAAAACCTTTCAACTCTTCATTCTCAATGGTTCCATTGTTATCCTGGAAAAGAAAAGAAGTAAAAAAAATTCATCATGAAAATTGAACATGAAACCAGAATAAAAATGAGATAAACTGCTGATTATATACATAAATATGTTGATGATAATGATGATGTTATCATGGAAATTTGTATAATGATATCCGATGGAAATTATTATAACATAGTTAGCCTAGTTAACTATTTGTTAACAGATAATTTGATCACAATTTAAATATTAGAGTTTTCAAGAAAAATCTTAATAGAGATTCTTAAATGATTATAATTACCCGATCATAAAGAGCGAAAACAGTCTCAATATCTTGTTGAGTTAATTTGGTTCCAATGAAATTAGATCGACACAGGAAATTCTCCTTGACCGGAAGTAATCTGGACAAAAAGGAAGAACAAGAAAAGAACCATACTCAGAATAAATAATAGTACAAATAGATTATATCAGAATTTTTGAAAGAATTATCATCTCTTTCAGGAGAGATAAAAGTAACAGAATTTTCTTTTTTTATTCGAAATTTTGTCCTCAAAATTTGATCAGTTCAATTCATGGTTCAGTTCTGTTAACAGGTAGATAAAGATGAGAATGAATTTTATCCTGAATCCTTTTCAAAATCCAAAGTTGATCGAGTTACAGTTGAAAAGGTATTCTATTTCTCTCATGGTTTATTATCATCATAATGACAATCATCTCACTCCCAATTTCAACTCCCATTGATGATAACTTATTATCAAGAATCCCTGGTGAGTATAATAATCCGATTCATGAGAAATCCGATGATACATATATGGATTCTCATGGAAAAAGGATTGAAAATGGACCATTGATTGGAAAGAATCGAGATTTTTTCTTCTTTTTATCATTTCCTTTTCTCTTCAAATTCATATAATCTTCAGAAACGATAAGAAGAAAAAAAAACACTCCAAGCCTTTTCAAGGAATTCGTTTCAAGTACAAATATATAACCGGAATAAACTCATAGCTCTCACCGATTGGAATAACATGAGATTCATATTCCATATTGATTCTAATACACAGTAATCAACTTTACTCTTTCGATAGCATTTAGAATATATTAAATATTATATCTAATATATGATGATAATAATATCACAAGTTAATAGAAGGGAAAATATTTATGAAACTGTTTCAAAAAGTGTTCGGTGAAAATAATATCATATTCATTTGGAAAAAAAAAGAAAAGTTTTATCCAGAATTTTACCTTACTAACATTTAGATAATTTCATCTCATTTCTTATTCTTGTATGAAAATCATAATGATAAGTTCATCTTCCTCATGGTGAGTTATTTCCTCATAGTTTCTCATTATATTCATGGTGAAAACATGATTATATTAAACAAGTAAATCCATTAGCATTGTTACTTAATTTTTGTTTCATTTCCTTGAGAATATTATTTTATATCATAATCAGAGTAAAATATTCATACTAAGACTTTGAAACTCATTGCATGATATTAACGTGATTTCACTTGATTGTTGTATTAATTTACTTCTAATCATCAGAATCGACAAATGAAACAAACAAATTGAAGGAAAAACTTTCTGACAATTTTAGAGGTTCATTGATTTGTCTTAATTATGGAGTCGATGGTTTTTCAATTACAAATTAATATTAATAGTTAATCAATTAACCTACTTTGCCATTTCGCTTAATTGTAATTTACCATCTTTATTTGTATCAAAGATTTGGAGTAAAGTATCAGTGTATTCAATTAGTTTATCCTCATCAACGTCTTCGTCAATTGGTCCTCGATTTGCTTCTCGCATTAAATCACGTAAGAAATTCTGAAAATCAACAATTAAATTAAGATCAATATTCTAGAATTTTGATTGACCATCCAAGAACTGAATTTAAATCATGTTTCCATCGGAATTAAGATTATAACTTGCGACCATTTAATTTGATTGTTTAATCGCAATCTAATCAGACTGATCATGTTTACCTTTTAATGATATTGAAAATACATAAATTATAATAACAATTAGAATGTCCATAAATTAATTAACTTTATTGATCCGGAAATTGAATGTCCAGGCAAAAATAATAATCATTTAATTTAATTAATTTACTAAATTATAAATTCATATGTGTAATATATTCAAATTTAGTTGCTAATATAATCAATTAATCCTCTATCTCAATGATTAATATATTAGCAATAATAATAATTTGAAAATAATTAAGACAATTAAAACATGTAATGGACTAAAATATGAATATAATCAACCAAATACTAATTAATAATTGAAGGTGACAAGTTAACGATAAAATAATTTACTCTTGAATATTATAATTGTTGATTAACTGTATTAAAAGATAAATGAAAATGAATAATTAACTAAACCTAATATCTGAATAGTTGATCAATATAAACAATTACTGTTATTATAATGAATTGAAATGATCGTTAATCAAGACAATCAAGGATTAAAATTGAACAGATTACCAGAGAGGCTTGAGGTTGATTAAGATTAACAATTGATCCAGTCAGTTAAAGGATTGATTGGAGATTATCTCATAAACTGAATTATCTACCAAATGATGAACCAGGATAAATTTAATTATCGTTACTAAATCACGAATAGATAGTTGATCATGATCGTAAATGATCAGACAGGTAACATAAAGTGAGTAGTACTTTTTTCATGATTAAACTAATGGTTTCTTTCAGAAGTTAAATATTAACTTTTCCATCCTGAATATTATCATCTTCATCTTCATCTTCATCTTCATCTTCATCATGATCATTGATCGATAAACACAAAAGATATTAGGAAAACCTTTACCTGAACTTTACCTGAATTTCTTAAGACTGAAAGTTATATACTACAGATTTAATGTTATTATGAATCTAAGACACGAAATCAAAATGAACTAAGAGATACACAATTTAAATCTAATTTTATTGATCAGCTAATCAATTGGGGTTTTTCACCTTGTAAATTTAATAGTTTCAAGTAAAAGAAACTACTAATGGTTCAGCTCTTGTAAAGTTCAGTTGAAAATGAGATACTTTCTTTTTTGTTTCTCCTCATGTTGATCTTGAATAAGTTCAGACAGTTGAGCCTGAGAAATATCCATAGATTGGAGAGTCAGAATTTACCTGATACTAATAGATAATGATGAAGATACTGAAGGTAATCTTGTTGATCTTATTGGGAAAAAAAAGATTCATCTTACAAATAATAGATAAAAATAGAGAGAGAGAGAGAGAGAGAGAGAGAGAGAGAGAGTAACAAGAAGATGAGTCTCATCATGAACATGAAGTTTTATCATCATGAAAAAGGTAGAAACCATTAGTCAAACCAAATAGACTCATTGATAACAATGTCAACCAACAATTCCTAGAATCTTATATCCTTTTTTATCCCTAAAAGTTGAGCCTCATAAATCGCATCAACTTGGATCGATAACTGTTATTATCTAATATCATTATAATCAACAATTTCTCCAGGTAATCAACGATTTTTAAATATATAAGATAACTTGATTAGTATCATCTTTTTACTGAGAGAACCATTAATCATTATCAGAATGATTCAAGTTCTTGTAATCAATGATGAGATAAATTAATCTTATTGCTTATCGATTATAATTTAATATTTAGACTCATAAAGATATTCATTTGTTTCATTTGTTATTCTTGAATAATACATTTCAAACTAAACTAAAACGAGAGCGAAACATTTTTTTTATTATTCAATTTGATTACTTTAATTATTAATCAATTTGTTTGTCTAATCGGAAAATTTTTCCAATTGAAAGTTAATCTAATTCAAGTCTCATGTTGGTTGTAATCGTAATTGTAATTTGAAAGTAATGATAAATTAAGTTACTCGAGTTGTTGGTAAATAAAAATCATGGTGAAATCGTTGAACAGAAAATGATTGAAATGAAAAAAAAATCCCCTGTAAATATAACATATTATTTGGTTAACCTTTGTTTAGATATAATATATTTCATTTGTTATCATGACAAAATAATAAGTTTCAGTTATTTTGTTCATATCAACTTGTTCCGGCTCAATGGGTATTATTATTCAGGGTAAACATGATTCCAGTTCTGAGTGGAAAAGTTTTCCTTTTTTGTTGTATTATCATTTGTCTTGAGGGGAAAACTTTTCATTGATATTTCATGGTGATTATCATGATGATTATGATGAGATAACAAAGTAATCCTGAACTTGAATGTTTCGTTTATTGTAACAATCAATTGTTCAGCTTTGATAATCAACAGTTGATTTGACTGACATGATTGTACATCACATGATTAACAATCAGTTAGTTTGTTACCTTTGCTATAAGGAGAAAGTTTTTTTAATTGAAATTCATCATCGGCACAATCAAATTAAATCAACTGACAGTCAAAATCTTATTTCCGATTGTGTCAAAAACTATCACTTTAAATTGAGTGAAAGTGAAATGTTCATATGACCTTTAATATGGATTATCAATTCAGTTGATTAACTAAATTGTTGTTGTAGAGAAAAAATTTACAACTAATTACCTTTAGTTCATCAGCTTCAATGAAACCACTATTATCGGTATCGTACTCACGCCAAATCTATAAATATATAATTACGAAGATAATTTAGATAACAATTAGTTAACTGAAATAGTGGAAAATGATTGAATAATCAATTAGTTTGATTACTAATGTTAATCATCAGTTTGTGTCAATGTTTGAATTGAACTGGTTAACTTTTTATTACAATGAGAATCAGTCGATTGTGTTAATCTCATTTGCATAAGTAGTAGTTAAATGATTACGTTTTAAAATGATTGTAACCTAAATTGTTACGAGTGAAAAAATATCATCAATCCCATTGGAATTAAAATCAATAATTAATAAAGTAATTACGTTTATCCATAAACCCTTCTGGATACTACGATAGAAAAGCCAATCTAATCATTTGAATTGCGTTGATAATTATCAATGAAAAATAATTAACAATTTAATTTTTCCATCGATGGAACTAACAAAATAATATAAAAGTAATAACTCAATTTATTGATCATGAAAGTAAATTGTTGTGATAATTTAATGAAAAGTATTGAGACTGATCCTATTACCGATAATCCATCTAATCAACGTGATAACAATTCACTCGTAAGTCTAATTGTTGAAATCATATTAACTAAGATAAATGTAATCATATTAACGATATTAAATATCAACATGATAATCTTTCAGTTAATCTGAATACACAAGAATTAATATTAAATTAATAATAAAAATAATGGAAAAAGGATAATGACAATTATTTGGATTCTATTGGGAGGGATAATGATACTTAATGGAAAAGGGATTTAATTGAGATTAAAGGATTCGATTCCAATTGTGATTACCTTCATAAATTCAACACTAGAGTCCAAGGGATTATCAAATCGAAAGAGAAGAAGAAAACTTTCTTCTAATGGTAATAACTGGGCCAGTTCTCGAATTTCGATTGCTCCGTCCTTATTATCGTCATAAGCTTCCATGAAACAATCCTTAAGATCAGCTAATGTTGACTCAGAGAAAAGCTGAGATATTGTGACAATTAAAATGTTGTGAGAAAAAAAAAGAAACAATTAATCCATTTAGATGATATTGATTCTTTCAAACTAATAACAATCTATGATGATGAATATCACCACAATTCTGACTACAGGTAAGTTATCATGCTGATTCTTTCATTATATTGCCTGGATTATTATTCATTATGAGTTTCATATGTTACATTTATGTAATTTCATTGATAATAATTCATTTTCTCATCACCATCATGATCATAATTAGTCAATTACATTAGTTCAAGATTGTTCAATGGTAAATTATGTGAAATTTCATGTTTTTCATGATAGATTCAGATTATGAATGCGTTGGGAGTGATGAGAGAGTGATGTAAATGATTATCATTATTCATAGGAAATTGAATTTAATCATCAATAGATTAATAATTAATAATGTATTAGTTGTGATTAAACTTATCACTAATTTGCAATTCGTGTTGATAGATACAAATTTGTTGTATTTTCATTGATTAACAAGTGTCTAATTGTTGATCAAGATTAAACATAAAAAAAACACAGATTTGATTTTAAGTTATAATTAAATTATATTTATGATAAGATTAAACTAATTGTAAGTCATTTAATCAAATTGAATATAAATCAACGTAAACATAATCAACCTGATCTATTTAGTCAATTTAAGAGGTAAATTTGATAAACAAATGAGACAGATTAATATTACTTAGTACATATAAGTTAATTTGTCTACATAATTTACTTAACAGTTAGTTAATTTCTATTCTTGTTTACCTAATTAACTAATAGCTCTTAATCAACTTCTACTTATTGTTAATGTTATTTTTAGATGATAAGTTTATCATCAAGAGGGAAAAACTAATGTGAATTATTTTCTTGCTCATAAATGAACTTTCATCTTAAACTTTTCCCCAAGCTAAATGGCCTATTGGTTATTTACATTGTACTATCGTTAATTAATTAACTGTTCAGGGTTGATTTAAATTCCTATGTTGATGTATTAACATGATCTATTGATTTAGTTACCTGAAAACCTTGAGAAAAAATCATCAACTTGGGAATAACATTGAATAGATCTCGAAAATTGGTTCATCTGAATTTTGGAACAGAATTTTCAATTTTCCAGTCGATTGTTAAAATTTTGTTTCTAATACTTGATTTCTAATTGTTAACAATTAACTTACCTCAGGATTCATTTCGTCGGTTGGATTAATTGAGAGGATAAATTCTCGAAGAAATTTATCCAATTCTCTTCCCTCAATGAAACCATTTCCTTTAGAAGACAATTAAGACAGTTTATTGATTAGTTATCGAAAATTTTACCAAATAAATCAACAATCAATGCGAAACAATTAATCAACGATTAACTTTTGCTTTGATGAGGAAAATGAATTTTAAAGTTTCATTGAGAATCGAAATTGAAATAATCAAAGTGTAAATATCATTCAGATGAATTAACTTGACACTTTCGGATAACATTTTCTCATGACCTTTAAACTACAATATCTAAATTGGAATCATGATTATCATGGTTAGTTTTATAATCATGAAGAGATTGAGTAACATGATAAATGTGTAATGTTTGTGATTTATATTCATTCACATGATACCAACGATATTAAACTGAGATTCACGTGGATTGGACTCTAAACATTATCATATAAATTGATTTATATTGATAGTTTTGGAAAATTTTTCAATTTTTATCCATTCAATTTGATTGTTGGAGTTAATTGTTGATGGAAAATTAAATTTCAACTTACCATCTCTGTCATAGTGTTTCCAAACCTCCATGAATTGTACTGCAGTTAAATTACGAAGCTCGTTGGTTTTACCATCTCGAAATTGACTGAGAAAGTTTTTCGGTTTACCTTCAATACTCATGATTTAATTATTGGGAAACAATTGGCAAATTAAACGAGAAAATAAACAATTGATAACTTTGACTATTGTTGATTAATCAGTTGAAATGATTGTTGATCATCAAATGAAATGAATTACTGGTTGAATTTACTTTTTTATCGGTTTTTCTGATTCTTTCCTAACTGTTGTTTCTCAATCGCAAAGATGGAGAGAGAGAGAGAACGAGAGAGATGATGATGAGTGCGCAGATTAGAATGACTATTATACTCTAGTCATTGAGCAGAATTAGTTCAACAGATCGATAGAATCAAGAATTTACAGAATTTTCACCATGAAAAAGGAAAAAGAATGACAGATGAGAAAGAAAAATTGAGAGAAAATAAAATATCAACACAAGTTATATTTTCCATCCTTGGGTTGACTTTACATCAGGTAACATATTCACCATGAAGATAATTATCATATTGTCTTCTCGTTGATTAACATTTAATTATCATTATTTCATCTTGTTCGTTATCATCTCATGAGAATTGGTCTAATTACATTTTCTCTTTAACCTTAATTTACTTATTTATCTGTTGATTAAAATTTAAAATGATTCGCGTTCATTTTAAATTGTTTCATCTTTCTAAGCCTAATTGTTGTAATCTAACAGTTGACAATATTCAATGAGTGTCAATCATTAATCACTCAGTAATTAATTAACTGTTATTGGTGTAAATTACTTACATATCCATTAATTGTAATGTTTTTTTCTCATCTCAACAAATCAATTGATTTAAATTGTCACCTTGATTTTTTTTATTACTTTTCTCGATTGATACAAATTCAGCTATTGATTAAGATTAACTGTTATTGTATTACTTATTCATTTATGGGAAACTGAGTTGATTTAAGTCACAATTTATTTAAATTACTCGAAAAAGTTTATGAAAGTTTGTCCTGAAGATAATTATTACCAATCAAATAGTAAATAACATTTCACAATTAAGTTTTCAAAAGTTTTCGTTGGATAATTAAGGCAACAAACGATTAAATTGTAACTATCATTTACCAATAAACTTTAATCTAGTTGGTTTTTTGCTCTATTGATTGTTAATTAAGCTATAGTTTGATGCTGATTTATGGGATAATTATTAATTTCTTTATTGATTTTTACGAGTGGGTAGAGTGAAGTTGCGATGATAATTGAATGATATAATTAGATTTAATTGGTAAAATTTAAGTGTAAAACTAATGAGAATCAATCTCATCAATAAGTCAACGATTTCATTGACTTCCAATCAATTGCCTGAACATGACAGATTGTTACATATTTATTGTTTTAACGATCTTAAATTTACAGTTATCCTCATGGAATTACAATTTTAAGGTCATGGGTTAAAGGTTAATTGATTGATAAACATTTAATTCATTCATTTGATATCGATTCTTATTTATCAATTAAAATACCAATACAACAATTTTCACCTTTCCAATATCCATCCCAATTAAATGATGATCACGATGATAATAATTATATTGTAATATTAATTATTGGTCTATTGATAATTAGATTAAATTTCTAAGAGAAATTTTAATCACAATTAATAACTTAGTGAGTAATAACATCATAATTTATCTGTAGTCAGAATTGTAGTAAATGATATTTGATTGGAAACGATTTCATGAGATAATCATTATTTTGATTTTTATTTTGAAAGAATCGATATTATCTATTACATGTTAATTGTTTCACAACATTTTAATTGTCACGATTTTTTAGCTTTTCTCTGAATCGACAATTAGCCGAAATTAGAGAAAAATAAGTTGACTCGGTTTATTTGTACAATTTGATAAATATATTTTATTCGAAGATATTGTTCATTTACAATTAGCCTTCTATTTAATATTATCATAACATTTTTCTTTCAAAATCAATGAATTTACAATAGTATTGTTTTTAAAATTGCTTATTGAATTAGTATTAGAAACGAATGCATTTATGACTGTGTGACCAGTTCGAGCCATTTTCTCAAGGCTTCGCCCAGAACTCTTGGCATACAGTTGATATCTTTGAGGATAATATAAAATGGGAATGGAAATTTATCCATATAAGGCTCCAATGTGAAATTTCCTGACGAATCTTTAGTAGCAGATTTAATATCAAGTATAGAATTTCCGTCTGATTGACTGTCCATTACCAAGAAAACAGTAAAAACGTGAAGCTCTTGGATATTTCTAACCGCCTGACGAACCAATGCTTCGCCTTCATTGAAAAGACCTCGTCCGTCCGATATTATGATCAATAATTGAGAGACAGCGCAGCCTAAGGCACTTTTACGTGATGAACATTGAACCATATACTTTGCAGCAGTTTCAAGTAAACCACCAATTCGTGTGTGTTTCTGTCCAAAGTCAAGCTGAATAAAAGTAAAAGTAAAACATTATTATTAATTTAGCGAAACAAATTGAAACAAAATGACTATAATGGTAAACTAAATTGATGATATAACAAATAACAATTTAAGAAATAAAACTTACAGATGAAAGTAATTTCGAGCCAGCCGAGTCTGTAAATGGTTCACCAAAGGAATGAAGTAATTTAACTTGTTCACCGAAACTCATAACAGCCAATTCACCGGCTTCCATGAGAGATAACGATTTACCCAGGAGAGCGATCGACTCGAAAGCCATTCGTTTCGATTGATTGTCCAACATGGATGAGGAATCATCAATTGCCAAGATAATTTGATATTGACGTTTACTTGGTTTGTTTCTTCGTAACCAAATCTTATCCTTCTTATAGGAACTGGCAATGTATTCAATAACTTTTCTCATATTCAAACGTTTTCCTGTTCGATAATCACCTTTCATTTTCGACGCTTTCATTGGTTCGAGAACCAATTGTAGCTGTTGACATAATTCGTAAACCAATGGACCAACAGTTTTCTCACATTGATTCCAAGCATCTTTTCGAGCTTCATCAACCAAAAGTTCACTTCTCTCAATCCTCTCGTGTAACTTATCAAACCATGATGATTGGTTCATTTCATGATCTTCTTCATTCTTACCAAATTGAGTGTAGAATTGTGACTCAGGTCCTCGAGGAGCTGTTGACGTTTCTGTGTAATCACCTTCCATGTCAATCATTTCCTCTTCATCTTCCCCTGGAGCATTACCTGTTTTCTCATCTTCTTGTTTAGGACCTTGTTTATTTCCAATAGATTTTTCTGCTTTCTTTTTCTGAACTAAATCTTCATTTGATTCATCAGGTTGATCAATTTCCATCTCCTCTGGGTCAACGAAATTATCTTCAGACTGTTCAGGTTTATTTTCATCATTTTCATTATTCTCAGGGCGACTTTTAGCTGCATCACAATCTTCAGCAATATCGATAACATCTTTCATAGATTCTTCATTATCAGCACAATGTTGTACTAATGAAGATTGAATCTCTTCTTTATCTTTATCGCTTTTATCTATTTCTGGTTTAGATTCTGCTTTAGATTTTTCTGTTTCATATCTTTCCAGGATTCGTTGTTTCTTTGTTGCTTTTGCAGGAGTTTCACTTGTGCTTCGATTTCCTCGCTTTTTCTGGTGAGGTTTAGATGTTAAACTTTGTTCATTTGTTGATTCCTCATGGATGGCTGAAGATTTTATCTGACCCTCGTTTGCTTGTCCTTCTGTTGGATTGGAACTGTTTCCAGTTCCTTCATTTTCCTTTTCATCTTTGGTCATTTCATTTGCTCCTTCGTTCATGTTTCTATCATCTTGTTCACTCAATGGATCAACTTGAGCATTTGGTTTCAATTCAGAATCAGCACAAGAATCAAGAGGAGCTTCTTCAGTATCAGCAACCTGATTATCAGGAGCATTTTCCTCTTCTTTCATTTCATCATTTTGCTCATCATCTTTTCATCTTCTTCTCCTTGTTCTTCACCTTCTCCCTCTTTCTTTTCTTCTTCATCAGCTGATTTTTCCTCTTCATCAGCAGCAACTTCCTCAGGAATCTTAACCTCATCTTTAGTTTCATCTTTATCTGGTTCACCAGGTTGATCTTCATTTTCATCTGGTAAAGCATCAGAATCTATTTCTTCAGTCTTTTCTTCTTGGTCTTTGTCTTCCTCTTCCGCTTCATCGCCTCCTTCTCCAACCTCGTTACCATCCAATTCCATGTCTTCCGGAAATTCTTCAGCTTCTTCACCTCCCTCTTCTTCATCTTCTCCTTCACCTTTCTGTTTATATGGATCTTGTCGTTCTCCTTCATATTCATCATCAATCTCTTGTTCATTAATCTCTTCAGTATCAGACTCATCCTTGTCATCCTTGTTCTTGTCTTTACCTTTACTTTTCTCTTTGACCCCTTGATTATCATCTTTGGCAACTAATCGATCGTCACCAATCTCCTCTCCTCCCTCATCTCCATCATCATCCAAATCGTCTTCATCGTCATCTTCATCCTCACTTTCTTCGTCATCACCCCACATTTTATCATCTAATCCTTCGGACTCGTCAATGTCTCCCATCTTCTTGTCCAAATCATCTTCCTCTTCCTCTTCTTCACTTTCTTCCTTGTCCTCGTTATTTTCATCCTTTTCATCAGGTCCAAATTCAGGAGCTTCAAAATCTTCTGACATCTCAATACCATTTTTCTCATCTTTTATATCTTTATCATTAGATTTGTCTTCCTCTTTCTGAGCACCGGAAGGTAAGGCTTCATCCAACTGATCTTCACTTTCAATTTTATTCGAAACATCCTCTTCACCTTCACCTTCACCTAATCCAGCATCAGTTAAATCTTTAAATTTATCTTTGGTATCAGTCTTTTCGTTTTCATCTTGCCAGGGAGGAGGAAGACAAAATCCTTGTTTACAAACATCAGTAAACAGTCCGAGTAAAATGAACAATAGTTTACAACGAGCTCGGAATGAAGATAAATTAATTCGTGTAAAGTAATTTACCAAATTAACATATTTGTCCAGGTACGAATGCATGTGTACAATGATATCTTGATAGATGGTCAATTGTTGTTCATCTTGTAAATTAATTGAGCTCGAAATGGTATCCAGAATATCTTGAGCTTTTTGTTGAACACCAATTAAGTTGAGTTTATCCAAAAAGTTGCCTGATACTTGGGAGTAAATTTTATCCATGGAAACTTGATTCTCATCACTTGGCTGAGTTTCTTCAAGATTTTTGAACAATATTTGGACATGAGATAAGATGGACACAAGGAAACTTTCACATTTTTGATAAACTAATTGAGTGATTTCTCCTGATTGCACAGAACAATCGGTTTCAAGGTAACGGGCACGGAAAATGATTAAATCGTTTGATATTTTATCACATAATTCACTGAGATGAGCAACTACAGTTCCGGGTGAAGTTTTGATGGATTCGAGATGAACTTTCAATTTACTTGATGATGTTGCCATTAAATCCCAAGCAGTTTCTAATTGGGATTCTGTTTTAGATGTAGCGATTGGAGATTTGTAAATTGTCGATGGTGTTGGTGTGAAAATTGATGAAATTTGTAGCAAATCATTTAAAGAATCATTGCAAATTGAAGTTAATTCACTTTCATTGGTATCTGATTTGATTGGAAGCTCTTTCACTTGATGAAGTAAACACTGTAAACTCAAACGATAACTTGACAAGGTAGATAGCCAATGGTCACACGTTGTAGATGAAGATAGTTTTGTTTGTCGATCTGAACACTTAGAGATCGTTTCACTGATTTTATCGAGTTTTTTAAGCACAAATAGCTGATTGAATATCCTTCGCTTAGATGTAACAAGTTCGTTGAGCATAAAGCCTACAATTCCTCTTAATCTTTCAAATACATTACGAATTTGTTTGAGATCATCTGATGGACAAGTTAAAGATGCTTTGAAATCTATGTACCGCATTAGAGCTGAATAAAAGTACTTATCAGCTGAATCAGATTCTTCTTTGTTTATAGCAAGACCCCAATCAGGTTCGAATGGAAAACAAGTGGCAAGAGTCTCATTCAAATCAAACGAATTGTACATTTCGATTCCTTTCTTGAACGATATTCCCCATTCTCCAAGATTTTTGAGTAGTGTCGAGAATGATTGTCGCTTCATGTTGTTGATTCCTTTCACTTCTTTCTCATATTTCTCTTTTTCCTTTATTGTTGGAGCGACTTTAAGATTCGCCATTTCTTTAATTCCTTCAACAATGTCTCCAGTTCGTTGGTCCAATCTTTTTATTGATTTTCGAAGATTTTTTGTACTCACTTTGATTTTCTTCGAATATTTTCCAACTTTGATTATTAGCTGATGAGATCTTGAGAGAGTTTGAAGATCTGAACATGGTATTGGCTCAAGAGAGTGAACAATATCATCAGATGCTAATTGATTGGGTAGAAGAATCGCCTTTAAATCAGATTCTGATTTCGAAATTTTCAGGAAAGGCATAACTGGAACATTGAGTGATTTTTCGTATTTTTTGGTCAAACGATGGAGAGTTCGATGAGATTTTTCCACTTTGCTCTTTAAACTCCAAAAGTTTCCATCGTTCCAACGCATGATCTTCACGAACTCTTTCAATTCTTTTTCAATGGGCTGACGTATCTTAGCTATTTCGTCAGAGACTGATGACTCAAATTGAGAGAAATATTTATGTAAATTGACCAGAATTGTGAATAACGGAAGTTGAGATCTTGTTGAATCAACACAAAGTTGATGATCGATAAAGTTACGCAGTAAATTCAATCTGGGTTTAAATTGGCCAATTGTTGATTCCTCGAGGAATTGTTTCAGCAAAGATAATAATTGCTTTTCATTTTCTTCATTACTATCATCCATTAATGATTCATCCATTGATAACATTGAATGAATCATTGAGTAAAAGTGGAACCAGTTTTTGGCGATTTGTTTATGTTCAATTTCACGGTGAACTGATTCTAATAACGTTGACCAACATTTAAGCTCCATTTTTCTCCATTTAATTACTAGAGATGTGACAGGAGTTAATTGTTCGACTAATTTAATCTTCCTATGAGCCATTTGCTCCCAGTCTTCAGCTGCACGAAGCAACACCTCTAATCCAGTCACAATTTTAGCCAAAGGTGAATTAATATCAAGAGTATAAAGCCTTTCGATTATTTTGAGTAATTGGTGAAGCATTGGATTTCCAGGGAACTGAGGAAGAAGCTCATTGATTATACGATTTTTTAAAGGTTCCAAAATGGTGTAACATTCACGGAGCTCTTCCGGTTTTGGATCATTGTAAAAATTGTATGACGATGTAGAATTGTAGTTTAATGAGAACGACAAGGTTTTCTCGAAAAGACGAGTCATCATCCACGAACATTCAGCTGAAGATTGGTCTAAATTACGACCAAGAGTAGGGCCAATAACATCAACGATTTCAGTCAATACTTGGTATCGATAGATCAATGGTTTGAAAATGTCGGTTGAATTTGTTGATTGAACTTTTTTCCTTGATAAAACAGATGAGACATCAGCATGAAGTTGACATATTTCAACAATGTCGCTTTCTTGGATAGTTTCAATGATCTTTGCTGACTTTTTGGTATCACTATCATCGATTGAGGTTTGGTCCATACCGATAGGATCTTTCATGAATTCTCGGAAATCATTCTCATAGGTTGGAAATCGACGTTTAATCTCCTTCTCATCAATAACTTCCTCGGGCAGTTCTTCGGGATGCGTTTTAGCCTTGTATTGGAAAAGACTTTCTTCTTCTGCTAATTTTTCTTTTCTTTCTTCCTCTTTGGTCAACCAATAATTTAGAAAAGTGTTGACCACTTGGAAAAGAGTCACCAGAATATCATAGTTGGGAATTAAAGATAAATGAGCGGCATTTTTCAGCTCAGCCAAAGCCGATTTGTACAAAAGGTTTGAACAGCTCACTGATCCTAATTTTGTCCGTTGAGTGAGATTTTGAAAGCCTTTCAACTTTACGACATCAATTGCATCAATGGCACGAGTTATTGGATCCAAGGTTGCAAATTGGAACATTGATTTTAAGATATTGGTGAGATTTTCCCGCTTTTCACCTTTTTCATAGGCTTTGATTGTTTTACTAGTCAACTGTTCATGAGAGGATAAGTTCAATCCATTCAAAGTTATTAACAAACCCAAAAGCATTTCATTGGACACGTTTGCGTACAAAGGATAAGTATTGTGAATATGGTTGATGAAATGAGAAATTGATTTCTGTAGACCAACTAAATCAGTTTTATCGAAACTCTTGATTAGTTCAAACACTTTTTCCAATGGAAGTATAGTTGATAAGAATTGAATAACATCATCTCTCAATTTCTGATATTGTGAGGGAACAGGTCGATGTCCTTGTCGTGCTTTTAGTTTTTCAATTTTCTTGAGTACAATCGCTTTACGATTCAATGCTTGTAGTACATGAGGATGATCTGATTCTGGTATAATAGGTTCACCGGTCTCAATGATTGATATCCGATTCTGAGAAGCTAATTCTTCATCCAAAAATTTAAGTTCTTCAAGGTAATGAGATAATTTGATGGACCATTTTTGCAAGGGGTCAATTAACATCGTTGGTGACCAGAGGTGAGCCAATATACAGCCAAATAATATCATTGCTGTTCCTTTGGTGTGATTGTCAATCTGCGAAATGTCACCTGAAACTTGTTGACATAATTGAGAGAAAGTCAATTTATATTCGGGTGACAATTGTGACAAGAAATCATCGATAGTTGGTTTTACATTATTGATAAGTTCAACGACGAGATCAAGGTGATAACTTGAAAAATCGTGAGCCTGAGGATCGACAAGTGTCTCGAAATTATTTGAAACGTAGGTTTGAAGTTTGTCAATACAATTGATTTTACAACCAATGGTTCCAAGCACAGATTCTGAGTTGAGTAATTTAGATGATAAAAGAGTCATAACTGGTGATGATGAGAAAGAATAACCAGATTTAAGCCACTCTGATGTTTCAAGAACTTTTCCATTTGTTGAATCTTCATTTTCCTTAGGCACAAGAAGTGAGTACAAATTTTCACAAGATAAAGTTCGATGGAAGTCAATCATATGGTAGAAAAGTGTTTCTTTTTGAAGTTTCAAATCAAAAGGTAAACATTTAATCAGAACTGAGTGTATTGGTGAGATGCATACACCCTGAAGACACTGAATCACTGAATCAATTGGCTCAAGACTCTTGAGATGACAAGTCTGTTTCCAGAAAAAAGAGAAATAATTAATAGGAACAACTAATTGAGCCATTCGATTTAAAGGTTTTTCCAATGATGAAGCTAATTCTTGGTCACCCCTTTCGTCCATATCATCATGCTGACCAACTGAATTATTGTCGGATGAAAATACTGATTCCCTTATTTTACTTTCCAATTTGGTAAGTTGATCTGACAACATGAGATAATCACAATTTTCATTTAACAAATTGTCGTAAATTTGGACAATTTCATCGAGGCAAATTTGAGTATTGCGATTTAGTGTTAATTGATTGTCACTGTTATTTAGTAATCGAGACAATTCCATTGATTTGATGAAAAGAGAGGCACTTTGTTCATCTTTGTATAGTGTCAATGATGGAGATAAATTTTTCTTGAATGAAAACTTTTCAATTGAAGTTTTTTGATCCAAACCTTGTAAGGAGTTGAATTTTATGTATAATTGTTGATTGAAATCAAATCCAATTGTTTGGTGAGTACGAAGTTTGTCTTGAACAACAACCCAAAGAATTAGCAACTTATCAAAGACAGTGTTTTTATTGTCAATGGGACCACAATCAGATGATAGAAGACAGAAAAATTGATGAATCCAGATAAAAATCGTTCGAAGTTCATATAACTCTTCACAACTCGGGCTAATATTCAAAAGTTTTTGTTCACACTGATTTTGTAGATTCGAATAAAGATGCGAAATCAGTTTTAAAAGTTCTTGGTTCTTGGCAGTTATGATGGACAATTTACGATCATTTGGATATTTGAGTAGTGATGTTGAAGCTTTATTATCACAATACTTTCGAATCAGATTTAGCTGCCAATTGAAGTATCTTAAGGATCGACGATTTAGATTTCTTTGGTAATCAGCTGATTCGATTCCATCGAATTGGGATGAAAGTCTTTCCCAGACAATTGGATTAAATCGCAAATCTATTGGTAAATATTCACTTGAAGTTGATGAATAAGGAAGAGGAGTAATTGCTGATGGTAAGTCCTCGTCGGAAGGTGAGACATCAAGAGATACACCAAACTTTGTATCAATTAAGTATCGACGATAAGTAAAATCTTTCTGACTTGATCTCGAAATGAAACATCTCAAGCTAGAAATAATTTGTATTAATTCATCAATTTCATAATCTGAATTGAAAAGACTTGTTGGTATAGATGAAACGGTTGAAATCTCCTTGTTAACCGTACTGACCAATGAATCTCCTAATAAAATTTTAAAATCTCTTGATTCAAAATCAAATTCACTTTTTTTAGATTTGATATCTAATGTACTTTGGTATGGCAGTAATTCAGGGTAATGGAGACAAATCTGTTCAATGCTGGTTGAACATTTCAATTCGAGAGCGATTCTACTTGCTAATCGGACCAAATAGCTTCCATTTAATTGTTCATCGTTAAGTTGTTGACTTGATTCTAATAATTTAGAGTGATGGGCAAATAGTGCTTCTTGGAATGTTGAATTAGTCAAACCAATCTTGATCATTTGACTTCGAATATCATCTTCATTATAAGTTGGTAGAATGTAAATTTCAACTCCACGATTTCTCATGGCTCGGGAAAGCTCACCATTTTTTGGGTCTATTGTCAAAAACAAGCGGAAATTTGGATGAGGTCGGACTACAGGAACATTACCATCAACGCAACCTTGTTCGTTGAGAACCAATTCTCCGTCAGGTTCAAGTAAACCATTGAGACGATCGAGAACCGATGCTGGACATAGATTGGTATCGTCAATCAGAAGCCAATCTCCTTCTCGTAAGGCTTCAACAAGAACTGAATCTATCCATTGGAATGAACCTCTAGATGTTAATGAAGTTTTATTCTTGATATAAGATATAAGAGTAGATAACCTTTGCAATAAGGAATCTCTTTGAACTTGTGGAAGATTCAATGTAACTTGGTCTGCAATTGATGACAATTTATTTAATCGATCGAGACATTGTTCAGGAGTTTGAAACGAACTCTCCTTTTTGTAGTTGGACCATCTTTTCAAAATCTCACGAACGGAGCCATATTCGCATTTGATTGATTTGTATCGGACGAAACTCCAGATTAAAGGTTCGATAGAGTTTTCGATTCGTTCAATATCGTGAATGATATCTTTCTGATTAAATCCACCGAGAAGTTCAATCGTATCCATTTCAGAATTAACAATGATAGTTTTCAAATTTGCACCAACCAATTGTGATAACAGATGAACTAGAGATGATTTACCTGATTGTGATGGACCAACAATCAAAGCCATCCAATTCATTTCAACGCATTTCATCAGAGCTTCAATGATGGGAGTTTGATGGTGTAACAATAACCACTGATCACCTTTAAATCCATTCATTGGTCGAGGTAAAAACGATTGACCTACTTGAAGTAGATCTGGATAGAGCTTGAGACAGGTTGTCATCCTTTTTATTTTACAATCGAAAGTTGACTCGAAAAGTTTTTCAACGACAACAATATCTTCACGAGTTCGAAATCGGTGAGAATAAATAATTTTCATTGAATTAGCAATCAAATCTGTGCTAATATTTTCACATTCATTAGAAGACAGAACAAGTTGACACCAACGGAAAATGTCCCTAAGATTAAACTCCCATGGAGATCCTTTTCTTCCGAAACTGTTACTTGAATTGATCTCATTTGACAATTTTTCGTTAAATTGGACCATTTTATCAATGATATCAGATGGTAAAGTTTTATGTACATTTGAAATGATGAATTTGAGATCATCAGCTGTTAAACTTTCGACATGAATAAGAGTGAAACGATTAAGAAATGATTTGGGTAAACCTTTACGATCACCTCCTTGAGCATGTGGATTTTGACAGGCAAATATCCGAGTTGCTTGTTTACTAACTGAAAAGGTTTTACTCAGTTCGGGGATGAAAATTTCACCTCGATGGTCAAGACAAGCATTCAGACCTTCAAGGACACTTTGTGAGGCGAGATTAAGTTCATCAAGAAGAACCCAACATGAATCGTTTTTCAGTGCTTGTAACAATGGACCATCTCTCCATGCGAATTGTCCTTCACATCCTTCAACCGGAAGATCGGCACCAAAAAGATCACTAACATCAGTCTGTTCTGATAAATTTATTCTGATCACTTGATAGTTTGCAATTTTAGCCAATGATTGGACTAAACTAGTCTTTCCAACACCAGGAACACCTTCAATTAGAATTGGTTTTGGCAATTGCATTGCACGAAGTAAACGTTGAGCATTTGATGCGACAGTTTGTGAATCGAAGATGAAAGTTGAAGATGAAGAGGATAACTTGAAGTTACCTTTTGGAATGAAAAATGGACTTATTCCCAGAATATCGCTGCGTTGGGAGAGTTCAATTGATTGAAGGGGAGAATTTGTCGTACCGAAGATTTTACTTAGAATCGAGTTTAATTTGATTTCACATTCTTTTTTGGAAGAAATCGCATCACGAATCATTGATCCTGAGGAGCCCATAGAGTCGAGAAAAACTAAATGAACAGCATGATGGATCGCATCAACGGGATTAAATGTATTTTCTTTGTCTAATGAAGGTTTTAAAATAGTCGAAATGAATTCCACAAGTGATAGTACATCACGAATACTGATGAAACCCAAACCACTTTCTCTGGTCTTTGAAAGAAACCATTCCAAAAATGAGATCAAACTTGTTACAATATTTTCCTTAAGGTTTACTGGTAAATCAACCAGATTATGACTTATTATTTGACGAAGATCGCTTAATTTAGTGGATGAATAACACCAAATTTCAGTGAAACGATTACGAAGAGCGGGAGACAACTCTTTTTTACCATAATCTCCTCCTGGATTCATGGTAGAAATAAGGTGAAAATCTGGATGAGCTTTGATGACAAGATCCGAATGATCTGAATCACCTTTACCAATGAAACCTTTTCCGTTAATAATAAAAGTCTTTCTGGTTCGATAACAGAATTTAATCTTTCTAAAACTGAATCATCAGCAAGTGAAATTTCATCTATAAGAAACACTGATCCTAATTGCATCGCTTTAACCAGTGGACCATCAACCCATTCAAATAGACGTTGTTGTTTATCAGCTTCATCTGATTCATCGTGACTTCGAACTGGTCTCAGACTTCCGAGGAAATCAGCACTTTCAGAATGCATGTGACAATTTACACTAAACAATGGTTTGTTTTTCATGGCCGCAAACAATTGACAAATTGTTGTCTTTCCACAACCCGTTTCTCCGACCAAAAGTACTGGCTCATTGTACTTGAGAGCTTGAAACACGAGAACAGCCTGACGTTTCAAAGGTGTTGTCCAAAAGAGATGACGAAATTCATCAGGTATTGAATGACGGGCAAGATTTTCATCGAAAAGTGCCTCGAATATTTCTTCTGGGTTGAAATTTTCAGCTTAAAGTTTTTACTAAGAACTTCTCGAATAACTTGTTCCTCTATCTCGTTTCTTGATCTTCCAGCCAACAACATGTATCCTTCGTTTGCTAAATGTTGATCCCAGTTATAGAATCGTTGAGAAGATGCGTACTCTTTGGCGAAAATTCGATACCTTTCACCCCAACGAAATAAATCTCTCAGGGTTACACCACCATGTTTACCGGCGAACGATAAACTAACACTTTGATGAAGACGACTTCTTAATTCTGTAAGAGTAACAACCATTTTCTTGGCATAAGTAGGTGGTAAAAGACAACGTTTTTGTAAAATAATTTCCAATTCTTTAGCAGGTATTTCATCAAAATGCAATTCGATGAAACGATTCCTAAAGGCTCGAGACAGCATCTTACGACCACCATAGTGTCCAGGAGGATTTTGTGTGGCAAAAAGTAAAAATTTAGGATGAGCTTTAACTGTCTCCTGAGTTTCAGGAATGAAAAGTTCACGATTTTCATCGAGAACACGATTGAGTGATTCTAATACTTCAGTTGATGCAAGATTCAGTTCGTCCAAAATAATCCAGTAACCTTTTCGCATGGCTTCAACAAGAACACCTTCCTTGAAGACTAATTTACCTTTATCATCGGCAGTATAACTTCCAACATATTCTTGTAAATCAGTGTGTTCATGATTATTTACTCTTAAACAGACATTACCAGATCTTTTCGCCAAGTAATTGATCATACTTGTTTTACCAACTGAAGTTTCTCCTTGGATAAGAATCGGATACGATCGGCCTAATGAGATGATTCGAGCAACATCACGTAAATTGCGATCAACCGAAGCAGTTAAAATGTAAGATTCATCAGTAACAGGTTCATTTGCTCCTTTAGGTATCCAATATCCGTCTATTGATAAATAATCACCTGATTTAGGTTTAATCAAATTCATGCTAGCGATTGAAGAAACACTTTTTACTTTAAGGATATTTTTCAGAATCATAAGCTCTACTTGTTGATAAGATTCAGAATTTAATTGCGTGAGGAAAGATAAGCAAAATGCTTCGTATAAGGCACGAGGTGAAGAGGATGCATCGAAATTGATGCTTACGGCCACTTGTAATGCTCGACAAAGTGTCCTCAGGGTGAATGTAGGACTACCACCAACAGCATCTTTGAGGGTTTTTTTGGCTTCTTTGCGAATTGAAAGATAAAATTGGACAATCTGTTCAACGAAAGAAGTTTTGAAAGCACTTTGAAGGTATGTTGAAACAAGAACACGCAGGTCACTTTCCGATTCAAGTTCTTCAACATAAAACTCGGTAAAACGATTTCTAATACCAAGAGGTAAGTCTCGTTTACCAATATCAGTCGATGGATTCATACAGGCAAATAGCCTGAAATTTGCATGTTTTTTGATCGGTTCACCATCGGCCTTATCGAGAAGTAAAACATTTCCATCATCAGCCTCTAAAATAGATGATAAACATTGTAACGTTTCAGATTCAGCAAGATTAATTTCGTCCATTAGAATCCAATCTCCTCTTCTCATCGCTTTAACCAGAGTTCCTTCAACATAAGTAAATACAAGTGGAATGTCCTTCGAACTGGTTTTCAAGTTGTTAATTCGAACACCCAAATCATTCCATCGTTTTAAAATATTTTGTTGTTCTTCAGGTGATTGACTTTTGAGAGTTCGGCTGTTACCTTTTAGAGCAGAGGTTTGTACATGAAGAATTACATCTAAAAACTTATCCCATTTCTGATGGCGAAATAAAGGTGATACACTTCTCAAGAATTTGGCATTATCTTGTTGACAGAAGGTTAGACTGAAAATTTGTTCGAATTCATCTCGAATAGGTTCCATTAGGAAGGAAAGTTCAACAGGTTTATATCCACCAAGAAGATCACAGGTATCACTTTGTTGATTCATGTTGATTACGGTGAGGTGACGATTTAAAAGATTACAAAGATGTTGAACCGTTGAAGTTTTACCGGTTCCAGTTTCACCTACAAGAAGAACTGGTTCATTGTGATTAACCGCACAAGCGATTCGTTCAAGTAAACACAAGGATGAATTTGTTTTAGAAAATGGTGTTTGTTTTGAACCAATGGTTGGTAATTTGTCACATGTGATTCCCTTTAAATGGGTTCGTCCTATTGAGATGATATCACGTTTAATTGAGATATCAGGTCTATGGTTGATCAAAATTTGTCGGCTAATCGCTGTGGCAATGTGAAGTTTAACTCCAACTTCTTGAGATTTTATCATTCGAACATTTTTATCTGAAATGTTAGCAAGGAAACAATCATTCGCATCCAAGAGACAAGCTTTTCTTTTATCGTCTGTTAATATCAACGTATCGATGTAAGTTGAAATTCTTTGGCACCATTTAAGAAAATCACGAAGTGAAGCTTTTCGATTGTTAAAAGATGGCTGAGTTTCATCAAGAGAATCGTTTCCGGTAACAATATCATAGATTTCTCTAATAACAGATAGAATTGGGATCAACATTGGCCAACGTTTTGAAATTATTGTCTCCAATTCATCTGGACTTGGATTATCGAGAGAAATTTTCTCACACATTTTGATTATTATGTCTTTATCTGAACCAGAAAACACTTCAGTGTGTCCATCGGTGATTCGCCGAGTGAAAAAGAGACGAAATCTTGGGTCAATTGTCGCTCCAGATACATAACAGCCCGGGATTGCGCTTAAAGATCTTGATTTAACAATCGAGAGCATGATGGTTAGTACATCAGCTGAGGCACTGTCGATATCTTCAAAAACGAGCCAATGTCCTTTCAATAAGGCTTCTGTTAATGGACCTGGTTTCCAAACAAATTCACCAATGATATCGGTACAACAATAGGTACCAACCAAAAGTTTACCATCAACTTGGTTACCGATTTGAATTTTTGTTAATTCCGGTGGTTTAGAGCGTCCAGTTAATTCACTAATATGTTCAATTAGACTAGTTTTACCACATCCAAGTGGACCTTCTATGAGAATCGGATGATTTTCGGACAAGGCGATGGCCAATTTTCTTAAGTTAACTTCAACTGAAGGGACAACAATCAGTTGGGAATGTTTTCCAGTCACATTAGAAGACGAATCATCAAACTTAACCATTTTAATTCCATAAATATCAACAGTATTTGCAGATTGAAGTTGACCATTTGTAATTGCAGGCGAGTTCCGATTATCATTGTAAATGTAATGATACTTTAAACGTAGTTCACGCTCTTTGTCAGGAGTAAAATTTTTTGCCATCCAATCAAAATAATATTCATCTGAAATATCACAAAGAATACGAATACATTGCATCGAGAGCCATTTAAGTTCAATTGATTTCTCATAATCAATTAATTGCCATAAACTTCTCCAATCCCAAGTTGATCGACACCAAGAAGGATCACAAGAAATAAAACGATAAGAAGCAAGGAGAATCTCTCGCATAACCTTGACACTTTCAACACCTTGAAAAGGTGAATATCCTTTCTTAAATTTAAGAAAAATCAATTCTTTAGCTAAATCACTATTAGAAATCATTTGACTCAATTTAAACCAAAACTTTCTCTCCTGAGCCTCCATGCTGCTTTTAGAAAGAGCGGATGAAGAGAAATGTAAATACAACAAGAGTCCCAATAGGAACCAAACTCAGAATAACAAACAGTCGAGAGAAGAAGAAAACAAGGATAATAAATTGAAGAAATTAAAACTAATTGTTGAAAGAAAAATAAATTGTCGTATAAATAGAAAAACAGAATTAATTGTTGGCAAGAGAAAAATAAATTCTCTTTAAAATCCAAACGCATTGAAAACATGTGACATTCGGTTGTCATGGTTACGAGATTTTCTAATTCATTTGTGGCGCTTTTTCCATTTCAAATACTTTTAGAGTTGGAATGAAATAATTACGATAACAATTCGTTAATTGATGTTAATGAGGTTTTATTCTATCAAATTAATTTAATGTTTTACACTTGATGCAAAAGTCATTTTTGTTTGATTTGATATCTAATGTACTTTGGTATGGCTTTAATTCAGGGTAATGGAGACAAATCTGTTCAATGCTGGTTGAACATTTCAATTCGAGGGCGATTCTACTTGCTAATCGGACCAAATAGCTTCCATTTAATTGTTCATCGTTAAGTTGTTGACTTGATTCTAATAATTTAGAGTGATGGGCAAATAGTGCTTCTTGGAATGTTGAATTAGTCAAACCATCAACGCAACCTTGTTCGTTGAGAACCAATTCTCCGTCAGGTTCAAGTAAACCATTGAGACGATCGAGAACCGATGCTGGACATAGATTGGTATCGTCAATCAGAAGCCAATCTCCTTCTCGTAAGGCTTCAACAAGAACTGAATCTATCCATTGGAATGAACCTCTAGATGTCAATGAAGTTTTATTCTTGATATAAGAGATAAGAGTAGATAACCTTTGCAATAAGGAATCTCTTTGAACTTGTGGAAGATTCAATGTAACTTGGTCTGCAATTGATGACAATTTATTTAATCGATCGAGACATTGTTCAGGAGTTTGAAACGAACTCTCCTTTTTGTAGTTGGACCATCTTTTCAAAATCTCACGAACGGAGCCATATTCGCATTTGATTGATTTGAATCGGACGAAACTCCAGATTAAGGGTTCGATAGAGTTTTGATTCGTTCAATATCGTGAATGATATCTTTCTGATTAAATCCACCGAGAAGTTCAATCGTATCCATTTCAGAATTAACAATGATAGTTTTCAAACTTGCACCAACCATTTGTGATAACAGATGAACTAGAGATGATTTACCTGATTGTGATGGACCAACAATCAAAGCCATCCAATTCATTTCAACGCATTTCATCAGAGCTTCAATGATTGGAGTTTGATGGTGTAACAATAACCACTGATCACCTTTAAATCCATTCATTGGTCGAGGTCGAAGAAACACTGATCCTAATTGCATTGCTTTAACCAGTGGACCATCAACCCATTCAAATAGACTTTGTTATCAGCTTCATCTGATTCATCGTCTCATGTTCACTTGATAGTTTGCAATTTTAGCCAATGATTGGACTAAACTAGTCTTTCCAACACCAGGAACACCTTCAATTAGAATTGGTTTTGGCAATTGCATTGCACGAAATAAACGTTGAGCATTTGATGCGACAGTTTGTGGATCGAAGATGAAAGTTGACGATGAAGAGGATAACTTGAAGTTACCTTTTGGAATGAAAAATAGACTTATTTTAAAATAGTCGAAATGAAGACAACAAGTGATAGGATATCACGAATACTGATGAAACTTAAACCACTTTCTCTGGTCTTTGAAAGAAACCATTCCAAAAATGAGATCAAACTTGTTACAATATTTTCCTTAAGGTTTACTGGTAAATCAACCAGATAATGACTAATTATTTGACGAAGATCGCTTACTCCCTTTACCAATTTCATTGATCCGATGAAATCTTTTTCCGTTAATAGTAAAAGTCTTTCTGGTTCGATATCAGAATTTAATCTTTCTAAAACTGAATCATCAGCTAGTGAAATTTAAACAAAACTTTCTCTCCTGAGCCTCCATGATGCCTCTAGAAAGAGCGGGTAAAGAGAAATGTAAATACAACAAGAGTCCCAATAGGAACCAAACTCAGAATAACAAACAGTCGAGAGAAGACGAAAACAAGGATAATAAATTGAAGAAATTAAACTAATTGTTGAAAGAAAAATAAATTGTCGTATAAATAGAAAAACAGAATTAATTGTTGGCAAGAGAAAAATAAATTCTCTTTAAAAACCAAACGCATTGAAAACATGTGACATTCGGTTGTCATGGTTACGAGATTTTCTAATTCATTTGTGGCGCTTTTTCCATTTCAAATACTTTTAGAGTTGGAATAAAATAATAACAAACACGAATAATTGTTCAGTTTCAAGCTTTTTTTCCGATAAATTGGATGTTTTTTTCATTTTTACTTAACTGTGAATTAAATATTCTTTTGGATTATTCAATTGTTTATCTAAACTTTTTGCTCACTTGATTTATTGAGTTGTTGAAGAGAAACAATCATCAGGATGAATAATCATTCCAATGGTCAATCAACTCCAATGGACACGAATGGTCTTAATTGTAATAGGATTCCAACTCCAACTACTAGTGTTTTAGCTTATTATCTTGGATGTAGTAATGTTGGCAAGGAAAATCACCTGATCGGTAAGTAATTTATATAAATTGATCTGATTGATTATGAGATCATTTTATTAATGTTTATGTAATAATTTTGTTTGTTTTCACTTTTGAAGCAGAAAAAAATCCTCCTAATCGTCCGTCATTGCCTGACAATTGTAGCGTTTTTCCGCTTAATTTGTGTACCAAAGATGAATGCAATAATTCCAATCAGGGTGATTCAGAAAATAATGGAATATATTTGGGAAAGAAGCCGATCTCTGGACATGTTAGTTTCAATTCACCTCAAAAAGAGCCACAAGATTTGAGTGTCCACTCAAGGAATTCAAAGTCTCTCGCAAAGCCTGAAAAAAGCGAAGACGATGAAGCAAATGAGCCAAATGAGCTTAATGAACCAATCGAACTAAAGCCAATGAAAAGACCAAAACGTGCACTAAATCCTGTAGTTGATGAGAATAATGTACCTGTGAGTTTTTACGGAATTTCATTTCTATCATGTTTTAACTTTTTCCTCTTTTATTTCTCCTCGATGATTGATTTATTAGCGAACTCGAAGTGGACGTCGAAATGTGTCAAACCCGAAATCTAATGAAGTCTCACCAAGAAAAAATGCATCACCAGCCTCGGGGAATAATCATGTTTGTGTTTTTTGTGGAAGAGGTTTTTCAACAGTATCTAATTTGAATCGTCATCGACAAAAACATTTCCGCCCACATCGTCGTTGAGGCCATAAGCGAACCTTCAATACTAACCAAGCCAAAGAAATTGTCGTTCTCGGTGAGGAATAGTAGCAATTTGGAAACTTAGCTTATAAAAGTCATTTAGATTTGTCTATTTTTTATTAATTTCGTGTATCTTGTTTGTCAAAACGATGTCGAATGAACCATTTAGATTGGTCAAGCTCATATTAGATTGTTGACATTTTGAAATATTAATAAAGGTAACAATTGCCATACTATTGGTAATTAAATCTTAGCCACTTTAATCATTAACAAGACATCAATTAATCGAATATAAATTATTGTACATGGTTAACTGAATTCTCTGAAAGTTGTTTCAATATCAAGAAAAGATTTAGGTAATTAAACTTAAAAAAGAAGATGAGACAAGGCCAACGCCGATACATCAGTCGATTCCCGTGATGTCTCATTCAAAGAATCCATCATCATAATTAAAATCGGTGTTCCAACCAAGTCGAAAATATGATTTCTCTGTCAATTATAGTAAACAACCATTAAAGTAAAACAATCGGAAGAGATTTCTGGCCTTGATTTCATAATAGATTGAGAGTCGCTTCCAAACTTGGAGCCTCGTTCTTGTGTGGATGATAATTGTGATTATAATTATTTGGATGAAGAAAAAGAAGATGCTAATTAAAGATAAACTTAAGATTAATGTTAAGCGCTAAACATGTTGATTGGATTATTCAGACTCACAATCGGCTGAGTCGTTTTTCTTTCAGCTCATAAAGATCAATGGTAAGAAACGGACACTTCTAATATCTTACCCAATATTGTATATGAGTAATTTACTTGATAAGATTGAGTTTCCAATTTCAATATAATCTTATCATTTAAATGAGAAATCAAACTTAACCTCATCCACCTCAAGGAGGAGGAGGTGGAGGTCCATTTCCTGAACTTGGAAATCCTCTTATCCTGCTCTTGTTTCGGTCATCTTTAGGTGGACCATCAACAGGTAGAAGACTTCGTAAGCTTGTATAAGAAAAAAAAACAATTAAAAACAAGATGGAAAATCAATCAAAGCAAAAAAAGGAACCAAAGCTGAAAATTTACTCACAAACCAAGAATGAAGTAAATGAGGCCAAAGAACAGCGCAATCGGATCTCTCCAATCGACACTTCGTTTTTCAACAACTTCACCTCCTAGAAAACAATTAAAAGAAAATCAGAAACAAAAAATCAAACAAAAAGTCACAATTAAAAAGAAAACAATCTCAACTCAATGGAATAAAGAAAAGCACAATAACCATACAAGGAAAAGGAACCATTGGCCAAAACAAGAATTAGAAAAGGTAATCAAAAAATTGTTTTCTTTTTCCATTAATTGATTTATAGTTTTACGCACAAGATTCAATATTCTAATTACTCAATTATTGAATCTTACATTTTACTTATTAGATTGATGAGAAATTTTACTTTTGAAAAATTGAATTCAACTAAAGTGATTAAATAAGTAGAGTAATCAGAGGAACATAAAACTCTACCCTACAATAATCAATATATTAATAAATATCATCATTAGTTATTCCTCAAATAAATCAATTTACATAGAAAACAATTTAGTATACTTTTCATTTAATTCATTTACAATCTAAGTTATGATAATAACTTATCATGATTGAGGTAAATTCTGAAAGATACTCTGAGACTGGTGGACTCAACATGGTGAGTGTTAATCGGCGCTTGAAAAATCTATTAATCTTTTTTCATATTAAAATGACCAAAGTTATTGATAAAATTTTCTCGAGTATGTTAATAACAAACCACGAGCCTCAAGATTTAATCGCTGCTTTCATGAGACTTAAATCTATCGAGAAATCGAAATTCATTATGAAAAAATCAACGACAAATAAATTTCAACGTTTCATGTGCTACTTTCTACTGATTGTTAATAACATTTTTACCATTCGGTGGCTGGTTCTTGGACTTACGAATAATCAATTGTTACTTTTCATTCTTGGCGACGTTTTCGCTCAAACCAGTGATCGCAAGTTCCTCAACTATTTATGTTACTTTGGTTCTTATAATATCATTGTCTTGAATTCTTTCAATATTTGGTTGAATAACTTTGTGGACAATAATTACACTCAAGTTATCGAAGACTACATCGAGAGTATTAGAACTTCTAGAAAAGTATTTCACTTTTCGAATTATTATAAATCGTTACTTCGAGCTTTTTATATCTATCAAATAAGATTCTATGTCATGATTAGTTACTTTGCCTCATTTTTAATCCCCTTTGCTCATTTTCTAATTGCGATTTCATTTTTTACCGATTTTCAGTCTTTTCTTTTGCAATTATTTTTCATTGGTACATTTTTATATTCAATACATTTTAGTGTCTTCAGCGCTATTTGGCTTATACTCTGCTGGGCAATGACAGTTTCATTTATCTATTGTCACTTATCTTCAGTTAATTTCATGAATATGAATCAATTGAAATCCTCATCTCGTCAAATATCATTTCTATCTGAGTTACAAAAGCTCAACAATTGGATAGATTCATACAATCATCAGACAAGGTGGATTATTTTGTACGCTTATTCTATCATAACATTTATCATCGTTTTGGTCACTTACTATAGTTCACAACATAATTTCGAAAACATTTGGTTAAATGTCTTTTTCCCAGTATCAAGTATCTTAACTGCATTGGTCATGGCGATATTTTGTTACGTTTCTTCCTCTACTTCTCGAGCAGTTTGTATTATACCATTTTTCTTACAAATGATATTCAATAATAAAAATATAATCTTCCTCTCTTCTATTTACAGGGAAACAGAACTCATTTGATGATTTACTCATTATCGAAAAGTAAAACCAATCACATTTCGTTAATGTTAAAGGTAAATCTCTTTTCTTATTTTGATTATCATTTCTGATCAAGCAAAATTTTATTTAGAGACTCGAAGTTTTGGATCGATTATCATATCGTAAGATTGGATTGTATTTTAATGAAACCATTTTGATATGTAATCATTTCTCGATCATTGTAAGTAGACTAGAAGATCAATATAAAACTTTGTTTTCAAATGGTTTTTTTTTCTCGATTATCAGTTCGGATTGGAATGTATTGGATTATATTTACTCATGTATTCGAATTTGAATAGAACAAATAATAGAATTGACTAATAAATTACATGTCAAATCACAAAATTTCGTTTTGATCGTTCAGTTTTTATTAAAATCTTCAGTTCTGCTTAGATAGGAAATTGTATCTATTGAAAAATCGAATTCAATCAAATTGATTATCGATTAGAAGTGCCATAATTGTGAATTTTAATTATTCTAAATTAATTACTTTACTTTGCTATTGATTTTCATTACTATTGGTGAGTTACAAACCATCTACAGATTGATTAACAATATATCAATCGATCCAATCGAAAGAAAGTCAATACTTGTATTATGATGAAGATGATTTGTCCTTCCTTTATCTATCGATCAACCTGTAGTCTTTAACCAAAGTCTAAGAAATCAGAAAACTTTTTTGTCTTTAGCAAGTTCGTTATTACTAAAATCAATGGCTATAAGTCAAATATTGTGATAATTATGATACAAAATAAAACTTTTTGCATGATAATCGATATATTTCCAATCGATTAGAAAAGTTTAATTGTACTTGTTTCTCCTGATTGGAATCAAGCCAATTAACGGACAAGTAATGGCTCAATGTTGAAGTGCTTATTTAATTTATCGTTTACTTTGTACTGGAAGTTTCGCAGAGAAATATTCCAACGTCAAACTCATAAAAAAGCTTTGAGTTCTTGCGTTGTTGATAATGAAGAAGATGTCGCTCGTCATTTTAGTCTATCAGAGCTTAAAGAACTGTTTAGACTGGAAAAAGGTCATCCCAGTCACACTCATTCGAAGCTACATTGTAAAAGGTGCGTCAAAGTCACACCAAAATGCTTAAATCGACCTGGGACAGCGGTGTTACATTTGCTTTCCATCAAAAGTCAAAGGCTATCAAAGTGGTACCTTAATTGTCCAATCGGATGGATGATTAAGAAATAAAGAAGCTGTAAATACAACAACAATCAACAGAATTTGACAATTGACAAAAAATTTGATTCTATTTTTCCAGTTAAATTATATGTTCATTTTAAAAGGTTGTGTAATTAACTAGTTGGAATTAATTTTCTAAAATTGATTCTCTTTATTAACTCTTGTATATTGTTTGTAAATTAAATTGAATAATTTAACCATCTACTAGACTATTTTGATTAGTAATCATTTAATAAATCAATACACTGATATTGTTTTGATTTAGATCAATGATCAATGAAAATATTATCATTAGTTATTCGTCAATTTAGGCAAGTCAAATCAATTTAGTATACTTTTCATTTAATTCATTTACAATCTAAGTTATGATAATAACTTATCATGATTGAGGTAAATTCTGAAAGATACTCTGAGACTGGTGGACTCAACATGGTGAGTGTTAATCGGCGCTTGAAAAATCTATTAATCTTTTTTCATATTAAAATGACCAAAGTTATTGATAAAATTTTCTCGAGTATGTTAATAACAAACCACGAGCCTCAAGATTTAATCGCTGCTTTCATGAGACTTAAATCAATCGAGAAATCGAAATTCATTATGAAAAAATCAACGACAAATAAATTTCAACGTTTCATGTGCTACTTTCTACTGATTGTTAATAATATTTTTACCATTCGGTGGCTGGTTCTTGGACTTACGAATAATCAATTGTTACTTTTCATTCTTGGCGACGTTTTCGCGCAAACCAGTGATCGCAAGTTCCTGAACTATTGGTGTTACTGTGGTTCTTATCTTTCTATTATCTTGAATTCTTTCAATATTTGGTTGAATAACTTTGTGGACAATAATTACACTCAAGTTATCGAAGACTACATCGAGAGTATTAGAACTTCTAGAAAAGTATTTTACCTCTCGAATTATTATGAATCGTTACTTCGAACTTCTTATATTTATCAAATTAGATTCTTTTATTTATTCAGCTATTTTGTAGTATTTTTATTCAAGTTTTCTCATTTTCTGATAGCGATTTCATTTTTTACCGATTTTCAGTCTTTTCTTTCGCAATTATTTTTCATTTTTACATTTTACTGTTTCATACATTTTAGCATCTTCAGTGCTCTTTGGCTTATACTCTGCTGGGCAATGACACTTTCATTCACCTATTGTCACTTATCTTCATGCAATATAACTAATTTGCATCAATTGAAATCCTCATCTCGTCAAATGTCATTCCTCTCTGAATTACAAATGCTTAATAATTGGATAGATTCATACAATCATCAGTTAAGGCTGCTCATCTTGTTCACTTATTCTTGCATAACATTTATCATGGTTTTCGTCACTTATTATGGTTCACAATACAACTTCGAAAACATTTGGTTGAATGTCCTTTTTCGAGTATCGAGTATCATAGCTACATTGGCAATCACAATAATTTGTTACATTTCTTCCTCTATTTCTCGAGCAGTTTGTACCCTTTTTCTATCTCATAATGTCCTACTACATGTATCATAAAAATATAATCTTCCTTTTTTATTCACAGGGATACAGAACTCATTTGATGATTTACTCATTATCCAAATGTAAAACTAATGTCATTTCGTTAATGTTAAAGGTAATTAAGGTTGAATCTTTCTTCGTACTCGATGACCAACCGTTTCTGATCAATAAAGGTTTTTATTTAGAGACTCGAAGCTTTGGATCGATTGTCATATCGTGAGATTGGCTTGTATTTAAATGAAACCATGTTGATATGTAATCATTCCTCGATCATTGTAAGTAGCCTAGAAGGTCAATCTAATGGTTGAAAAATTTGTTTATAAGTTAGTTTTTGTTCCATGTCCATATTCATGCCAATCGTTGTTTTTAAAACTTTTTTCGCTTTTCAGTTCGGATTAGAATGCGTTGGATTGTATTTACTCATGTATTCAAATTTAAACAGAACAAATATTAAAATTGACCAGTGAAATATATAAAATTTATCCTGATTCGAATCAACAGTGGTGTCACATTTGCTTTCGACCAAAAGTCAAAGGTTATCAAAGTGGAATGATAATTAAGAAAAAAAGAATCTATAAATACAACAACAATCAACGGAAATCGACAATTGACAAAGAAAATGATTCCGTTTTTCCATTTGATGATTTCGAGTCAAATTAAATCCTCTTCCATATTTACTGAACTAAATTTATTTCATAGTACATTATATTAGTATTAGAGTAATAGTTATTTACTAAATCAATACCACGAGATTTATTTTGCAATTTAGATCGATAATCAATGAAAATTACATTATTAGTGATATACAATTAGAGACAAATCAAATCATTTGACAATAATTACTGATCAAATCATCTCATGATAAATTACCAGTCATGAGATATGAAACAATTGAAACAGTAGATATGACTATGAGAGGATTGCAAGACGATTTATTGTCGCTAACAATTAACTTAATCAACTTCATCTCTTTCAACAAGTTTTATTCAAAACATCAACCAGAAGATTTGATTGCTGCGCTAACGAACCTTAAATCGTTCGAGGAATCAAAGTTTATTATAAAAAAAACAACGAAAAATAAATATCAACGTTTAGTTTGTTATCTTCTAGTTGGAGTTAATTTTATCTCAATCTCTCGTTGGTTAATTCTTGGGATAACCAACAATCAATATCTACAATTTATTCTTGGTGATTATTTCGCAAAATCTGATGAACGAGTGTTTCTCAATTGCCTTTGCTTTATAGCCGCTAAATTAGTTCTCGCGATTAACATTTACAATATTATTCTCAACAATTATATCGACTCACCTTTTATCGAAGTTCTGGAAAACTATGTTTCAGGTATTCGAAACTCGAAGAAAGTCTTTTTCCTGTCACCTCAGTTCGAAAAACTTTTCAGAACTTGGTTTATATTCGGAGTAACCAAAATACCCTTTTTCGCTCATAGTTTCATTCATCTGTTCACAATAAGCCACTTTGCAACCGCTTATACGGTCACTTCAGATCTCGAGTCACTTCTCATCCAATTTGCATTCGTTTTCGTCGTTTTTTATTTTTTACACTTCAGTATAATTCATGGCTTTTGGCTCTTTATTCATTTCATCATTACTGTTTCATTCACATATTATCAATTAAGCTCATTCTCTACTCGTTCATATATTGAGTCAAATTGTTTCAAAAATCAATATCATTTTCTTAACGAATTACAAAAGTTCAACAATTGGCTCGATTCGTTCAATAAGCAAATTCGCTTACCGACTCTTGTCCTTTTCTCTTATATAACTTGTCTAATCACTTTGGTCATTTTTTATGCTTCGCAACATCATTTCTCCATCATTTGGATGAATTATCTGTTTCGAGTTGTAAGCGTTTTCTTTTTTGTTACTAATTCATATTTTAATTATCTCTTCTCATTCGTCTCCAAATGTGTTAGTACTATTTCAATCTAATATTATAAGTACAGTTTATCGAATCAATCATCGATGAAAATAATATTCACTTGTAATTTGCAGGGTGGAAAAATTCATTTGATGATTTATAACATTTCAACAGCCAACGATCTGGACATTAGATTGAAGTTGAAGGTAAAACGATTTTGTAATATGTTTCAATTTTCTAATTAATCTTATTTATTCATAAATAGAGACTCGAAGTTTTAGATCGATTAGCTTATCGAAAAATTGGTTTATACATGAACGACAGCATTTTGATCTGCAACCATTTTGTAGTAATCGTGAGTAATTTAATTAGACTTTTCATTGATAATATTAACTGTGAATTTTATTTAACAATATTTAGTACTTAATGGAATCAATTGGATTATATTTACTTATGTGCGCAAACTTTAACCGTTTCACCACAAATTATTGACGGAAGATCCATTCTCGGGATTTAAAATCGCCATCAGAATTATCTCTGAGCTTTTCATATCGTTCTTTTCAAATCTCAAATATTTTATTTCATTATGGTAACCTTCAAATAACCTCTAAATTTTTTCGTTAGACAATAATCTTTAGCAAGCTTAGAGTTAGAGCTTAGTACCAAGCAAGATCTTAAGGTCATGAAGGTCGCGAATAAGGTGATGATGGTTAGTTTTGTTATCTGGATTGATTAAACTGTTTTCTTGAGAAAGGATTATCCAAAACATATCTTATCAAACCTTATTTTGTAACCATTATCATCACTTTACTCTGACCCAACTGACCATTGGTCAAAGATAAGATGAGGATGATGAAAAAGCTTCTTCATCTTCCTGTATATAAGAAAAGACAAGATGAAATTAAAATTGTGCTTACTTCGAGATCTTATCTCGGCTACATCTCTCTCTCTCTCTCTCTCTCTCTCTCTCTCTCTCTCTCTCTCTCTCTCTCTCTCTCTCTCTCTTAATTTCTTTCTCGAACTTCGGTTTCTAACCTTTCTCTCCCCTCTTTAACTTTTTCTCTCGTTCTCTAAGGTACTCGAACTCTCCAGTAACTTTTTCTATTTAAATAGTCATTAGGATAAGAATGAATTTAATTAATGAAAATTCAGTATCGAATTCAGTAATAGGATTTATAGATAGAGACCATTTGTTCAAAATCGAGCAAGAAATAAAAAAAAATTTCAGCAGATTGAATTTCACATAAGAGTCTATGGACAATGACGGGTTTTGGCATAGTAGTCAGAGATTTTATTGATTGGTTGTACTATTTGTACTGCTCAAAGTCGAATACATGAGGAAATATAATCCAATACATTCCAATAAGAACTGAAAATCATCAAGACAAATAAAAGACAGTCAAAACAAAATATTGACATGCATGTGAATCAAAGTAGACTGTACTTACAATGATCGAGAAATGATTACATATCAAAACTGTTTCATTAAAATATAAGCCAATATTACGATATGATAATCGATCCAAAACTTCGAGTCTCTAAATAAAAATTTTGCTTGATCAGAAATGATAATGCAAATACGAAGAAAGATTTACCTTTAACATTAACGAAATATCATTGGTTTTACATTTCGATAATGAGTAAATCATCAAATGAGTTCTGTTTCCCTGCAAATGAAATAGAAGAAGATTATTCATCATTAATTTGATTGGTAGAACAATGATACAAACTGCTCGAGAAATGGACGAAGAAAGGTAACAAAGTAACATAATGACCAGCGAAGCTAAGATACTGGCGGTTTGAAAAAAGATATTCAGCCAAATGTGAGCAAAATTGTGTTGAGAACCATAATAAGTGATCAAAACGGCGATAAAAGTTATGAAAGAATAAGTGAACAGAACAATCCAACTTATCTGTTGATTAAATAAATCCATCCAATTGGTAAGCTTTTGTAGCTCGAAGATAAATGCTATTTGACGGTGAGAGAGTTTCAGTTGATTCATATTCATGGCATTGAATGAAGATAATTGACAATATGCAAATGAAACGGGCATCGACCAGTGTAAGGAAACCCAAAAGGCACTAAAGACGGTGAAGTGTATGAAATAGAAAGCTGGAAAAGTGTAAAACAATTGAAAAAGTAAAGACTGAAAATCGGTAGAAAATGAAATCGAGATTAGAAAATGAGCAAAGAAACACATAAATACTACAAAATAGCTGAATAAATAATAGAATCTTATTTGATAGATATAAGATGTTCGTAGTAACGATTCATAATAATTCGAGAGGTAGAATACTTTTCTAGAAGTTCTTATACTCGTGACGTAGTCTTCGATAATTTCGGTGTAATTATTGTCCACAAAGTTATTTAACCAAATATTAAAATAATTCAAGACAATAACAAGATAAGAAGCAAAAAAAGCCAAGTAATTCAAAATTCTCGTTCACCAAATTGGGTGAAAACATCACCAAGAATAAACTGTAACAATTGATTGTTCGTAAGTCCAAGAATGAACCACCGAAAGGAAAAAATATTATTAACAACCAGTAGAAAGTAGCACATGAAACGTTGAAATTTATTTGTCGTTGATTTTTTTATTATGAATTTCGATTTCGATCGATTCAAGTCTCATGAAAGCAGCGATTAAATCTCGAGGCTCGTGATTTACGGTTAATATATTCGAGGATATTTCATCAATTGTTTTAATCACTTTAATATAAAAACAATTTAATATCCTTTTCAAGCTCTTATCAAAACTCATTTTGTTTACGTTTTCTGGCACTTTTTTAGCATTCAACTCAATCATGAGTTATTTCAATTCTTTTTCAATACTTCGAACATGATAATAATAATTTTGATTCCCAATGAATGACTTGGACGTTTAATTGTTTTCTTACTTCTCACAACTCACTAGTAAATGAACTTGATTTACCTTCAATCGTTAATATCACGAGTGATGTAATTTTCATTGATTATTGATTTAAATTGAAAGGTTAATCTCAGTGTATTGATTTGGTTGATAGTAACTATTTTTCGATATAACAATGAATTAAAATTTCTAATTAACTAAGATTTTCTAACATTTTACAAGAAATAATTGAAAATAGTACAGTAATAAATTGTTTAACATACCCGAATATAAACAGAAGTTCTGAAAAGTTTTTCGAACTGAGGTGACGGAAAAAGACTCTCTTCGAGTCTCGAATAGCCGAAGTATAAGTTTTCAAGAACTTCGTTGAAAAGTCACTCGATATAATTGTTGAGAATAATATTGTAAAAGTTAATCACGAGAACTAATTTAATAGCAGCTAAGTTGACTTGATTCCCATTAGGATCAACAGTCATAATTTTAGTTTCTTAATCAATTGAAAATATCGATTGGCAATCAAAAAGTTTTATATTGTTTCATAATTAATTTTTGATTTTCAGTCATCAATTTTGGTTGAGGTTAATGGTTCAGATTCAATCGATAGTTGCAGGATGAGAAAATTATTTTCACCATGATTGGCTTCATTTCTCTCGGTATTGTTGATAAATTTGCAAATTTTCAGATATTTTTGGTTTATGACTTTTATCATATTCTTTACATAATGATCTTCAATAGCAAAGTAGACTAGTTAAAAATCACAATTATTTAGTATTTAAATTTAATCAAAAGCTCATTTACCATTGATTTTCCACAAAGAGCCGATTTTCATGAAGTTCTTGATTTAGAATCAATTTTCATGTAAAAATCTCCAGAGACAATATCTCTTCAATGGTAAATGATTTTTCGATTAAATTTAAATTAAATTTGAACTTGATCGTTTTAATTGTTCAAATTTTTCCAATAGTAGCTCAGATATCCAATGAATATTTTGATTTAATTATAATCTTCGAAAGCTCGCTATCTAGGACCATCGAATTTCATCTTGTCAAAGCTGGTTTTTAGTTTTCTACGTTAATTGAGGTCATTTTTCGCGATTTTTCGGCCAATTTTCAATTATTCTAGATGATTTCGGTCATTTAAACAATATTGTGAAACAAAAAGATTTTATTTGACAAATCTAACTAATAAGGACCAATTAAGAATTAAATTAAAAAACAAAATTTCGGATTTTTGCGCATGAACAGTGGAAATTTAATGGACTTTCTTAAATTTATCTTTTGTGACCTTACCTGAGGTCACAGAAAAGTGTCCATAGTCTCATTAGATAGCTGAATAGCTGTACATTAATTTCGTGAAATAAAATTATTAAAAAAATTATTCCCTCCCAATTGACGCCATTATAAATTTTATATATCTAAGCCTATGGATATACAATTTACAACTTTTTTTTGAGGGCTATTCAGTTTTGCGGGTAGGACTTTTTTAATAAAAATGTGACCCTAATCAAATTTATTTTTCTAATTGTTTGATGATTTACCTTTAATTTGATGTGCTTTAAAAATCTGTACTATCAGTAAATGTGATGATATTAGCGATCAAAGCTAGTCCGGTTTTTTAGTGATCACACCTTAATTTAATTGTAATTAAACTGATCATCATAAAATGATCATTTATATATCATGTTAAAGCTTATAATCTAACCTCTCTAATGATACTAAATTTATTAATCAAAAATTTAAAGTTTTCCAACAATCAAGCGAAATGTAAGCTCGAAAAAATTGTCAATGTGAGAGTGTCACATTGACCTTTCTACTTAGAAGAGTCAACTTTAGATTCCCTCTCTAAGGTTTACTTGCACTTGCCATTTAGAGGTTAACGTTAAAGGATAATCTATCTAGTAGATTCTATCAGTTATACTAAATTGTTTTCTTTGTAAATTGATTTGATTTGCCTTAAACTGAGGAGTAACTAATTATGATATTTTCATTGATTATTGATTTAAATAAGAAACAATATCTCAGTGTATTGATTTAGTAAATGATTAATATTAAATATATTAATTAATCAATATTACGGAGAAATTTATAAAAATTCTAAGTTTAATATCGACATGGTATCATGGACCTTTTGGCTCTTCACCTCCACCAGTATCTCCCTCATCTCCATCTTCATCTTCATCTCCATCTTCATGTTTAACTTAATCACAATTAGTAAATTGTAAAAATATATAAAGTGTTGAATGGACTTAATCACAAAGTTGATCACCAAGTTAATCACCATGTTAATCATTAAGTTGGTCATTGGGTTGATCATCATCTTAATCATGATTACTAAGTCAAATTAAAACTTAATTATTTAATTAACAATTAGATTAATTGTTAGTCGAAGTGTTAACTTCAAATTATGTTGAATTTTTTTTCTCTGGTTGCTAAGGGGGAAAGGGAAAAAAAGAAGCTCCTCCTTTAACCAAAACATCTTAAACCTTACCTAATTCTCTGTTCATCTCTCCAAACTCGGTCCAAGGCTTGACCATAGTAGGATTCGTATGAATATCAACAATGCTCATTAGATTTCGATAGAAACTGGCCAATAGAAAAAAATTCGATATATTTCATTGGTCAATTCTAATATTTGTTCTGTTTAAATTTGAATACATGAGTAAATATAATCCAACACATTCTAATCCGAACTGAAAATCGAAAAAGTTTAAGAAAACGATTGACACAAATATGCACATGGATCGAAAACGAATTTATAAACAAATTTTTCGACCATTAGATTGACTCTCTAGTGTACTTACAATTATCGAGAAATGATTACATATCAAAATAGTTTCATTCAAATATAATCCAATCTTACGATATGATAATCGATCCAAAATTTCGAGCCTCTAAATAAAAACTTTGGTTGATAAGAAATGATCATCGAGTACGAAGAGAGATTTAACCTTAATTACCTTTAACATTAACGAAATGTCATTAGTTTTACATTTGGATAATGAGTAAATCATCAAATGAGTTCTGTTTCCCTGTGAATGAAAAAGAAGAAGATTATATTTTTATTACACATTATATTAGAATATTGTACAATAGAAAGATGGTACAAACTGCTCGAGAAATATACGAAGAAAAGTAACAAAAAAGTGCGATGGTCAAGGAAGTTAAGATACTCGCTAATCGAAAAAAGATATTTATCCAAATGTTGTCGAAATTATGTTGTGAACCATAATAAGTGATCAAAACGATGATAAATGTTATGAAAGAATAAGCGTACAAAATAATCCACCTTGTCTGACGATTGTATGAATCTATCCAATTATTGAGCTTTTGTAATTCAGATAGAAATGATAAGTGACGAGATGAGAATTTCAGTTGATTGATATTCATGGTATTGAATGAAGATAATTGACAATAGGTGAAAGAAACTGCCATAGCCCAATAGAGTAGAACCCAAACAGCACTGAAGATGCTGAAATGTAATAAATAGAAAAGAGGACAAGTGAAAAGCAATTGAAAAATTAACGCCTGAAAATCGGTAAAAAATGAAATCGCGATTAGAAGATGAGCGAAGGTGACTAAAAATAAAGTGGCGTAACTACTCAAATCATAAAACCTTATTTGATAGATATAAAAGTTCGAAGTAACGATTCATAATAACTCGAGAGGTAAAAACTTTTCTAGAAGTTCTAATACTCTCGACGTAGACTTCAATTTCTTGAGTGAAACTATTGCCCACAAAGTTGTTCAGCCAAATATTGAAAGAATTTAAGA